GCCAGCATATGCTCGTGAATCATAAACAATGATTATTTCTCTACCAAAATGCACCTCTGTGTAACACGGCTCTCAACCACTCTTCATATCCATAAGACAATCATAAATGATAGATACCTATCAATACTCAAACTGAAGTTGAAGTAGAGACACAATTCTCAGTGCCACTCTGGGAATAGGAATTCCCTCTACAAAGGTATAATGCATTATGGGGAAGAAAACTGGACCACACTCATATGATTTGACCACCCACATTGTATTAAGAAAAATGCTTTTTACAAAAAATTTCAATGTCAACATAGATGAGCAAAAAGGTGGAGATCTCCAGAACTTGACCAGGAAAAATTAAGGAAAAAAGAGGGGCAGATGAAAGGGAAGCTCAGGCATGAAAATTCTACCCCAAACCTAGACCAAAATCCCGTATAAATCATAAAGCAAATAGTCAAAAGCATGCACGGGAAGCTACTGCAGGTAACGTTCACCTCAAACATAGACTATATAGCCCATAAATTTGACAGTAAAAAAGATGCAGAGGAAGTTAATGTATGTAAAAAATTACCACAAATATTGACCAAAATCCATATGACTCATAATTCAAAGAGTCAAGTTGTTGAATTCCCGCATTATTTACTCGCATAATACAAACACAATATTATCCTTGTTTTCTTTCTACTTTCCAAGAGGAAAAGGCCTCTCATACGAATTTGAAATTGTAGGAACTGCTGATTACTCACTTCTCATGCTTCAACGTTTTCATATTATTCTAAGAAAATTACCATAGTTGAAACTGTGAAACTCAGTCACACTTTTATTATCTTCCTCACCACTGTTCGTTCACAATTTCCCTTTCTTTAAAAATAAATGAAAAATCAACCTACCATGTCCGATAAATATACTATAGCCCAATTCATACCAATTTCTTTAATGATATAAACGCAAATGCTAGATAACGAACACATTCTTCTATGACGCAAAAATGCACAGGTTAACCAGGTACTTTTCCTCAAATTTGTTTCCACTAAACCAGATGCAATGCAGTTTAAAGTTTTGCTACTTGTGCTACAAGATAATATGTAAAGTGAAACAAAGAAACTAAAACAAAGATCTCAAAACGGTGAAAGTACATACTGTTCCATCCATAGAAGCAGAAACCAGACGAGTGGTCATCCATTGGCACATTGACAAATCAGTCACTTCTCCATCATGTTTACCAACAAATTGGACTCCATCAATCAGCTTTTCAACAGGACACTTGAGAGGCTCATCTGCAGAAGGGACTTCACCCTTCACGACTTTAGTAGTATCAATTCTTAAAACACGCTTTCCAAACCCAACTACCAAAACCTCCTGTAAGATTAGATTTTACAATAGTCATAAACACATATTATCCAACAACTTCATAGCCAAAAATAAGAAATGATTGACTGGCCATTGAAAGGATGGAGCTATAACTGTTGATTAATAATAGGCGTTAAAAGAATGAATTACTTGTTTATGACAGTGCCAACAAACTCGTGGATGAACAGCTTCCCCCTCTCCAACTATTTGAATGGCAATAACAACCTTTCCTGTGATTTGTGGTGTACCTTCTTCATCTGGACCTTCAGAAATCTTCCATACAAAAAGCCGGCCTTCTACACTCACACTGCACAAACGTATGTCAAATAAAACAGCAACAACTAGACGAAGAAAATAAAGAAATATGGTAAAAGATCTACCTAGCCAAAAGGTGAACATCCTCAGCAAAGAAAGCCATGTCTGTGACCCTCTGACAGAACAAGACATCACTTAGATCAACAAGGTACTAACAACTTGTAATGCGTTCACACTTTACACAAACACCATTTAATGCAGTATAGATCACAGAAAACAAATTTTATTCCACTGCTCTTCTTTACATAAATGTATGATCTCCCAAAGTTATTAGGTTACACTGAATATACGTCAATGATATTAACCAAACAAGAGTACACTCAATATGTCAAGCTATTTAAAATTATATCATTTTCACGCAGTGAAATTTCCAACACTTAGTACTCCAAACATTAGCCCTAGAACTTCACTATCTCCACTTATTTTACTCACATTACTATTTCTCCGTACAAGCTATGCATAATTGCACATGAAGCCAACTAACTTTTGAGGCCATCAGAAAATAGGAAAGAATCTAAATTTGTAATCGTCATCTATGCAAAGCATCAACACCGGAATAGCAATCATTCAATGTTTTTTTTTGGAAAATTAAAGAGCACATAACTAATCCAAACACAAATAAGTGAATACAAACTACTACATAAGATTTGAATTAAACCTGTGTATGAGCTCGAAACAAAGATCTCAATGCAGTGTGTATATTCAAAACCCGAATGTTTCCCTGCTTCAATCCATAGCATATGTACGACTTATTAACAGCAATTTGGCGGCCCAGCACAAGCTGAGGATCCGAACCATACTTGGTAATCGGCGTAACTTCAAGCTGTGGCTGAAACTCACCCTGCAACCTAACATCCACATCGTAAACCACATTATCGCCAATCAAATGCCTGCCTTTAGGGAGCTTATTGCTCGGCATTCGAGTGGGGCCAGTGGATGGAATCCCCATAGGGATAGTGGGCACGATCGAGACCCCTGGGGGGACGGATAACTCGGGCTGAGCAGCCGACAACTCTAGATTGCCAGATGGAGCGCCGAGAAGCGCCATGATTCGAGCACCCGAATTGGGGTTCGAATTGGAGGTGCTACTGTTGTTGTTGCTAGGGTTGGAAGGGGCCGTGGCAATGTTGTAAGTAGAGGGGGGTTGGAGGGGTGGCGTGGGAAATGAGAGAGACCTCTGGTGGAGCAAGTGGTGGTCTTGAGGAGAGTAAGGGATTTGGGGATGGTTACTGTGGGGGTGGGGCTGAGGGTGAGGGTGGTATTGGAATTGGTGGTGGTGAAACGGTGCCGTCTGGGGAGGGTACGAGTAAGGGCCAGAGGGCGGGGGGAAAGAGGCGGGTGGGATTGGGAACGAAGAGGAACTCAAATTAGGGTTAGGGTTTTGGTTTGAATTGTTCTGTGTTTGGGATTGGGGCGAGAGTGGCGTTGGGTTTGTGGGTTTAAAGAATTTCTGCATGTCAAAGGGTTGGGGTTGCTGCTGGGGCGGTGGATTTGGATTCCCAGAAGAAGCCATGGGAGAACAGCAGATCTATATATCTCTCTGAAAGTGAATTGCAATTGCAGAGTGGGATTCGATTTCCTTCTTCTTTTGGTCGTAAGAAAAGGGAAATGGATTTTAGAGAGAGAGATGGGAATTGAGAATCAGGGGATTTGCAGAGAGTGGGATCTGAATAGAGTGAATGAGCAAAGATGAGAGAGAGAGAAGAGAGAGAGAGAGAGAGAGAGAGAGGAGGCCTTGAAAAGCCGAAAATAATTAAAACCCAATGAGGAGGAGGACTTTGGAGTGAAGAAATGGGGACTTGGAAGAGACCAAATATAAGTGAAAAAAGGTGATCGAGAATTTATGAATATTGCAGTTTGGGCTTGGAGCTTTTGGAATATACCAATGGCCACCCTATATTATTTACGTATATGATGATATTTTTGTGATATTTTCCTCTCTTTTTTCTCATCTTTGATAAAAATTTAATTGGAAATTATAAAACTACTCCACCCAATAAAAACTTGCAGCTACTTTTTCTTAGAATTTTAGAAACAAAACCGTCTCGAGACCTTATTAGATGCATGCTCGAACCTTTTGGGTGTATTACAACCATCTCGAGCGTTCATATAAACTTATTTCACTATTTTTTTAAAATTCTCAAATGAATTTGTTAAATTTTTTTATTTTTTTGTTAGTGAATTGGTTAGTTTGATAATTGCTTTTTCGGTAAGAAATTACGAATGATGGCACATGTAGTTGTGATTTTTGGATTTTTGTTTTATTCAAAAATCACCTTTTGTTACCAAAAAAAAAAATTTCACCTTTTGTGCTTTTAAAAAAATTAAAATGAAAAAAACTTTTGTGCTGTGTCATGACTGTCGACAAAAGAATTGGGCTGCAGGTTAGCTGGCTGCTTTTTGGGCTTACTCTTAGTAAATATTTTGGCCTGGGCTTAATCTTAGTAATTGTTTTGGTCTAGGCTTAATCTCAATATGGGTTGTGGATTTTAGAAGCTTTCCCTGGCTGTCTTATTAATGGACTCCAAAAGGAGACCCATGTGTAACTTATTAATGGGCTTCATGGAACTTCGGTATTAATTCTAAATTATTTCTCTTATTAATGAGCTCTAAATAATTTAGAAGGTTCTTTTTCACTGGGTCAACGGCGTCTAACCCAATGAAAAAATGACATTTTATTGCGTATTAGTAGTTTTATGTTCGAACTTCTATGACACCTCTTAATGTGTGTGAGAAAATCTCTCTCACACTTCCTGACTTTGGCCAAAAGAAAAAGAACACTTAATTACAACAAAGAAAAACGATTTAGGATAAGTTGAAACTTTGAAGAAAAAATTATGGGTTCGTACTTAGGCCTAATATTTAATTGAAACAACTTGTTGGAGAAGAGTATGGTGCAGTTAAAGAGACCAAATTTTCTCATCAAATGTGTTATTATTTTACGTTATTCATCCAAATTTGGGCCTACCAGAATTCTATGAAAACACTCCACGTCATCAACGTCCAAAAGCAAACCGTCTTTCTTGTTTAGAGGAAAAGAGGAAAATAACAGATACCCTTTTATTTTGCTTTCTATTATCCAACCCATTAAAAAGGCAAAATTCGAATCCCATATACCCCATATGCTTTCATTTTGCTTTCCTTTTAAGCGAACGATACCCATTAGCGTCAAAGCGTTTCCATTCTCTATCGCCGATAAGGACGTCGAAAGCCCTACTCCCCCAACATTTATCAGAACCCAGATAAAAACCCATCTCCCAAATCCCAAGATCTCAAACAGCGAACCCTTTTTTTGGGTCTGAAATTCCAGAGAAAAAGAGATTCGAAGCACTCAAAGGGAAGCAAAGATGTGCTGTTGTCCAAGCAGAGTTTGCATGCTGTGCACTTGTTTGATACTGGTGGTGGTTTTGGTGGGGCTTTTGTTTGGGTTTGGAGTGTTCAAGAATGGCTTCCACAAGCTCAAAGATACTGTGAATTTCTGTGATCCGAATGTTCATGGATCCTATTGTGGGTCTACTGGAAGACCCTTCTTGGGTTACACTGCACCTGCACCTTTCTAAGGGGGTTTCTTTAATTCTCTTGTTTTTCTATGTAATTTGTTTATCTTTTTCTGTTCTTGGTTTTATTTTGAATTTTTAGTTTTTAGGTTTGGTTTTTTTATTGCTGGTAATCTGGGTTACTGGGTGTCATTGCAGCAGCAGCGGCTGCTGCACTAGGGATTTGGGTTGTTCATGGAATTTAGGTTTATTTGTATTTTGCCCCCTCCCAGTTTATTATTTTATTGGTTATGTTTATTTTAGTGGACCTTGATTTGTGTGTGGCAGATTCCTCTGATACTTTTTGGATATTAATTTGATTACAATATGTCAAGATTATAAATTTTTTTTCCAATTTTCAGCATTGAACTTTTAAATTTCAAAAGAAGAAATCTGGTTTTGCACCACATTATATTCTCATCATTCCATAACGGTCACAAAGAGCCTTGAAGCTCTCAAGAAAATTATGGGTTTCTGGCACAACACTTTAACCTCTTTGCATTTTGGTTTTTGCGTCAACTTTTATTCCCATGAGAAAGGGAATGGTACATTACATTAAAATATTGTCTCGATATATTATTGATAATGTCGATATTATCCTATTATTTCGATGGCAAATGAACTTTGCAATGACATCATAAAACATTAGTATTATGCCGATATTGTTAATTTGCTTCAATAATGGCTCATTTGGTAACGTTTTCGGAGAATATTTTCTGAGAATGAAAACGAGAAAACGAATTTGCATTTTTATAATTTGAAAATGCGTTTGGTAGATTAATTGAAAAACATATTCAGAAAATAAAAACAATAAAAACGTGGCTGGTAGGACAACTTGAGAATAATAATATTTGAGTAGAAAATAAAATAAAAATAAAAAATGCAATCAGACCAATACATTGGGTAGAAAATGAAAACGATAATTTGGTGTTTTCAGTTTTTGTATATGAGTTTGAATTTGTTTTCTGAAAACTAATTCTAGTGAAAATGAAAACGACATACCAAACACGTTTTTGATAGAAAATGAAAACGGGCCTTGAAAACTTTACCGAACAGCCCATTAGTTGAGAACTTTGTTAAGCGAATTGTGTTTTTTGAGAGCATCCTCTATAATTTTCTATTGTGTGCAAAAGGGAAAAGTAGACTCTAAGGAAGAGAAATAGAGGTTGCCCATGTGTTTGGTCGATCTGAGATTCAGAATTGGTGGGTTAGTTTTTGGTTTTCACTTGGTAGGTTCCTTTTCGTGTTTGTGGCTATTGGTAGCTTCTTCTTTTTCTATTTTAAGATTTATACATTTCTTTATGAACATGGCATGTTGATTTGGGTTAAATTTTGGCGGAGTCCTTTTGTCACATTGCGATGGAACATCAAATTGTTGTTCATATGTCAGATCCTCATGGGCAAGCTAGTAAACATCAACTAATATGGATGGAAAGTTTAGAGCTGAGGCTTTAGGGTTTGAGTTTTGGGGCCCAATTTGGATCAGTCTTTGGGCCTAATATTGTTCAAGTATGCGAATTGAAAAGAAAATGCAAAATTCAACCTTTAGATTTTACCCAAGTGAAATGCACCACATTAGGAATAGGTCCTCAGGTCATGCTTAATAATTTCTCTACAAGAAGGACGAAATCAAAGTAACAAGCTAGTCAAAACATGTCAAGTTTGTTAGTTTTGGATAGAATTTACTTGGATTTGAGAAAAACAATTAAAAGACAATGTTGCTTTTACAAGATTAGTGGCCACAAAGTTATTATTTTTTTTTTTTTTTTTTTTTTTTTTTTGTTGGGATGGGGGGAATAATTCGGGAAAAATGGAGTATAAAGAAACGAGGGTATTTGTCAACTGATTTCTACAAAACACGGACTTACGCGTATCATACAAAAATTTACTAATTATACTATTGGCGAATCCTTTAAAGAGAAAAACACATTGTCATAAGCATTTGCGTTCCCTACCTCCAGGGAATTCCAAGTTATCGTGCAAAAAAACCTTTCGTTTGGCCAAAGGGAAAAAGAGAAATCTTTTGTTTGGCCAAATACAAGACAAAGAAAAGAAAAAAGAGAGAGAGAGAAAACCCTCCTCTCTTCTTGGATCTTAATCTTAAAAAAACAGAAAAGAAAAGGAGAAAGAGAAACAAAGATGTGCTGCATTGGGTGTCTTGCTAGAATTTGCATGTGCATTTTCTGCTCTGCGATTCTGACAATAGCAATCTGCTTGCTATTTGGGTTGGGGCCAGTGAAGAGGTTCACCATTATAAAGACCAGTCACTTCGTGAATAGCTGTGAGCCAAGCATGTTTGGCACACTGTGCAGGCCTGGAAGACCCTTCTTTGACATGGCGCCTCCATCCTTCTTGGATCAAGTTGCACCTTCACCATTCTAAAGGGTGGTCTTCTTGTTAATGTTATACAATATGCAGTCTATTTGTTATCTTTCTCTGTTCTTTTTAATTTGTTATGTTGCTAGAAGTTTGATTTTGTATTGTTGTTGGTAAATATGCGTTTCAGGTCTACATTATACTTGTGGATGATAGATCAAAGATGATCTTGGAATTTAATAAAACTATTTTTACCATGTTTTTGTATGCTTGATTTATATTGACCCCATCTGGAGGGATTATGTGTGAGCAGGGACGGACCCAGAAATCTTACCTTATGGGGTCATAGTGTAAAAGTTTGAAATTTTTATATATATCAAAATAACATTAGAAATGAAACATTCATTCATAATTCATATAAAAAACAACATTACAAGCTACAATTGTCTACGACGAGATTTCATATTTTGAAAACGTAGCATTATAACTTTATTTTTAATACAAGCAAAAACATCATTCTCAACATAAACAAGAAAATTATTACTCAACTATTGATCTCACATTTTGTTTCGAAGTAATAATTCACATCAATTAGAGAGAACACTAAATTTATACCAATGAACTACAAAAAAATTCATAAATGAAACATCCAATAAATCAAAATAAAATCATAAAATCATAATTTCAATTCAATTAATTTAGGCTTAGAGTTAGAATTTACTTGAATTGTGAGGTGGTGGATGCGGCGGCAACAATGGAGGAGATGGGGGTTAAAGGCTTTGTCGTGTGTGCGTGTGGGGTTAGGGGAGGGGAGGGGGGAAAGGGATGGAGGGACAAAAGAATTGGGGTTTTGGGAGTTGCTAGGATCGGGTATGGGGGGGGTTTAGAATAGCTGGGGTTGTTTTTATTTTTTTTTAAGACCTGGCCCAAAACGACGTCGTTTTGGCCAGGTCATTTAAAAAAAGAAATTCGCTGGGCTAAAACGACGTCGTTTTGCCCAGCATTTTAACAAAAAATGAAGCAGCACGCTGCTTCTTCTTCTTCCTTGCGCAGCAGCCATTTCATTCAGGCCAAACAACAAGCAAGTGGAGGGCATCCATGGGGTCGCACAGTCAACTAAAAGGGACCTTCAAGCTTATTTCCATGGAGTCTATAGGGTCGTTTGACCCCATTGACCCCACTGTGGGTCCGTCCCTGTGTGTGAGTGTGTGAGTGTGTGATGGTTATGCTAAGCAAAAAATTAATTTCTTGTCAATTGAGAAAACTTCTCATGGCCCTGATGAAAAAGGACAAGAAGAAGAAAGGGTAATCTCCCTTATTATGCTTAACCATAACCATAATTCACTTCACCTAATTTAACCAAATAAAATTGGCCCATATCATATTTCATACTGAAAAATTCATCTCTTTATAAATGTGTGTGTGTGTGTGTTTTGTCAAAGTTATTTGAGCTCACAAGTCCAAGGTTTACTTAATGTCACGGAATGAAGTTTTTTAGTCGTCCGTGACATTAAGTTCCACAAGCTAAAAACAAGATTCTTAATGGATGGTTTTCAATTAATTGGAGGGCAAGGAAAGTGCCCATAAGCTCCACCGCAAGTACTTCCTCCCCACATTGCAAATTATAACAAAATTTACAGAGAGATACATCCACAACCCGAGCTACTATAATTTTGTCATGTTCCCTTACATGAAACAAAACTAGTATTGGAATTATTCCCCTAACTTCTTTAAGCACGCATGTGGGAGAACACATTACACGAATTATTCTCTGATTTGGCCCAAAGTAATATATGCACCCAAAAAAATTAAAATTCGTCGATGTATGTAAGATGACATGGTAGTGTTGAAAAATTTAATATTAACTAATATTGATTTTCCTATTTGAATGGAAATTAATAAAATCTATTGGGTTAAAGACATGACCCTTGGGTTAAAGACATCTTCACATGGGAAGTAACAACTCTTCAAACTAAGGGATGCATTGTTTGGGGTGACAACTCTTCAGACCAATGGATGCATTGTTTGCCTTTTCATATTGAGATACCTTTTTAGAAAGGGTATTTCATCATCTATAAATAGAGCAATCCTCCTGCAGTTTTATTCATTCAGTTTAATTATCTACATACAGACTTTTACATATAGAAAGCATTAGAGTTTTCATAAAGACAGGTTCCTGCATAATTTGGTTCAAAGTTTCTTGTGAATTGTAGTGCTTCTTTCACAATGAGGGGAGTTGTTGTATCCTGGGAGGCGAACGCTAGTGAACCATAAGCACCAGTGTGGGGCGTAATTCGTCTTAAGGTCAGAGTGTCCAACACTTGCCTCGACTCAATTAAGGTTCTTCTAATTCAATTCTCCTTTTGTAAAAATCTGTTTTATGTGCAGTATTTATTTTGTTTATTTTATAGCAATTTAGCACTCATTTTTCTTACAGGTAGTTGGTTGTTAACAACAACAAATAGAAGAAGTTAGGATTAACTAACAGGAAGAAGAAGGAGGAGACAAAATTTTGCACCTGGTTGCTCGCTTGGCCTTGTATGTGGTAAGCGATTCTTACTTCAACTTTTTTAAGTCTGGTTTCTGCAGTGCATTGTTCGATTTGACGGAAAATGAAGGAATGTGGAGGAAAGTTTGAGTTTTGAAACCACCTTCACTTATGGCAATTTCGTTTTGTTGAATTTACTTGCTGAAATAAAATCATTTGGGGGTCGAAGCGAAGGGTTTAAGACGAGTGTTCAAATTCGAAGGAGAGTCTTCAGACTCAAAAAGATGCTTTTACCCCTCATTTTGACGGATAATTTGACAGAGTTAGATAGCAGGACCTAATTGCAACTGGTTGTCTAATTAAAGGATTTTGTTGCCTCAAAATTTAGTTCACGGACCCAATTGCAACTAGGGCCATAATTCAAAGATGTCTACAGTAATTAACCCTTAATTTTCTTTATCACTGTTAATTTCGCTTGCCATAGAATAATCAATACTTGGGTATAGACATACTTGTGTGGAAGTTGAGGAGAAATTGAAAAGTGCGTGGAATTCTCTTTTATCAACACAGAACTGACTTTATATTAATCCATTATTGATGCTTACCAATTCCCTAGCTTTTTAAAATTGATTTTTTCGAATTGTTGATTGGTTTTGCATTTATTAGCCTTGTAATTCATTAGGTACATGGTTTTGTTTCTTATTTGCATATGGGACTCAAATAAGGAGGGGTTGGGATTAGACCACTGAAAAGATGTCAGCCATGAAAATAAGAGTTTGGAAAGAGGGTTTCTCATAAGAGACGTGGGGTGGGGAGGGTGTGAAAGGGGAAGGGGAAGGGGAAGATTGCGCTCATTAAAGATAGGGAAGGATAATTGATACGGTACAACATGTGATTTTTAAGAGAATATAACTATGTTGATGTGGATTAATTAACCTCGTTTGATTAATCAAATGGTCAAGATTTAGTACATGCACACAAATGCACCGATACTAAATTCAGAAACTCAAGATTCGCATACTTTTTATAATAAATACAAATTTGTATTAAAATTCTATTTTTTTTACTTAGCAAAGTTCAATAGGGTATTTCTATTAACTTATAATACCTAAAATTAAATCATATATTTTTTAAATAAAAGAACACAATCCAATCATTCAAGATTTATTTTTCAACCGTTCAGATCAAGCATTTACTCTCCCTCCCTCACAAAACAAAGGGTATATACACCCTATATATAGATATATCAATATCCTCTCATATATCATAATTTCTCCACATTTGGAGAAGTCTCCAACAACATCCGATAAAATTGGAACGATATAAAACCACAATTCCCCTACATTTTCCAAAACTCAAATGCCCCATTTCATTTCACAAAATTCTCCCCAGATCTCTCAGAGAGGAGCCTTTTGATTTTTCGGGTCTCAAAGCAAGTAAAAATGTGCAGGTTGTGCGTGTGCTGCATGTGCATATTCGTAATCTTGCTATTCATCGGGGTGTTATTTGCGGTCGGCCCTTTGACAAAGCTGAGGCATCACTTCATCATCAAGCAATCTGTGCACCATTTCTGCGATCCAAATGTTCATGGCTTTTTATGTAGGCGTAGTGGAATGACTAGAAAACCCTTATCGGGTTACACTGCACCTCCACCTTAATTTCTAGCTTAATTAGGGTTTTTGTTTCTTTATTCTCTGACGCATTATGTAATGAATCTGTCTCATCTTTCTTTGTTATTATTTGAATTTTAGTTCTTAGGTTTTAATTTTTTATTTTAATCTGGGTTTCTGGGTTACAATTTACATTGGTTACAGATGTAAGGATTGTTCTTAGAATTTATATCCTCTTCTATTTATGAAATTTAGAGTAATATGTTTACATTTGTTTTTTCTTTTAAGTCACAAATATGGATGACAATTCTCCACTTGTATTCGTGAGGCTTCGCCCCTAATGAGTATGGTACGAAGAATAAAAATCAGGTATGGGGACTAGTTTGGGAAAACTTTCGGGTATGATATTTCGTGCGGATCAGGAATGGTATCATTGTTATCGAGTAATGCTATTATTGTTAAGAGTATATATGGTAAATGTGGAACACCCTATTAGTAAAGCTTACTTCTATTAGAGAGGTGGTTAGTAAATTAGTCAACAAATTTGGTGCAAATAGTATTATTATTATCTTAATAGATCCAATTTGTTTGGTATTTAGGTTTTCTATTTAGATTTTGGCAGGTATCAATTTGTTTAGGTAGTCCATCCATATTTTTAATTAACGAAAATTGGATAGATCCATATATCGGGCGCATAACCAACCCCGATTCGCTCCATTACTATTACTAAATATGGGGAAGAGGATGAAGCATTATATAAATACATTTCTTTTTCATTTATTAGGGAAGAGGAAGAGGATGAGACGTTATATAAAGCAATAGTCTATTAAAAATCACATAATTAAAAACATAAAAATAAAATATAAATTCATGTCCAATTAAACTTTTTTTTATATAAAAATAAAGATAGACTAAAAAGAAATTTTTAAAAAAATAAACATAAAATAAGAAGCTGAAACAAAAAAAAGTACAACTAAGGAAATAAAGAAATAATAATTTGTTTTAAACAAATACAAAAAAAAGAAAAGCAAAAGAATACAACTTCTTTTTAAAAAGAAAGCAAAGTAAGACGGAAAGTTTTGGTATCCAATCAAACGAAAGCAAACTTTGAAAACGTCAAAAGTTAGACGGGTGCAACTAATTCGTAGCACAGACGACCCTTTTCTCCTTCTTCTCCAAGTGGGACTAGAAGACCAAAGTAAACAAAACAAAGCTTCTCCATATCCAAAGCCGAAGCTCGAATTCGATATAAAAGCTACAATACAATTGCACAACTTCTTCAGCAATTAACTCCATTGAAGAAGACTCGCAGAGATCCAATAACAGATGAAGATCACTGTAATGACCGCGGACGAACAGATTCTCAACTTAGACGTCGATCCTCACGAAACTGTAAAACCCTAATTTCAGCTCAACAAAACCTCAATTATTTGCATGCGTATATATCTCTCTGTAATTTGGGGTGTGTTAGTTCATGTTGCTGCTTTGTTTTGTTTAATTAATTTGGAAGTTCTTTTTTTGTGATAGGTTGAAAATGTGAAAGCTCTGCTGGAGGTGGAGGTGAGAATTTCTTTACGTTAATTTTTAAGTTTTATTTGTAGAATTATAAATTCGTTGGCTACTATGAAAGTATGGGGAAAGATACTATTCAATTGAAGTAAATTTTGGATCTTTCTTTACTTGGGGACTCAGAGGAACAAGTAAAGAACCGAAATTTAATTGCAGAATTTAAAATTCGAAACTTTTTTGGGTTTGAAAACTAGTTGAAGTTAGCGAATTAATTAATTAATAGATGAATGTAAAGTGAATGTGATATTTTTTTTACAATGCATATAAGCAGACGCGGGTGCTGCTTCAGCAACAGCAGCTGCTATATAATGGGAGGGAGATGAGGAATTCTGAGAAGCTGAGTGCCCTTGGCGTTAAAGATGAAGACTTGATAATGATGGTATCCAATGCTGCACCGAGGTATAGTTGACCCACTTCATGATTTACAATTGTTCTCTTTGTTTTTGTCATTTTGTATTTTCTATTCAATTCCCTTATGAAGTTCATGCATTTATATGAAGTTCATGCATTTAATGGGTCTGTGAATATATTTCAGTGCTTCAGCCAATGCTTTGAGCTTTAATCCAGATGGGTCTGCAGTAAACCCAGGAGCTTTTCAGCAGCACATTAAGAATGATTCTAATTTGATAGCACAGTTGTTTCAGGTAGCATGCTGTTCTTTTACTTCAATTTCTTTTTCTTGTTTTGGATGAGGTTTGTGAACACCTGCACATGATTTAAATTTTTTCTTTAGTTTCAGCATTGTTATTCTGAAGGTATAAACTGTTGCAGAGTTTTTCAAAATGCAATTCCTTAGTTTATGTGATTGTTTACTTCCAGTGAGTTTCTGACAATCTTACTTTTATGTGGAACGTACAGAGTGACCCAGACTTAGCACAAATTATTCTTGGAAATGATCTCAATAGACTGCAGGAACTTTTACGACAGCGTCATCGCCAAAAGTCTGAACTTCGACGGCAACAAGATGAGGAGCTTGTAAGTGACCTTTTCTTCCCCTTCTTCTAATGGTCATTGTAGGACAGTTGGTACTTTCTATGAATTTCGTGGTAATCTGCCTCCGTACTTACAAATAAATACCTACATCCATATGATAATTTTTGAATTTTCAGAGACATATAGTAATTAACTAACTGTAAATAATATTGCAATGTCTATTTCTGTCATGATACCTGTTTATCCTGTGTGTTACTTCTTGAATATAGATTTTGGCATGATGTATAATCTCTGTAATTAATGGAGTTTCTGTTTCACCTTATCTTGTGAGCAGGCTCTTCATTATGCAGATCCTTTTGATGTTGAAGCACAGAAGAAGATTGAAGCTGCTATTCGCCAGGTTAGTGGTATTGTCTTTGTCAAAGGCCTGAGGTTCACAAATGATAATTCAACTTCACAATTTCTTTAATAACCTGATGCTGTAGTTGTTCTTTCATAAAATACTTGCACTAGTAACATTCTCTTAAAATTTATTTTTAAATGCACAGTTTGTATTTTTTCTGTTTTTTATATTTGCTGATTTGCTTTGCAGAAAGGAATTGATGAAAACTGGGCCGCGGCTCTGGAACATAACCCTGAAGCTTTTGCAAGGGTGGTATGTATGATTGTCAACCTTTTTTACCATTGTTATCTTTTTAAAATTTACTCTTGATGTTTCATTTGATGTTCTATGTGACTTTTCAGGTTATGTTGTATGTTGACATGGAAGTCAATGGTGTCCCGTTAAAGGTAACTCAAACGTAATAACTTAGGGCGTGCACTGTTACTCTTCTTTCGCTTCAGTTCAATGTAATATGAGATGACAACATGCTTCATTTTTGTTGCCTTACTTAGATGTCTTACTTTATTTGACTTCCCTTCATATTTTCTGTACAGATTGTCCATCTCAACTAGTATTAGAAGTTATAATTTTTTATTTTTTTTCTGTACCCAAATAGCTACAAAAGTTACATATTTTGTTTATTTTCACTTGTGTCCAGGCATTTGTTGACAGTGGAGCGCAGTCAACAATTATTTCAAAAAGCTGCGCTGAGCGTTGTGGGTATGAGCTATTTTTCACTATTAGACAGTAATTTGCTATCTACTAATTGTAATAATTGATCTGCACAAGCTATTCATGTAACATATTCATGTTGACGAATATCTTATCACATACCCTTTTTGGATTATGCATGTAGGTATAGTATTTATTTATCCATACCTAGGTATGCCTACTGTTTATATGCGTGGATGTATATGCACCTGTCTTCATGCATGAATCTAATTCCAGTTTGGATTAGCAATTTAGGTGCCAATGCTATCCTGCCTATTGGCTGTTGGTCCACTGTCTTTTTGGTTGTGTTTCATTCTAGAAATTCAGTGGCCCAAACACGACCAAAATGCATGCATGGTTTTGAGAGCATGCTGATGTTGATTTGGATCATGAGAGAAAAGTAGGAAGTTGTTCTATAACAATCTCAGTCGGTAGCTTTCATTAGCTACTTTATATCATTACCACTTTAGACAATAAAATTTGGTTTTTATGATCATCCCCTAAAGATGAATTTTTGTGAAAGAGAAAACAATTTTGATTGCTTTATTTCTGTTTTCTTTATTAGAAACTCTGTTGGTTTTTTATATTTTATTTTTATGAATACTGTGAGAGTTATAGAAGTAAAAGCCTAATGTTGTGTTGTTTTGGGCATTGAATTATCTAGATTGTTGAGGCTTTTAGATCAACGTTACAAGGGTATTGCTCATGGAGTTGGTCAATCAGAGATATTGGGTCGGATACATGTAGCTCCAATCAAGGTAGCTGCCTATGATAAACATTTCATATCATATTATACTCTTGTGTCTGAGATGGTTACTTGAGTGACAGGATTTTTAACTTATTTATTAACATTGTTTCTTTAGATTGGGAATATATTTTATCCTTGCTCATTCTTGGTTCTGGATGCTCCCAATATGGAGTTCCTCTTTGGGTTGGATATGCTCCGTAAGCATCAGGTAGGATACATGCTCCAATTATGTGATAGTTGTCCACCTCAATGGCTTTAATTAGTGAAGTTTTCCAGATTTGTTAGTCTTCTAACATTGCAGATGTCTTCAGTGCATTATAGATCTGAAGGATAGTGTTTTGAGAGTTGGTGGTGGAGAAGTTTCCGTACCATTCTTGCAAGGTTGGTCCCATTATCTCTCTTCATATGTATGAATTTATAAAGATTCTGGAATATATGTCCTTTGGTAAATAAAAAACTTAAACTATGTACCAATTTCAGAAAAGGACATCCCATCTCGTTTTCTGGATGAAGAAAGGTTTGCCAAGGAAGCATCCAGCTCAGGAGCTCCTGTAAGTCTACTTGAGTTTATGCTTTTCCTGAAGTCAACAGTTCTTGATGTTTGCAATGTCTGATTCCTTTAATCAAAATGCTGCTATATCTAATCATCGAGTGCACAGCCCGTGGATAGTCTAATACAAAACTATGGAGGATCATTATTCTGGTGTTAACCATAAAAACCAATTGGCTCTTTCGTCCTGTATGAGTCCTTGTATTAGTTCCCTTTTTCTCTTCGTATCTTTTCCTTCCTTCCAATTTTCTTGTTAAGTACAGATATAGCATGGTTTTTTTGGATCATAGCATTTATTAGGATATGTTTAGGGTCTTAAAAAAGTTTTCAGATCTAGGAAGGCAATCAACCTTTGATGTATATTTTGTAAGTTCTTGTATGGATTGGCACTCTTGTTATTTCTTTCAATATTCCTCATTTTACTTTATTGTGTTATTCTTCAGGTTACATCTGGAACAGCAGATACAAGCAAAAATTCACCATCGGGAGGGCAATCGTCTGGTTAGTTTGGAAATTGGTTGCGGTTGTTAACGGGATTCTCATTTTGATAATGATTTGTGTATGCAATTTAGTTTGTTTGCTCTAGTTTGGTTGAATTGGTTAAAAGGTAAATTGTGATAGCAGTGCATGCATGATGTTTTGCCGCATATAACTGATGCACTTTTCCTTTTAAATTGACACAGGAAGTGCTCGTTCCAACCCGACTCAGGTAGACTTCTTTAGCTTTAACCTCTGCTGCAGTGTGTTTACACTTGGTTACTCTCAGTTCTAAGTTCTCAATCTTGGGCTATTCAATCTTTTGGGGTCACCATATAGAGAAGTTTGACTGGGGTGATGATGATGATCAATTATCATGGTATGAAAATTCTAATCTGATAATGGTATGGCTGCAGGGACCTGATTTTGAAGCTAAAGTTGCAAAGCTTGTTGAGCTAGGGTTCGGGAGAGATGCTGTAATACAAGCTCTTAAATTTTTCGACGGTAACGAAGAACAAGCAGCAGGGTATCTTTTTGGGGGCTGATTAAGCTATATACCTTTAAAATTCATTTCATTGTTGGAATAATAATGATTAATTGGAGAACTCAATTGCAAAAGTAGTTCAAGTTGAAATATTGTGTATTTTGTTACCCTTTGATTTGATTTTAATCTATTGACACCCACGAACGGGGCTGGCAAGATTTACCCTTCTCAGATTATATATCATTCATCCTGTGTGTTGGGGTTGCCTGGTTTACTTTATCTCTGCTGCTAACTGTCTTTGATTGTCTCTGCCATACATAAGGTATTGTAAATGCATTGTGTACGTATGGGTTAGGCCTTCAATGTTAATTAGTATAAGGTCGTCAAAAACTATTCCAAACTATATGTTGCATTGAAGAATGTAGAAAAATGATGATAATTAAAAAATTAATTGAGTAAACATAATTTTTTATTCTGAAAGTTTAGATTGAAATAAAATGCTTTAGTACCAAAAACCTTCCCTTCCTATACTTGAGAAGCAAGCAACTAAGCGAGGCCAAAACAGACATTTCAAGAGCACCAATCAGGGGCGAAAAGGTAATTAAACAAACAAACACTTCCAGTGCACACTCTAGCTGATAGCTACAGGTAGGTTAGGGTTAGGGATCTCTCAAGGAAATGGACGCCTCTATGAATAAGTTTGTCAGGAAAGGGCAACATTTAAAATGCTAAAAGCTCCAAAAAATGAACAATCGAAAATCCTAGATAAATTCTTTAAAGCTCAAAACCTATGTTGTACGAGTACATAAATACGATACAATATGACACAACGATACAAAAAATCTTCAAAAATTAGAATTTGGATATGACAAAGATATGGCAATTAAAATAATATATAATATATTAATTTTGTATAAATTGTAATTGAATTAACACATTAGTTCTATTAGTTATATATATATATATATAATTGAATTAACACATTTGTCCCCACTTTTGGCATGACTTAGCATGACTCATATATAATATATAGTCTCTAACGACAGTCTTCTAGCATGACTCATATATAATATCTCGTTATTATTGCTTGCCCTTTTATTTACTCCCTAGTTCAGGATTCCTATCCCACTAAATTGTGCATTTTGTTTCCTTGAAATCCTAGGGTTAGGCGTCAATAGTCAATACAACAACATAACATTATTCAGCCTATACAATTTTATTATTGAAGGCCAAAACACTTAACAAATAAAAGTAAAAAGAATATGTGCGTTATAGTCAGAACTTAGCTAAGGTCAACATTGTTTATTGATTGGCCTCTTGTGAAGTTGTGTCAAACCATGAATTCTTGGTTTTAATTACATGCCAAATTGTCTCTTTGTTTCTTTTGGCCGGTTAATGTATCTTTGTACCCTTTACACTTTGTTTAATCTTCTATTAGAACACATGCTTCTCCAAAAAACACTTCTAAAGCGCTTTTAGCCCTTCCAGAAGCACTCCCAAACATATTCTATAGAAAATGCATATAATTCAATCAAAACAAGTTCTCTTGGTATTTCAAACCCAAATCAAAACCAATCTGCCAATCTGTTTGGTGTCAGCTATCATAATCATCATCTTTGAGAGCATTCTCGTTCAATACTTGTGCTTACTTGAGAGGCAAGAAACAATGTGGCGGAACATAGACTTCCCGAAACTGAATTTAGCCATATGACATCTCATGAGCCTTCAAAGGCTCAAACTTTGGCTTGGGTGGCAAGGAACCAGATGCTGGAGTCTTGAGCATGCTGGCTATGACCCTTCAAACATTGGAAGAGTTGCTCTGCGGATATATTTTTTGTGTTATTTGATACAAGTCCTTAAGGTCATCAACCCTTGCATTTGTCTCAACACAGCAAGAAGCACCTTGAAGACCTCTTATAAATAATGTAAGCACTTTGATGATATAACGTATCAACTGGATATCAAAATGAACCTGTCACTCAGGAGCATAGTCTAAAATGAAACAGAAATATAAATACGAATGCAACTCAAACAAAATGTTTCCATAAAAAGGAAATTCTTACAAGATGTCATGTCTAATCAAGTTACAAAAATACCTAGAACCCTTGCAGGGCCACACGCATCCTCCGAATACTCAAAACTATAATTGGCTATAACAAATGCATTACTCAAGACCAACTCTCTAAGGTATCACAGACTAAAATCAAAACCTTTCTGCCAATCTGGCAGTAACTGCTCTTAATTTTGAATACACTTTTCCAGCAGGGGACCCCAAGATAAGGCTGCAAAGAGAATCCCTTGCAACTTTAATATTTGCAAACGAGCCCAGTATGTGAATCTTGGTATCAGCAATCACAATCCTCGTCTTTGTAGCATTCTCGATGGCAAACTTTGTTTTACCACCTTTACCGGACAGTCTTCCTATAGCACGAGACAAGTGCTCCCCACGAAGTGTTTTAACATCCTTGATCTCAAAAGACTCCACATACAGCTCATCCATACGCAAAAGGGCAATTGCATCTATCACATCAAACCCCAGCATGAAAGCCTGAACAAAATCAGAACACTTCTGTAAATTACTCACGTCGGGTGTGTCAGCTCTAGTCTTTAACTCAACTTTGCGACCCTTGAGATTCATACGAATGTCTATCTTCATCTGCTCATAAACTGGGGTGTAAATGTCCATCCATACTTTCTTGAGAGGTGAATATCGATGTGGTGGAACAGAGACTTTCCGGAACTGGACTCGACCATCTGACATCTCATGAGCCTTCAAAGGCTCAAAAATTGGTTTTGGTGGCAAAGCCGCAGATGCTGAACTTGGTTCAGATGGAACTGCTTCGACTTCCATGGAAACCGGAGCTTCATTGGACTGCATTTTTAACTGCTCTGACTTTTGGACCCTTCAAATATTAATAAAAATGTGTTCAAATAGGAGCATAAAATCAGAAATCATGTTTACCAATCCCTAAAAAAAACATCTGTCCTCACAGTAAACATCTACTCTAATTCTAATTAAGCTTTATATCAATAAAAATATACAATGCAATACAAACTATCCCTGCCTTGTCTGCGAGAACTGAAACAGAGCGCTGTTCTCACAATTACAACCTCAACTGAAATATCCACAGCCTAAGATGCAATCATAAACTACACAGATGCTTCATGGACTTTCAATTTCACAAAGTGCTTCAATAAACCCTACTTTAAACTTACTGCAAATAAAAGGAAAATTAAATTCCGTTTCAAGTGACAAAATTTTCCCAATTTAATCATAGGTGCCTGAATTCTTTTTTATCGAGCTCGGAAATAGAACAAGCATCAAAATTGGCAGAGACCCAAATGAAAAACACACAAAAATTTCTGTAAAATTCAACAAAGATGCAGAGATCAACTGCTTTTTCAACATACCCACAAAAACTTAGGTCACGAATAGCCTAATTTTACTACGCTTAAGAAATGCTGGAGAAAAAATGAAACCTTTATGATAAAAAGAGAGTACCTGGGGCGTGATGTAAGCAAAATTTGAACTCCTCTCTTCCTCTGCGTCTTCGTCTATATGTGAGAGAGAGGGCCACGAAAGAGGAAGAGAGGGATAGCTAGGGTTTTGCTTTTATTAATTTCTAAATAGTGATTTGGGTTCATTTTTTGGTCGGACTGATTGTCCATGGATTGGGCCTTATTTGTTTTTAATAAGATTGGGCCTTGTTTGTTGTTACAAAAAAGTGAATTGTAATAAAAAAAAGAAAAAAAGAAAAAAGTATTCTCCAAGAAGAAAGATAAGGTTGCTTCAGCATCTTTTTAACTTTTTATAGCTTTTTCAAGTGAGCGCATTGACTGTTAGCAAAAGACCAAGAGGTTGGAATTAAAAAACTATGAAATGAAGGGCCAGATCATTGCTCTACCTAATACTTATCTTTAATCCAACGGCTATGGATAGGAATTTGGTGCACAACTCTAGCTATATATAAATATAGATAAGCAAAGTTGTTGTGTGGCCACAAGTTCAGCAAGTGAAGAAGCAGAGAATATGGAGAGGGAGATGGAATTTTAGGAAGGTTATGGCATGGGTAAGTGGGGAAGATGATAAAACTAATTACTACTTTTGAGTGGTTACAACTTAGAAGTAGATAAAAAAATGTTATCTTTCCCAATCCACCCATGCCTTAGGTTTCCTCTTATTCATCCCTCTCCTCAATTTCTCTCCTCTACTACTACAACATTTATATATGATATGTTTATTATGTTTGGTAGCTGTTCATCTATGGATTTACTCTTCTTTAGTGTCCATCATATATTTTTATTATGTGTGGTGTGGTGATTAGGTTTTCCATGGTGTGTAGTTGGTTTTATAGTTTTTCCATGTGTTTTTTCTTTGTAAGGGTTGGTATAATTTGTTGAGTGCGCATATAAGGATCTATTTTGAGGCCAAAGATCTCATCAACCTTATAAATTTCCAGCTGATTTTCTGATCTATGGAGATCTTTGTTACATAGTTTCTTTGAGCTGATCATATTCATATGGCAGCAAAATATGAAAAGTAACCAATTAAGAACATTTGTTTCATCTTTTTATTCGCTTATTGGCACGAACTTAAGCTGACAATCAATCTGAAGTTGAATGCAAACATGGCCAAATTCTAATAGTGCTTCACTGCAAGAGGGCTCTTTACATAGTGACTGCCATCTGACCATATCAACTCTCCAAATACGTACCCTTGAGGCTTACCCTTAACCTTAGCTTTCAATATAACCTTGAACATCTTCACTTCACCAATTCTCTTAAATTTCAATCTTCTAGGTTCAACCAAAACTTCTACTTCTGATGGCTCCTTGACATGCACTTTGTATGTGCCGGGAGAACCAACATTTGTAACTTTTCTGTTTATGGTCACTGAGTCTTCACTGAGATTAGGAACTGAAATTGAAGGGTAGTTGAAGTCTGCTAGGCTGAATGACTTGGAACACTTGTAAGTTGAGTTGGAGAATGATTTGATCATGGTTTCATTGTATCCGCGAGCGCATAAGAAGTTCAAGTAATCTAGCGTTGTTAGGTTGTAAACTAGCCCTGGATCCATTGCTTTGTTTGGTTGAATGTGTCCTGAGCCATAAGCAAATGGTGTTGCCTTCACATAAGAAGAGTCATCAAGTATTGGTTCCATGTGGTCATCCTGTGTTGTGGCTGCATGTGTAAGGAAAGTAAGTAATGCTAGAATGGCAGATGTGCATTTCATTTTTAACTGGTCAATGAAAAAAACTAGGTGTTGTGTACCAGTGGTCATGATTGCAGATTTAATAGCTGCCGGACTCCAATCAGGGTGGAGTGTCCTGAGAAGCCCTGCAATTCCAGATGCATGAGGGCATGCCATTGAACTGCCAGTTTGCACATTAAAAGGAACCCGGCGAGTGTCGGAAATTTGAGAAGTTGGCCCTGCTGCTTCAGTATAAGCAGCAATTATGCTCACCCCTGGTGCAATGATATCAGGCTGAAAATATGTAAAGAAAAGTTCATGTAATGTATAAACAGTAATGGTAATACCAGGGAAAGAAAACCCCATTAATTTGAACTAGAGAACAGAGAGAGTTATAGTTTACCTTTAAGATTCCCTGTTCCTGGAGGTTAGGCCCCCTAGATGAAAATGTAGCCACAAATGGAGCTGGCTTTGATCCCAATTCAGTCTTGACTCGAGTTAAGTAAGCCATAGGGGTTCTGTTATGAATAAAGTTACACACTTGTGAGTAATTAAGACCAAATTTGATGATATATATAAAAACAAAGTCCAAAAGCAAATTAGTAAGTGAGAGAGTTAAAGACTTGGTGGATTTAATGTAATCAAAGATATATTTGCCGTCAGTGTAGTTGACATGTGAAACAAGGAGCACATGAGGATCGGCTACAACATCATTTCCACTTTGCTCATCATTAACCAAGATCATTCCTACAGCACCTGCCATATCAGCCTGCCAGCTCTTCTCAGTTCTTGCATTATCATTATATTCTCGAAGGCAAACCAAGATCTTTCCTTTCACCTTCCTAGGATCAAGGGTTCCACCCTGGCAAATTATTCTGAAGTGAAAAATGAAGCAGCTTACACATTGCTAAAGAGTAGAATCATACAACTTTTCGAAATTGATAGGTTCAAGCATTGTGCTTACGCTTCTGCAGTGGATGCATTAGCATGTTTCGCTTCTGCTGCGCTGACCAATGGGTAGAACTTTTCCGATGGCAAGCCTTTAGCTGAAAGGCTAACTCCCTGGCAGAGTAAAAATGTAAACTAGTTACTGCAACCCATTATGTCTAGTAAACATCAAACAGGCATGCTGCTATTGGGAACCATTCAAAAATTGAACATCCTAGTTTGGTTGTATTGGGTCGTCCCTTGTGGACCCTAGGAAAGTATGCAAAATGTACCTTCAAATGCTTCTTGTTTCCGAGAGAGACATAACTTGTGAACTCCCGATCGATTGTGCCAGCACCAACTGTTAATAACCAGGGCGACAGATTTAACACTGTCCCTGGATTTGGTCCTGTATTGCCAGCTGCACTAACCACAACAATGCCATGCTTAACTGCATGGAAGGCCCCTATTGAAATTGAACTTTTAAAAAATTCTTGTGCTCCTCCACCAAGAGAAACAGAGATTATATCGACTCCATCACTTATTGCAGCATCAAAGGCAGCTAATACATCTGCATCAAAGCACTGGACACCTTCATATGGTGGCCAGCATACCTTATACGCAGCAACATGGGCTCGAGGCGATCCACCCTTGGCAGTTCCATTGCCATTTCCAAAAACACTTACTCCGGGAACAAAGTTGCCAGCAGCCGTGGCCAGGGTGTGGGATCCATGGCCATCATAGTCACGAGCGGTGGAAAAGGAGGAATTGAGAGGGCCAGCATACATGGCAAGACCATTGTTAAAGTACCTTGTCCCAATCAGCTTTCTGCATTAAAACGTGCCCTTTCATATATGCGAAAGATTCTCATCAAGCTTTGGTTGAACATTTTGCATGACCATTAGTCCAATGAACAAACACAAATTTTCTAAAATTTGGTGAAAGCATGGTTTGAAAATTTGATGTGCAGATATGCACAGCAGCACAGAAAGCCATAGGAGGCAAAACAATAAAACGCAGAATTAGCAAGAGCACATCATTAAAAACAGAGAGCTTGAATGGTTCAGATAGCTAGTTATTAGCCAATGTCCCACCAAGAAATGAAAAGTGAAAAATAGGATCAAAAGAGTCGCTTCAACAGAAAGTAGATGGTGACTGGAGTTAGTGAGAAAATCACAAAATCCAATAATGCTAACATTTTTTTTCCTTTTTTTACCCTCAATTATGGTCTCCTAACCAATGATTGATCAACCTCTGGTACTGAGTCATTGCTTCAACAGAACAACGTACCAACTCTAGCACTAGCAGGTTTTTTTCTTTTTTCTCTCAAAATGTTTTCTAAGTTTCTTATGCACCATATGCACGAATATCAAAATTTAGTACCTTTTTTTTTTTGGCCTACTCACCTAAAGACTAAAACCATATATTGCTTTTCTCTATAGTGAAATTGAAGTATCAAATGCAATGAAACTCAACTGGATTCAAGGTACTCCGATAGAAGCAGAGTTTGAATTTGAACTTTACCTACCAGCTTTATCAAAGCATTGGTTTAAAATATAATTAAAGAACAAGTGGCTGTCAGTAGACAAGACTCAAGAGGCTGGACCTGTTACAACGAACTCGCTTTGTATCATGTTGACAAATTCCACGCCACTTTGAAGGGACGGGTCCCAACCCTTCATCACTAAAGCTTTTTGATTCTGGCCAAACACCTAACACATCCCCATTGCAAGAAATAACAGTTAACAATGTAGGTTTTGGCAAAGAGTGAAAAAAAAATTCTCAAAAAATTCTTTGTTATTATGTTCTATCACAAATTTGATCAAGTTCTCAAGTTACAAGTCTTAGCAGGATAATCTAAAAGCTATCAGCTTGGCAAAGAAACGGGTTGTGTGACTGAAACAAGCAAACACAAAACGAAGTTCCAGAAACAATGCGACACTGACAGCAATTTACAAGTTTCATAGTTCTTGAAGAAAATAAGTAATTACTTGTGGTCTAATAAACTCGAAAAACATATAGAAGTTTACCAGTATCTATGTTTGCAATTATTGTATCTTCTCCCAACCTTGCCTTCATCCAAATGGAGTGTGAAGGAATTAGTCCATTTCTCTCTAATCCAAGAAAATTCCATGATCTAGTTGTTTCCAGTTTGCTTCCCTTGTTTAAGAAAACCGATATCACATTTGGATGCTCTGCATCCTCAAAAATACAAAGCAACTTAATTAATATTTTCCTGCAGCTTAATACCACAAACTAGGTTGTAGCTTGTATATATGAAAACTGACATTAGAAGAAAAAAATTATTACCACATACCTGCAATATCTGCAGCTTCTTCCTCTTCAAGAATTGCAGCAAAACCATTAATATGTCTAGTGTAGGAGTAGAAGATCACATCTTTGGCACTCTTGTTGCTGTAAGTGGAATTCAAAGCAAATAAAATAGTTTGGAACATCAATTTATATGGAAAGGACCAGAGGTTTACTTTGCCTTGTGTTAAATTCTATACCTTCTCAAGAAAGACCCCAGAAAATCATAATGAAATTTTCTCACAGAATCGAGATCCAGGGATGAGGGGTCGGGGCCATGTGAATGTGCTCCTAAGTACACTATGAATGACTGCTGTACCAAAGAAATCTTAAGGTCATTGGAAGAACTCAAGTACACTTCAGAAATATGATCATCATGTTCAAGAAAACTTGTTTAGCTGCAGCAAAAAGATTAAAAGAAAAACATGCTTGCCTTTTTTATGGATAGGGTAGGTGTCTGCAACAGAAGGAACAAAAGAACTGGTAGAAGCAAGGAAGGAAGAGTTGAAAGCACCATTGCTTTGATTAATCTTTGTACAAAAATGTTGGCTACAAAGCTGGTTCAAGTTTATTTCTCTGTATGACAAATTGTTGACATAACTATATAACTTTATGGTACTGATAGCTTGAAAAAGTAGATTCCATAAACAAAAAATGCTGATATGTAGATGTATGTATATGAGAGATGTTTAATATGATGGTAGACTACCTTTACTTTGAAATTTCTCTTCTTTTTTTTCTAGCCATTGTGCTTCAATGTTCTTTAAGTAAAACAAGAGATCCTTGTTTGGACACATGGGTCCTACTTTATGCCTGTTTGGGTGGCAGGTTGTGACACACAACGAGCTCAAGTCAAGAAAAAAAAATTAAATTAACACTACATTTTTTCACATGGTAACCAAATAAAAACTTCCATTTGATCCTTCATCATCAATTCCTTTATTCACCTTTTTATTTTCCACTGATGTTTTAGAAAAATAAATCATTTCTGCCAAAAAAACAGAAAAGACATAAAATACATTTGACTAATATGATCTCTACCTAATAATTTCCACATATTTGAAGGGCTCTAGACAATGATGAAAATGAATTGACCTACTTTGTCATTTCTAGTAGTGCATGACAACAATAGGGCTCCTGACATTGTGCTTTCCATCAGACCAATTCAACTCTCCAAACACATAGTCTTGAGTACCCTGAACCTTAGGCTTCAGAACAACCTTGAATTTCTTCTCTTCACCAATGGTCTTGAATTGCATGCTACTAGGCTTAACCGACACAGAAACTCCTGCTGGTTCCTTAATATGTACTACGTATGTGCCTGGAGAACCAACATTCTTAACTCTTCTAGTTACAGCCACTGGTTTGTCATGGAGATCAGGAACGGTAACTGAAGGATAGTTAAAATCTGCAAGACTGTATGCCTTGGGACATGTGTGTGGCTCGTTGGAAAATACTTTGAGCAGTGTTGCGTTGTAGCCACGAGCGCATAAGAAGTTCAAGTAATCATCAGTAGTTAAGTCATAAACAAGTCCAGGGTCCATAGCACGGTTTGGTTGAACATGTCCTGCTCCATAAGCAAATGGTGTTGCTCTGGCTTTGGATGAGTCCTGCATTGCCTCCTTGTTGTTATCTCGTTTTCTTGCTGCAATTGAAGCAAAAAAGGAAAATATTAGATTCCAAAACAAGTTTGACTAGTTATGGTGTCACTAAAAAAAGCTTGTACCTGTAGTCATGATTGCAGATTTAATAGCTGCAGGGCTCCAAGATGGGTGAAGAGTTTTCAGAAGACCGACAATTCCAGATACATGAGGGCATGACATCGAAGTTCCAGATTCTGTATTGAAAGATACACGGCGCTTATCGAACTTCTGATCAGTTGGCCCTTCTGCTCCAGTATAAGCAGCAATTATACTCACTCCTGGTGCTGTGATATCAGGCTGATTTACAAACAAGAACAAATTAGTTGAAATAATCTAAACAGACACCATAAACACAAGTTAGAAAACAGTTTCAAAGAATACCTTAAGGATTGACTGCTCAATGGTGTTAGGTCCCCTAGAAGAGAATGAAGCCATAAATGGTGCTGGTTTTGCTCCTACTTCCGTCTTCACACGAGTTAAGTAAGCCACAGGGGTCCTGATGCATGCAAAATTTCACTGAATGAGGAGCCAGATAATTAATCAGGAACTTTTGAAGTTCACAAACAAGAAGTGAAAGATGTAAACATGTACTTGGTAGACTTGATGTAGGCAAAAACAGCTTTCCCATCCGAATAATTGACATGTGAAGTGGGAAGCAAGTGAGGATCAGCAATTATTTCATTCCCACTTAGCTTATCATTAACCAAAATCATTCCAACAGCGCCTGCAAGAACAGCTTGCTGACCCTTGTCAGCTCTTGCATTTTCCCCTCGAATGCAGACCAAAATTTTCCCCTCCACCTTCTTTTTTTCCAGACTTCCAGCTTTGCAGAGCTGGCTAACAAAGTTCAACAAGAAACGGTCAAGCATTGTAAATGATGAAGAACATATCATGAAAATAATTGGCGGTACTCACGCATCCGAAGAGGAAGCATTAGCTGCTTTACCATCTACTGCACTTATCAATGGGTAGAACATCTTAGATGGCAAAGCTCCAGAGGAAAGACTTGCTCCCTAGTAAAGACAATGCAAAAGAAAACTAGGATTATTTTGGGAAATATAACTGTTGATTAGCACATCAACGACCATATCATATCACCAATTAATGTGATCCCTCCTAGCATTACTCATAACAACGAAGAACAAATGGTGGCTGAGAGGTTAAATTGGAATACCTTTAGATGCTTCTTGTTGCCAAGAGCAACATAACTGGAGAACTCACGATCAATTGTGCTAGCTCCAACTGTGAGCAACCACGGTGACACATTCGACACTGTCCCGGGGGTAGGGCCTGAATTGCCAGCTGAGCTGACCACAGAAATCCCCTTCTTGACAGCATGGAAGGACCCTATTGCGATCCCATCACTAAAGAACTCTGCAGCTTGACCACCCAGAGACACCGAAAGCACATCAACACCATCACTGATTGCAGCATCAAAGGCTGCCATGATGTCTGCATCAAAGCACTCATTGCCATTGATTGGCGGCCAACATACCTTGTACGCAGCCACACGAGCTTTCGGTGATCCACCCTTCGCAGTGCCATTGCCATTGCCGAAGACACTTGCTCTCGGGACGAAATTACCAGCAGCTGTTGACAGTGTGTGAGAGCCATGGCCACCAAAGTCGCGTGCGTTGGGCTGGATGGTCTTAGCTGCAGAGGAGTTTACTGTGGAGGCATATGCAAGATAGCCTTTGCTAAAGTACCTTGCTCCGATCAGCTTCCTGCACAAGTGATTATCAGCTAATTAAACTTGTATTAAGCTGACAAGCAAAGATTTCTTCAACCGAAAAACACAGCCATGTGAATTGAATTAAACAAACTAGCAATGCAGCAATCACAATTTGCGTGCTAAGAAAAATATACATGAAAGTGAGGCAGCATGTAATGAATATAATATTAATGGTAAATAATAACTGTTTGTAGATTAGATTAGTACAACACAGACATTGCTAGCATAGTTGGTCTTACGTCTGCATGTGATGAAAATGTGCAACATAAACAATGATCCAAGTTGACTTTCTGAGATTTAAACTGGAGGCATTTCAGTCAACTCCAAGCATGATCAGGACCAAACAAAAAAAGCCTCTTTCAATGTGGATAAAATACAGGAAACCATTTTTCTTGTTATCCAAACTTTTTACTTTGATGACTCTCAAAGCATGTTCTTTCCATCACATAATTCAAAAAAATACAAATAAAATAGAGCTGAACTGATAGGTGATAAATTGCAAAAGTATGACATACCAGAAAAAATAGGTGGGAGACACAGCTTTTGGGAACTTTATAATAGGGACCCCCTTTCTTTTCAAACTTTATAATAAAGTTAGGGTGTTAGATCATAGATGTCGCCCAATAAGGCGTTAGATCAAAAGTCAATTACCCATGGGATACAGTCACCTCCCATAAACCATAAACTCACATGGTGTTGAAAACCAATTCCGAAATAGTTGGGTAAGCGTGAAATGAAAGAAATGCTAAAGGCGAGTTCACACGCAAGTGGGTGACTTCTGTCCGTAAATGTAATTTAGAGCCCATAACTCGTCTACTAAAGTTAGATATACCTATTGGGTATCTTCACCTAGCATCTTAAGTTATGTTTGTTCCCATAAATAAATCTTGATCACTCAAATGAGGGACAATTAAACTTTTCAAACATGTAATGTGTTTTGAAAATTGAAGTGCTTAAGAAAGACAGCAAGAAGTGGAGAAAAGAATGAACCTATTGCAATGAGAACCATTTTTGGTGTCAAGCTGACAGATTCCACGCCACTTGGATGGGATTGGTCCAATCCCTTCGTCGCTAAAGCTCTTTGATTCCGGCCAAACACCTACCGCACACCCAATAAAGAAAACAAGCCAAACAAAAGAAAACGTCAAAGCACACATGATTGACACAAGAACAGTATGGCAATGGCACACACAAATAATATGCTACAAATAATGGAAGCAAAAGCAAAACTATAGCAGAAAGAAAAATAATATATATGGTATTCTTATACCCACAATTTGAAACACAAATATATTACAAAGTTGTCACAGTCAGTTATCTAGACTGATCTGCATTTCTTACAGCGGTTAATTTCTAAGAATTAAGATTTTCTTGCAGTTAAATAAAACAAAGCTTGAGATCAACTTGCAAAACTCTTTGAAATATGAAAGTGGGTTGGTCAAAATCATTATGCAAGATGCCATATTGGGTTGGTAGCATTTCACAATTAGGGTTTGTTTCATATAAACCATGATATATATCACTTCAGAAAGTTTCTATCTGATATGAAAAACGCTGACCTAATAGGGTCAGGTCAAAGTATCATAATTATATAAAACTCAGCAGCACTATATCATTGTCAACTTCTGGATTTAATTCGAAGAAATCAGTTGTGCTAAAAACGTGGACATGAAATCAAGTTTCAAAAAATCACGCAAGATTTAATGGGCAAGGCATCTATCAAGAAAAGCAAACAATGTGACCCATCTTATACTCCAAAGAGTTCAATGTTGCATAAATTTTGAACCAACCAACAAATTAAATCAAATTAAATTACCAGTATCAAGGTTTCCAATAATGGTATTTGCACCAAACTGTGCCTTCTTCCAAATCGAACCGCGACGAACTTCTCCGTTTTCTTCCAATCCAAGAAAATCCCATGAACGAGTTGTATGCAGTTTTCTTCCTCTGTTTGGGAAAACAGAAAGAACATTTGGGTCCCCTGCAATTGCATATGCATAGCCATTGTGAGAAACAGAGAAAAACAGAGGAAACTGTAAATAAGAACGAAGTTCTAAAATTGATTTCCAAAAACATTGTAATGGATACATTTCTATAGAAAGTATAAGATTTAAATTCTTACTTGCAATCTGAGCAGCCTCTTCATCATCCAAAATTGCAGCAAAGCCATTGATATTTCTGTTGTAGGAGTAAAATATTGCTTCTTGGGCCCTTTCATTGCTATTGAAGAAAGTGCAGCAAATAACAAATTCAACCACATTAGTCATATGAAAAATATAAAAAAATAAAAGCCTGGTGAGAACTTATATCTAATGCCATACCTTCCCAATACTGATCCCAATAAATTGTAATGAGAGTTTGTTACGCTATCGAGATCGACCGACGAAGGGTCCAGGACATGAGGCTGTGCTCCTAAGTACACTATGTAAGACTGAAACAAAGAATAATTCCAAGGCCATCAGTAGAATTCATTAGAATGACAAAAGAAAACTGAGAAAACTGAATTGCATGAATGAAGCGAAGAAAAGCAATGCATGCATACATTTTTGGCAGCATGGACTGGTATCTGAAACAGAGAGAAGAGAAGAACAGAGAGAAGAAAAGGAAGGAGAATTGAACTCCCCATTGCTTTGCTTTGAATGTTTTCTGAAGAAGTTCGTAAAGAGGGCTCTGCTTTCCCCTGTTTTTAAAACTCCTTTTTTGCCTTTTTTGGAAGCAAAATTTGCTTCCCTCTTCGGATTAATAACGGAAAGTTGTGGGATTTGAAAGTTACCTTCTAAGGGAATTGGCAATTTTTTTTTTGCAAAAAAAGGGCAATTTGCCTATTTGAGAGAGAAAAATATCCCTTATGTTTTTGCAAAAATTATGTCGTCCATCAAGCAAATATCATGGTGGCCTGTATATTAATTTCAGGAATCTGATTGAATTTGGCAAGAAATTTAGTACAGGGAATCAGTAATTAGCATCAATTAGTCTTCTTCAGTGGGAAATTGATTCAAATTTAGTACCTTTTTTTTCTGAAGCAAATCACTGTTGATTTGCTTTGACTAGTAAATTATAAAATTTGCTTGTAAAAAGATTTGCAAAATGCAAATGTATCACGTCTCTCTCGTATAAAAAATATATAAAAAAAGTGAAAAAAAAATAGAAATCTCAACTTCAATCTTTCTGTTTTGTAGATGGGCCAAACTTGCCTTTAGAGCCAAGGCAAGCCTGCAACTAGGTTGTCCAAATAGAGATACAAATGTTCTCAGCATTCTCATCTATGGATAAAATAGTCCATGCAGTTTTAGACAAAGGGAGAAACAAAAGCCCATGTTTCTGGTGGAACCCAAAGAGAGAAACAAAAATAAAAGAAAGACTCGAATAATATTCTCTCCATATGCTTTCTAACCACTCCTCTTCTCTCTCTCTGTGTAAATGCATATATTCTAACAGATGCTTCCCCAGAAGTTCTTATCACTTATGATTTGGTAGCGTTATTTCAAGCCTTCCTTGGAAGTGTACACTTCATCAGGACTTGTCTCTCCACATTACAGTCAAAGAAGAAAATCTCACGATTATATCAGTGTTAGAAAGAAGAAGGAACACCACTCCCACCACCACCCCCTCCTCCCACCCTCAGAGTTTCTCTCCAAGGTGAGCTACTTGCCCTTGCTATAAGAAGTTATAGATTAATTGCTCTTGCTCTGAAACTTGCCGTTGTCGTTGTTTTGCTCATGCCGAGTTTAAGATTCTCGAGTAACAAAGAGAATTCCTATACTATTTTTGTCTTCATAACTTGTTGGTTGTGCTTTACTTGCTATATGTTCTGAATTTTCGTTAAATCCATACCGTGGCCCTCAAATGATTACGAAACATGTTCTTGAAGATAATTCAGATGCTTTTGTTTCATGCGTGTGCCATGCATGTCAAGGATTTGGCCCGTTCTTCAGACTTCAAGATGTAACTATTCCATTGATAAAATAAAAAGATCATTCAAATCCGAAACCAAAATATAAAATCATTCAAATTTCACTTTTGAATTCAAGAATATGTGTTTCTGTAACACGAATGGCAGCTTCTATGTCATGACATGAGAACCAATATATATATGTACAGGACGACATAGATAAATTCGATCTGGACTAAAGAATCACCATGACAATAAATCCTGGACACTAATTTTACTAGCAATCCACAAATTCATGGACATAACAGCGCTTATGATTTCATTCTTCTGTTTTTGTAGGCTTCAGAAACCTTTCCAGGCATTAAGAACTTCATGGAAGATTTCAGCTATCAAGTCCCTGTCTGCACTTAGCAAAAAGGCATTGAAATCGTCTTGGATGTCATATATCTTACCAAACTTCACAAGATACCGCATGCAGCTGGTTTTCAGTCGTGGCAATTGATATAGAGATGCATTTTGGAGCCTCTCAAGTACATTCTTTGCATCAATATCTTCCAAAAGACTCTCATGGCATGCATCTTTCAGGTCAGAGATGTCATACTTATCAGCAGCATGGAGAAGGGCAAGCCTGTTAGTCAGGAATTCTTCATGTCCGATGTTCCCATAAATGTAATTAAGAAAAGCCTGACAAGCATCAATTGACATATCAGAGATGTTTATGGTGGACAGTTCCTTCTCTTTGAGGTCATGCGAAAACATGCTACGGAAAACAGGTGATCTTGCAGCAAGAATTGCCCGATGAGCTCCAATGCTTCCATCAGACACGTTAATCATGATGTCGGTGTGGATGCCTTCTGTTAACATTCGACCAAGGGACGCAAGAGCTGTTGCATTGGATCGCTTTTGCGTCAATCCTTCAGCCCAGATGGAGCAAGGTTCTCCACTCTATAAATGTAATGGCAAATTATCATTATTAAATTAGGAATGGTGAAATCAGCACTCTTGTTTATTATTACTTATGCTCAACCTAACCTCAGTCTCAACAGAACAATGTGATTATGTTGGCTCTTCAATATCATACTATATATTTAAATTAATATTAGCAGTTTTTACAACAGCAAGTAAAGTAAGATGCTTACGTCTCCGGAGGCAGTCTTCAAATCAAGGAATTCAACGTCTATGATGAATTTTCCAGTTAAGGGAACCTCAATTGCCCAAACAAAATCCTCATTGCTCTTGAGCTTTTTGTTTGTAATTTCTACATGAATACGAAACAAAAATAAAGCAGTAAATGAGCTCTGCTAAAGAAAATAAAAGCAGCATCATTAAGAAAACATATCAAAGAATTAGACTTAATCAAATACTTTAAATCATGAATTTCTTTCCCTAAAAGCATCGAAAGGTTAATCAAAATTAAGGGTCCCAATTAGAAAAGCATGACATAACTTGAGGGTTACCTGGATGAGTTAAGGTCTTGCGATCACCCACAGAACAGACCACTCGAATAATAAAAGAAGCAATCGGTGGATTATCTCTAGTTAAATTCGATATCTCTGGATACAATTTAACATACAACACCCTGTTCTTCTCTAGAGATAAGTGCCTTCATTTCAAACCCCAAACAAAAAGTAAAACAAGAAAAGGTTAAAAATTCACTCCAACCCATAAAAAAATATAACGCAAACACAGAGCAAATTTTCCCGGCTACCAATCAGACTTGTAATATATGCAATGCGTTAAATTTATTTCCATAGTTAATATTTTGATTGAAATGTTAATGGGTGATCTTAGATTAACATTGATCATGCATGGATTTCAATCTTGATGATCATTAATTTCAACAAAGCAAGAATTCTGGTAAAAAGTGAAAATTTTGAGTTGGGTTTTGACTGACCAATTCCACTTGCCAATCTTGAAAGGATCGGATTTGCGGTAGGTGCAGGAAGCCAAGTTGTCGATTCTCCATTGGGCGAGACGCGACGTTGTTTCGACTCTGTAAGCTGAATCGCTCATCCTATCAGCAGAGAAAGCCAAGGCCGTCGTGATTTCATGGATGCAGTCGAAAATACCCTCCAACAGAGACTCTCCCGGCTTTCCCAGGTTGACAAATCCCACAATGCTCGCTTCTCATTAGCATATGCAACACCTAAACGACACCGTTCTGGTCTGTTCTCTCTCTGTTTCACTCTGTTTCTCTCTGTTTTCCCTCTGTGGACTGCTTCTACTAAAGCAGTTTCAAAATTTTCAAGAAACGATAAAGTTTTTCGATATGGGTTTTAATTTTTGTATTTAAAACTCATTTGGGTTGCGATTGTTTCAATGGTTTCGGGCACGCAAGCGCCCCTTTGCTTTTGTTGTTTCTTTACGCCATTGGTTTTGGCAGAGAGAGAGAGAGAGAGAGAGAGAGAGAGGGGGGGAGTGGGGGATGGGGCCTTAGAGAGGTCTTTGGGTATGGGAGTACAAACTACTTCAGGAGAGAGGATGAGGGGAGTGTGTGGAGTTTTTATTTATTGAGATGGATTTTGGTTTGCTTCGCATAAATTGGTCATGGCATGGGGAGTATGCTTGGAATGGGAAAGCCTTGTCCTTGGTTTATGGTGGCTTTGAAGCAAAGTATCTATTCTTTTTAGTAATATCTTAGCTTATTTATATTGATGTGTAATCATCAAATTGTTTGATTAATGAGTAGATTTCATGGAAATGAACCCTTTTTTACTTTTATTTATTTTGGACTCTATACAATTATTAAGAGAATATGTTTTTGTCAACTAAGAAATAATGAAAAGATAAGTGTATATATATAAAACGTCAAAATGCTTTCAATGAATAGAGATAAATTATTGTGAAAAAAATGTATAAAGTGAAAGTATCCTTCAATCGCATGTAATACAGAATTTAACCAATTCAACATCTCATTCTATGTACTCATCACGTGTCCACAGATTACTAGTTAGTACGTAATAAATAAATGAAATCTCACTTATTATGACTAAATCTTAAGTTCTTCAATAGCAGAAAGAAAAAAAAATTGTGATATTAGATTGCATGACCTAATATCTGTAAACTTTGGCTCCTAAGTGGAAGTGGTGGTCAAAAAGCACTTCTACGCTGATTAGTAGGAGTCATCCATGTGTCTTGGATTATGAATAGTAATGTTTTGGTAGTTTTATTATGGAAGATTTTGGAGATGCATTTTTAGGATGTTTAGCTCACCTCAGGTATTTTAGCTTTATAGTGACTTTGAAGTTTTTGGTTTATATTTTGGTCGATAGCTTTGTGGTGACTTTGAAGTTAAACCCATGAGTCACAATGAGATGTATATTTGTAGTCTCGTATCAAAAAGAGAAAAAGGGAAAAGGAAAATGACATGCAAACTAATAGCTTACAAGTCATAGCAAATCCAAAGCATTAATGTGTAAGCTTTAAATGGATGTTATCACACACCATCATTCATTAAGCTATTTGTTTTATATCTACCTTTTGGACCATATGCATGCAATCATATCTACTTAATTAAGTTCTTTAAACATGATTTGCTTAATATATAAATTAAAGTAAAGAATATATAATTTCTTGAGAGAGAGAGAGAGAGAGAGAGAGAGAGAGAGAGAGAGCAAAGTGTGGCGGGGACATGGATTCAGAAGGGGGGTGGAATCTTGGGTTAGTTTGTTTCCTTCTCTTATATAATTGGCAATGGAAAATTCTTGATTGGAGGCGGGCATACGATATAAGTCGACAAGAAAGGTATCTCTGCGTGGGACATAACAACCAGAATCCTTACAAGCATCCCAATATTGCAAGTAACCTATAATTAGTAATGACTCATTAGTCGATTCATCTTTTTTCTTATTTTAAATTTTCCTCTAAAGTAATGGGGCATGGGCAGATGATCATGAATCGTAGCCAAAAAACAGTGGCCCACTTGTGGATTATATATATTTGTTTTTAGTTTCTTGGTCCAATTGTCGTACGACACTCGTTTGGGAAGATAGGGCCTCTCATAAGACATAATTGCCTTTATAGACATGATGATTCACTCCTTAAATAGGAAAAATGAATGATTGGATTAGTTTCATTTATTTGGGGTGAGAATTGCGATTATATAAAATTATTTGTTGATAATAAAAATAGGCCAAAAGTCCTAAATGGTATAAGTGATTTTTGATATGGTGGTTTTAATGTATTCAATTTTACTCATTGATTTATAGTGAATGTTATTGCGATTAGGCCATAATCGGTTATAATGTGTCCAATTGATCACTTTTGAATGTGTCGGAGAAGTTTTAATTCTTACTATAACATTGCCATTGAAAAAAGAGATCAAGCCCTCAATATACTGTAGAATCTCAATATCACTTATGAATGGGTCGAAGAATTACTCTAAAATAGCATAGAATATCACTTATATATATGTTGTATTACCTATGGCCAAGCCAAGTCTGTGTAATAAACAACCTCTAAAAAATTTACGATATATGGGCAATGATGGTGAGCATGGGTAAGTCAATCTTCTAGAATGAGGTATATGTACTAAGCCCTATACCCTATACGTACTAATATAGGAAAGATAGATTAATTGTATTATTTTTATCCAATTAGATTGTGAACAATAAATTACTAGATTTTGCTTAGAATTAATTAATAAAGCACTATGGATAATAGTTAGGTAAACCCATATATGATTTTAAAAATAACTGGTAGGTAAAACTATGATTGCGACCGCAGAATTCTATGAAAGTTGGATAGTTTATGTTTCTAATGACCTTTTTGTCTTGACCTCATAATTAAGTCAAGCCATCACTGAAATGCCCTAATTAAGAGGTCAGAAATAATATCACAATCTTGGTTCTTTGTCTTCTGACCGTTGATCATATGCAGATGATCAAACAAGAGGCATCAACTGAGAGAGACATTTGCTTACAAGATAACACTGAGAAAGACAATTGGGTCACGGCGACCTATCTATCTACTTGCATTTCAAAGCTTGAATGGTAGTTTTTGCGAGACGACTGTCGCAGGGACAGGTGGCAACAGTGTAGAGCATTATACTAATTTTGTAATATATTTATTGGAAATGATTCAATTTGGAAACTTAGGTAGAAGCAAAAAATAATAATAAAAAAAGTGTAGTGGAAGAAGACTGGCTCTGTCGGCAAACACTGACGAGTCAAATGGCTGCTACTGCATACATGGTTATGCGATTAATTGGCACACTAGGATAAGTCACCAAACCAGTGCATATGGACCAACCAATACACAACCTCCCTTCTCCTCCAATTTTTTTAGGTTGATTTATCCAAAATTTCCGGATATAACTCTGAACAGTTTTCTTTTTCAGTGTGAATTACCATTCGGATTTGCACCTTGTTTCAACGTTATAAAGAAAAATATTAACAGACAAAGTCCTAGTTATTGGTGCTCTTAATTTTTTCGATGACTTTGCAATTAACAATTTGTGTCGAATTAGGATTAATTCCTACTCGACCCCAAAATGACACAACCCGAACACGCCAATTTGAAACTGTTATAACTGCATGTGCCAAACTTAGAAGTCACGTATTGCCTATACACTAGAGCCCATCATCTCATTTATATCATCACTTGGAAGGAGTTACCAGAGGTGGTGTATGAGTTGTGAGCACCATCCACACACACACACACAAGTACAGTCATTATAATACGATGAACTCGACTTGTTTTTCCTCAAGAGCCAATTTGTTAAGTTTTCCATGGCGTCTGACTCTCTACTCAAATTCGTACACATTACACAGTTGGCCTGGCTACCTGAATTAATTTGGGTTGTTCTTTCAAGTTTCTGTTCTTCTTCATGTTCTAAATGGGCTGACCCTTCTATCCTTGGCTTCAATTGGGCTTTTTAGAGTTATGCTGACACAATTTGAGTCCTTGGCCCTTATTCTTTTAATTCCAAATAATATAATGTAGTTAAACCCTATGTGATCAATTTGAAGTATTGGGGTGGCTCCAATATTAGTGCACAAATATTTGCTTACCTGGGTTAGGTGGATTTGAAGTATTGGGGTGGCTCCAAGAAAGATAGCTTAACAAGTAGTTTACATTTTGTTGCAGCACCGATACTATGAGGAATCAATCCCGTTCGGATCAATGGAGGAATCATTTGAAAATGCTAGCACTCTTGGATACTTCAACTCAGCCCAAGCTATAGCAGATTATGCAGAGATCCTCGTACATGTAAAGAAGGAACTACATGCTAAACATAGTCTGGTGATTGTTATTGGTGGAAAAGTAAAAATAAAAACATTTGGAGCTAGCATGTATTAATTCTTTACTTTAGAGTAAGTATTAATTGTAATTAAAATGATTTTGTAGTGACTCATTGCTTGGATTTGCTACGTTGAAACAGTACTGATCCGGAGTGGTTGGTCAATCAGCGCAAAATTGAGGTGAGAATTATTAAAGGATGGATTGACAAGTACTCCGTGGATCTTCAGGCATTAAAACATGAAAAACCACTCCAAAACTAAAGTGCCAGAGGAACTAAGATTTAATTGGGAATTTGTTGGCTTCAAAATTCAAAAATTGAGCGAGGAAATTGATGAGTTGTAGACTATTTTGTCCCAACTTAGGGTTTAGTAAAGTTGGCTAGAGCGGATGTGCTCCTTACTTTGCACCCGAGTTCGAATTTCCTTCCCCGTAATTTAGATTAGATTAAAGTAGATTATCGTTTGTATATTAAAAAAAAAAAATTGGAATTTGTTGGCTTCAAATATTGAGCAAGGAAATTCATGGGCCACGGACTATTTTGTCCTTTAATGATAGCTTTTATCAGAAAGGTGCAAGTGATATAGTGTGCGCAAGCCAAATTGTAAAGTAATTAAAGATGGTGCATTATTTATTTCTTATGTAAGGTTGGAGGCTTGGAGCATTAATTTGAAGCAATTTAGGTTTTCTTTTTCCTTTCAAGTTTTTGTTCTTCTTGTTCTAAATGAGCTTGGGTTATTCTTGGGTCAAATGGGGTTGTTGACAAGTGGGCTTTTTTTTTAAAATTAATTAATTTATAAATTTTATAGATTGATAGAGAAGTGAGTTTAACAACGTCGTCACCAAATTATCTGATTATTTCAGTCCAAAAATTCATATGTCATTGAAAATTTAAATGGGCATAGAAAATATATATATTACAAGCCAACAACTAATTGAAGCTTAAATATGTAATCAGGGGTTTGTCGACAACCTTCACCTTTTCAGTTAATATATATATTACGGCTAATTAATTTTTTAAACCATGTAATTAATTTGCTGATTTGCAACTGAAACAATCGTCTGGCACCTTTTAATTACTTGATAAACCAAAATTACATGATAGGGAGGATAACAGCTGATCCGTTGTGGAAAAGTGGGTTTAAAGACGATCAGAACTTTATAGATGGGTAAAAGCACTTTGTTAAAAAGTGCTGTTTTTACCAGAGGTAGTATCCATCGTAGTGCACAGGATAGTGAATATAGCTTGATGTCCATTCAATTGGAACAAATGGCTTTGCATCATCTGCTTTCTTCACTTCTGCAACACTCACTATGGTGGCATAACCAAGCTTCTTCTTCAATGATTTGGCCAAGTCAACCGCATCGACTCCGTCTCCAATCACCTCCACATGCTCTTTCTCTACTTCTATCGACACTTTGCTCACACCTGCTTAATCAATCATGAGTCAACTAATTAATTATCATTTGTGTAGCCACCAAAGTGTTTGACTATTTGAGTGATCGATGCATACCTTTGGCGACCGCAGCAATCTTCAAGGCCTTGGTTCTGCATTTCTCAGACTTCAGTTGCACCTTCATGACTATCTTTTGCTGCATAGACAAGGATCGCGGTTAAAGCTTACTGTTCAGTTGCCTCAAGAAAATCTAAATTAGTAGTTTAGACTATCGTTTAGATGTAGGAACAAATTAGTGAAAAGGGCTTACCTTCATGTCGGAAATTGAACTATATGAAAAATATATATGTAGCCTTTTTTGGGAGCAGGAAACTCTTATGAATCTGTATGAATGAATGTGTCTTTTTTGTACTTGAAGACTTAGATGTCCCTTGCAATGCAACACCAAGCCTATGCCTGTATTTATAGGAGCTTATAGTCTTCATATAATATATTAACTGCAAGTAGGCTCCAATATTCAACACACGTTCAGGTCAGCTGCTTGGAAACCAAGATTTTCACATACCGCGTCAAGACACTGTACGAGATAGATTCAAAGTTTATTCAAGGAGACTTTGACTTTTCCTAAAGACAAGAGGAAAAGGTGGAAGTACAATGATTGATACTTACAAATACACAAAAATTGGTTTGGTGCCAGAGCTCCATCTGGGCCCTTTTCCATTAAAGTATGATTATTACTTTTAAGTGATTGGGCAAATCTTGCATGAATACTTCATAATAAAGCCTTTATTGTCTATACAAATAATAAATCGGAGTTTTATGTGTGAAAGCTTCATGCATAGATAACTAAATATAATAAATTTTATTAGTATGCCAAAATAATCAAAAGAACAAACATTAGTTAATTCCAAGTTCTAATATCCGAGTTTTGGTGAAGGACAGAGATGTTCTTCAAGTGGAGGGTTAAGATTGGATTAAATATTGTTAAGTCTTATGATATATATATATATATATATATATATTGGTTTGTTCAAAGTTTAGGGAAGGGGAGACTACCCCATTCCAGGATCAGGGCATACTAAAGTCTCTTTGAGGACTTACAAATGAGATTTTAGCCTTTTTATAGATTACATGTCAAGAGGGATTGTGGGCAATGAGACTTGAACTTAGAGCTGAGTAGCGAAGATAATGTTCTTTGCTAACTCAACTAACCCTCGTTGGCTAAGTCTTATGGTATTAGATGATGTATGTATAGTGAAGTCATAGGAACCATCTATGTGAGTCAATCCAGGTAAAGACAATCGAGTCAAGTCGGGTATTAATTGGTACTGTTCTAACAACCGTGAGGTTATATATGTGAATAGGTCTTAATTGAGGGCAAGCCCAAGAAAAAATGTGTTCAGTACTTTTTTTATTTTTTTTTATTTTTTGTGTGTGGTGGGGCTTTACTGTGTTTGTATTAGTGCTTTAGCTTATTGAAGAATTTCTTTCAAAATTGTTTTGATGGTCCCTTGTCACCATTTGGTATGGTGCATGACATTTAGTCTCTACTTTATTGGAGAATAACTATATTAATTAAATCCTAGGGATGACAGTTTGTACCCTAAACCTTCTTTCACTACGAACTTAAAATTCAAAACCTCACAATCCTTATTAACATATGTACTATATATTAAAATAATTTACAATTTATATACGCCTGAGACGATTTGTTATCATTTCACTCCGACACGCGCCTATATATGCATGCCTTTAAAAAACATTGACTAGTGGTAGTGACCCATTTTGATTAATGCATGTCTCTACGTATTATGAAGTCAAGAAACAATGGAGTAGTTGTGCAATTTCATATCCTTATCTAATTACCGAATGGACGCTCATGCTTCTCTTGAGGAATTTGTGTTGATTGCGTTTGAAAACAAAAATTAATTAAAACATATAGAAGTTGCTTGCACTCTGTCTTTTAAGTTGTTGAACTCAAGAAGATGTTTATATATTGATAAGTTTGGTAAAAAATTAATAATACAAAATGAATAATGAAAATGAATTTCAATCACAATTACATAATAGAACAATTGATCTGTTGCGGAGATTCATCATGAACTACACGATAGTGAGTAGAACGATGTCGTGGATGATGGACATAGCTTGATGTCCAATATTGTGTTGTTGTTGGAGTTGGTTTCTTCTCCTCCGCATCTGCTTTCACTTGTTCAACACTTACTATGGCGGCGGAGCCAAGCTTCTTCCGCAACGACATGGTCAATCTCGTGGTATCAACTCCATCTCCAATCACCTCCATCTGCTCTTTCTCAGCTTCTATCGACACTTTGCTGACACCTGCTTACATATATATAAGGATGGTCCTATGAGGATGCGAAATAAAGAATTGTTCCACATTTGAAAGTTACCAAACTTTGCACAAGACTTATAAAGAGTTGAGTTACTTCCTAATTACTAATTGATTTTGGTATGGAACGTTAACTTTCTCTAGAGCGCAAGTTAATTTATCAAAGAATTAAAGTTTCCTATGAAAAAAATATATATAATTTTGTAAACCTTTAGCGACTGCAGCAATCTTCAAGGCATTGGTTCTGTGTTTCTCACAGTTCATTTGCAACTTCATAACTATCTTTTGCTGCACCATGGTATGTAGGGCCTTGCTTTATGAGTTGATGTGATTTACTTTAGAGGTGGATGAGAAAGTAGCTCAATGCGATGTTGTATTTATAGGATTTTGGTCGTTTTATAATAATATTACCTCCAGTTGACTTGTCCCCACAGAAGAGCAAGTTTACTCACCTTCAACTAAAACAAACAAACTACTTTTTCCGCACTCACACACTGAGTCAAAGCAACCGCGGATTCCAATTCTTGTAGTAAAACGCGGCTGATCACTACTTTTGATTAAGAAAGACTTGCATTTCACAGGCAGCTGTCTAGCCAGGATGCTTCTTGTGGTCCTTCCATAAATCTTATATAAAGAATAAACTAAAGTGGACTTCATATTTCATTCATTGCACAATGGAATTAGAAGCTTATGCACAATTAGAGACGGACTCACAGTGGGGTCAATGAGGTCAAACGACCTTATGGACTCCATGAACGTAAGGTAGAAGGTCCCTTTGAACTTGTATGTGACCCCATGAATGGCTAAAGGAGGAGCTACAAATCTGAAGAAGAAGAAGCTGAACAGGGGTTCAGTTTTTTTTTTAAAAAGAAGTTGACCAAAACGGCGTCGGTTTGGGTCATTTTTTTTTTTTTTTTTTTATTTAAACAGGCTGGCCAAAACGGCGTCGTTTTGGACCAGCCCATCGAATTTTTTTAAAAACGCGCTGGATCCAAAATGGCGTCGTTTTGAACCCAGAGAAATTTTTTTAAAAATGCGCTGGCACCAAAACGGCGTCATTTTGGACCAGCAGCAACAAATTTTTTTTTTTAAAAGACCTGGCCAAAACGACGTCGTTTTGGTCCAGGTCTTTGAAAAAAAAATAGAACAGATTGTAGTTGAAACAGACCATTCTCTTCGACCAAACAAAACAGACCCTTCTCAAAACTCCAAAACCCCCATTTCCTAAACCTAAATCCCCAATCTCCACCCACCCACGAACCTTTAACCCTCTCCCCACCAAGCTTTAATCTTTTTAAAAAAAATTGAACTTTTACACTATGACCCTACGAGTTCATATTCCTGGGTTCGTCCATGTGCACAACTCCTCGTGCACTAATTAAAAATAAGGGTTAATTACATAAAATTTCTCAAATTATTAGGTATTTCTCAAGTTCATATATGATTTTAGGAATCGTCATTTGGCCCACAGGCTCATCAGAGAAAAAGCCCGACCTGGCCAATTAGTTAGTGGGCTTAGCTTAGAGCCCAGCCTGACTCATAGGCCCAGTCTGTTTGAGCCCACAAAAACCCAGCTTGGTCCGCTCATCAAAGTTCGGGCCCATAGGCCCAAATTTAATTATATATATATTTATAACTTAGTATATTGGGTTAATTATATTATATATATACCTAAAAAATATAAGGAAATAGAGACTTCAACACACACAAGGGTTCCCTTCCACTTTCATTCCTTTCCAACACCTTATCCACCATGCTATAGAAAACTTTGTGATTATGTACTACACCATTTGAGATTTTATAATGTTTCTGTAGACAACTTTATCTTTTCCTTCTTTTCCCTACCACTTTCATTCATCTCTAACACTTTATTCATCATGCTACACACAATCTTGTGATTATAAGCTACACAATTTGATATTTATAATGTTTCTACAAGCTGTTTATTTGCCTACGCGGTGCTAGACAACATTTACAATATCACTACATCAACAGATGATACTTCCATTCAAAAATTGAACATGTTTTTTTTTAAATTTTAATTTTAAAAAAATAATTAAAAAAACTTAAAAATTCTTTTCCAACCTGGACTTATAACTGACATGGCAACTTTTAAACGAAAATATCAAAGGATGACGTGATAATACTATATCACACAATAATTTCTCCACATGTTCCTCCAATATGCCCAAACGAAGTCCCAAATAAACCGAATTCATCAATATTTGCAAAACGCACCGTATGGTGTCTCTCCCTCGACCTCATTGCCATTGGTTCGCTACTATGGAGGCCATATACTTCTATTATAGGATATATAAAATTATTGTGTCCTATGAAGATGAAAACTTTTAGCAGAAAAGTGCTAGTCAAAGTGTGTGTAAGCCGACTCGTAATGGTGCACAAAAACTTGTTATTTCTTTAAATTTGGACCTTTCCGAGTCAGTTTTGGTTTATTATTATTTATTTATTTTAAAATTTAATTTTTTTTAGTTTTGTTCGTCTTGTTCCAAATGGGCTGGCAGTATTGTAATCGTTCTGGCTCTTCTTGGTTCGGATAAAGAAAAATTCAAAGTAGATCACAAATCAAGCGTTGAATCAACAAATTTCAATAACAATATTACATAATAAAAACAAATGTTTGCCTTTTTATTCCGCAACAAATTTCAACACCAATTACATAAAATGGAGCAAATGTTTTCCTTTTACTAATGGTAAAAGTAAAACATTGTCAGAAGCACTTTAATTAAAAGTGCTTAATTTAACATCGGCAGAATCCATCATAGTGTGACAGTGAATATAGCTTAATGTCCATTGAATTGGAATGACTAGCTCTGGCTCCTCTGGTTCTTTCACTTCTCCAACACTTACAATGGAAGCAAAGCCAAGCTGCTTCTCCAATGACTTGGCCAAGGAAACGGCATCAACTCCAACTCCAATCACCTCCACTTCTGCTTTCTCTACCACAATGGAAACGTTGCTCACACCTGATTAATTAGGGATCCATCATTAGTTGTTAACTAACTAATTAATTATCAATAATGAGTACCTTTTCTATTCATAGTGAGAGGGGCGATAACATACTAAACTCACACACACTACACGGAAGCTAGCTAGGACTCAAACTCGGGACCTTTTCCTGGGAGAGCAAATGCTCCAAACCACTACACTAGCGAGTCCTTTGCATAAGTAATTAGTATAAATTGGTCATTTGGGTAGTCACAAAATTAATTGGCCATTTGAAATTGAGATGCATATATATATATATACCTTTGGCTTCTGCAGCAATCTTCAAGGCCTTGGTTCTGCAGTTCTCAGAGGTCAATTGCACCTTGATCACTATCTTTTGCTGCATACATAAAGATCATATTTACATATAAGAAAAAAATAACTCTGATAAAAAGAACGAAATGAATTAAAAGGCTTACCTTCGTATTGTAGAGTGAATATGAAATGTCCTTTTTGCAAACACAAAACTTTATGAATTTATATATGAACGAATGCGTATTTGTTTTTTGTTTTTTTAATAAAAAAACTTGAACACTTTTGGTGTGGTATGGCTGAATTCTACTTGAACACTTCTAGAGGTCACTTGGAAAATAATACCAATGCTATGCTCTATTTATATAGGAGCTTAGTCTTCTTAAAATATTACCTCCGGTTGATCTGTCCCTACAAAAAAAGAAAGAAAAAAAAAAGACTTGGACATATAGCTAGTTAGCTGCTTGGAAACCAAGATTTCCACACCCTACGAAGATTCCAATCTCATTAATTACAGGATACTTTAATATGAAGCTTGTTATGTGGATGCACGAACGCTGATTTGGCCATATACATAGAAAACAAAAAACATTTCGGAGTTTATGTGTGAAGACTGCATTATATAAGTAACCTAAAGGAATAGAAAGTTTCTTGGAAGAAGAAAAATTAATTAATTCCAAGGGATGTCTTTCAGGTCGAAGGTTATAAGATTTATATGTTTTGTCAGTTAGTTTTATTCGAGAATGTTATCCTTGAGGATTGTCTCCTACCGTTTAATTCAATAAACTATTGACTTGTCTTTCTCAATTTTTTTTTTTTTGAATTTAAAAAAAAGTTGGTGTACGTATGTGACTTGTGGGTACAGGTCCCAATGAACCAACCTTCTCTTGGTATTGTGGCTTCATGAAACAATGGAATAGTTGTGTAATAGCTTTTGATATGTTTGATAACCTTTTCAGTTTTTAATTTTTAATTTTAATTTTTCAAAAAATTGAAAACTGAAACCTTGTTTAGTAACTAAACACAAGTTGTTTGGTAACTGAGTTTAATTTGAAGTCTTCAGTTTTATGTGAAACTTGGAAATGAAAGATTTTAGGTCAAATTGTGAATTTGAGATCGTAGAATGAAAGCGTATGTTACTTAGAGTTCGTAGTATTTTTCGGTGAATTTTTTGGAATTAGGTTTATTTTTTTGTGAATTTTGGAGATGGAGTTCACGAGGCTTGGATTGGGTCCGTGGCAAAACACAAGAATTGAGTGACCGGGTCCAAGTCAAAAGGTCCCAAATACCAAATTTTGATAACTGAAGTGCATGTCATGTTTCGTGATGTAAAATTTATGAATGAAATATAGGAGCTCAAAAAAATGAAAACGAAAACTAAAAACACTTTCAAGTTGTTTTAAAAAATAAGGGTGATTCTGAAAACTAGATTTCATTTTTTTGAAAACTAAAATGAAATCTGTTACCAAACAAACATGTTTTCAGTTTAAAAAAAAAAAGTGGTTATCAAACAACTCTTATAGCTTCCCAAATGGATGCTTCTCTTAAGGAATTTATTATTTTCAGGTTGTGTTTGAGAACTTTAACATATACGAGTTTCACTCAATTTGTTAAACTCAAAGCCATACTTAATAATTTCGGTCCAACAAGAATAATGATCTTGAGATCACATTTCTGTGCTACATTTTAGTACTGCGTAATATGACGAGTGACATACTTTGAAACATTTAAATGTTGATCAGAAGACGCTCACATTGGAAGCGGGAATTATTTTCCAGCAATATAAACTTGTTTTCTAATATCATATGTTGTTGGATACCATTAATCTTGTAACTCATGTACTTCCAAGTTCTTCCTTCCACTTCTCATTTTTTCCTCATATATATATATATATATACATATATATACTAAAGGGGATATAAACTTAAAAACTTCATTCGAAGATCGAGTAAATCTTCTAGAATGAGGTATATGTACTAAGCCCTATACCCTATACGTTCTAATATAGGAAAGATGGATTAATTGTAAATTGTGAACAATCAATTACTATATTTTGCTTAGAATTAATAAAGCAATATGAATAATGATTAATGGTAGTTAAAACTATGATTTCGCATCCATCCGACCGCAGAATTCAATGAAAGTTGGATAATTTATGTTTCTAGTGACCATTTTGTCTTGAGCTCATAATTAAGTCAAGCCATCACTGTGAAATGCCCTAATTAAGAGGTCAGAAATAATATCACAATCTTGGTTCTTAGTCTTCTGACCGTTGATCATATGCAGATGATCAAACAAGAGGCAGCAACTGAGAGACACTTCCTTACAAGATAACACTGAGAAAGACAATTGGGTCATGGCGACCTATCCACTTGCATTGCAAAGCTTGAATGGTAGTTGTTGTGAGGAACTGAGAGACACTTCCTTACCAGTCCATCATCTCATTTATATCATCCTGATTGAGACCCATCTTTCCATACCTTGTCCCATCACCTTTTGTTTCTACTCATGCAACAATCATTTTCCTCTTTATGTCTTCTTGCTTTTGTTTCTGACGATTTCTGTCTCTGCTTCACGGTTCAAAGTTCCAAGGCTGAGTCCGAATCATGAAGCTTTGGCTGCATATCTGATGCAAAAGATTCTCAAAAAATTTATTACAACCAAACGCTTGACCATTTCAACTATAGGCCTTCTAGCTTTGCTACTTTTCAACAAAAATGTCATCAATTTGAAGCAAAAAGAACCTTTGAAATATTTTTATTTATTTAGAGTTTCCAAACTAACAGAACAACATACTACAAAATACATTTGTTTTCAATTACGCAGAATACGAGAATTTACATTTGTTTCTAAACTAACCCCATCGATCATTTATATAATATAGAAGTAATAGCCTGAAGTTATGCACGCTTAAGCATATCAGAAGGAAAAAAAAGAAAAATTAACATCTATATAGTTCTGTGGAGTCACAACTGCAAATAATGAAGCAAAATGAAGTGACTTTACAATATCTATAACAATCGTATAAAAAATTGTATTGAAGTCAGACCTCATCTTGGTTAGCAAGATTCCACCGGACAAAGACTAGTTGTTGAGGTAAAGAAAGGTGCACCACATGTTTTGCTTCATCTTCCTGCAAGCCTAGCAGGAAAAGTTTACTGAGGAGAAAAGGCGAAACGTAAATACAAGGAAGTGAAAAGTAAAAGCAACATACAAAATAAAACAAAACTAGCGAAAACATCTCGGCATGTACTTACCTTTCTGTCAAAATCCAGTGCAGAGATTCCTTGCCTGAAAAGAAATCTGAATGAGAAATCTTTTCGACAACATATGTGAAGACAGGTGTCCATTGACTGAGTTGTTGACTACAGCTGGCATTGTAACTAATAGCTTATAAAAGCTAAGTCTCTCTGTAATAGGATTCATTCTGTATATTCTGAGAATTAGAGCAATCAATCTAGAGGTTTCCTATTCTTTCTTTGCTTGCTTTCTTCTTCATTCTTGCAATGGTTATCGTGGTTATCAATATGAAACACAAACAAAAACACAGACACACACACAGTTTGCCCTTGCACTCACACACACACACACACACACACACAGAGTTGGCTTTGTTACCTTTCTTAAGTTCTCTCTCTCTCTCTCTCTCTGAGCTTCACTTGCACTCACAGTTCGCCCTTATTGACTTCTTTGGTGACAAGGTACATTTTTTTTTCCATTAGATCAAATTTGCTTTGGGTTGCAAATGAATGCTCTCCTTTTTTTTCTTCTTAATGCATCTGTTTTTTTTCCTGAATATGAGAGAGAGAGAGAGAGTGAGTGTGTTTTGAGGATAGTCCATTTAGATGAGCTAGCTTGCACGCAGAGAAGGTGTGTGCACACTACTAACAAAACTCTTGTGGTTTACACTTCATAAAATAGGTTAATTTTATTCTTGTAATTTTTCAGGTTTGAACCATTCTCAAAATTCTGTGGATGCTTGGAGACGATTTTAACTTTTAGTTTTTCTCAAGGGATATCAAAATGACCCTAAAATAAACTTTTTTTAAAAGTGATTTTTCTTGGTATGATTGAAGTTCACGTCCCCCTCACTCTTTCTTTCTTTTTTTTTCTTTTTTTTTAAATTTAAATTTTTAAAATTTTATAATATGAATATAATTCGATGGATTTCTTAAGGGAGATATATATCCCAACATATATAAGTATACACACCACAAAAAAAGTCAGCAATAGTTAACCATTTTTTTTGGGTTAATAGAAACTTTAGAGGCTTGGCTTAGAAGCGCACAAACACCTGCTTAAAACTTACTTAACACATGATTTAAATGAGGACAATGTAGTCAGGAGACCCAATTTCCAGATTTCCAGTTCTGGTCAGGTTGTAACCTTCGTATCTAATGAGCTCCTCAAAGCGGTACGTTTCTGTTGACACCTATCATCTTGTTTGAGTATAGAGCAATTTCTGGCCCACATCTTAACAGCTCAAGTTTTTGAGAATAGTAGTTAACTGACAACTTCATCATGGTGTCAGTCACAGTGAGAGATCCCAAGTTCGAATCCCTTCGCAATTGCAAAACCCTGCAATTAAGTTGAATTCTGCACGCTGGGCTCTAATGGTGGAGAGAACCCACATGTCAGGGGGAGTGTTAATAGTAAAAAAATAATAATTTGTTGGCCCACATCCTAACAGGTTAAGGATTGTAGCAAACTGATAACTTAATCACATTTTTATCTTCGTTTTTTCTGTCAAATCTGTCTAGTATGTTGGGTATGTATTACTACACATTCTATGCATAATATGCTGGTTATATATTGGTACGGTTTTCTCTTTGTCATTTATGATAATTATTCCTCACCTTTCGGTACAGGTTTTAAAAACAAGACCTAGGGTTTCTGTCCTTGGGTCTAATATTCACAAAGGTCTTACTGATATTGCTTCTCCTTCACTTGACGATTCCAGGTTGGTGAAATAAAGATACAACATTTATTAATTTATATGTATTTATTTCTAAAATCACATATAGAAATGATGATGAATAACTCGTTTTAAGATTTATGTGATTTAATATATTGGATGATATTTGAACAGACTTCTTCAGAAAACCATACTGAATAAGTTCATTTGTGTATATACAAATTTCAAAGTGCATTGGGAACTTACAAGGGTATTGGAAACTTGAATAAGTGTAATATTTTATTGATTTGAGTTCTGGTTACCTTTGTTTTTATTATATTTAATTCAACAGTCATCAAAGCAAAGCAAGAATGGTGAGGACTAACCCAAATCATTGACCATCTACCTAAATGTAACGAAAACTGATTTTGTTACTATGAAAACATGACTATTGCCCACTTTTTTTGTAGTGACATTTTCTTGGAATCTATCCAATTGATAGACATGTACGTGTATTTGTTGACAAACAATTGCAAAATATTTCATATATGCCTAGCTTTGACTATGTTTTATACATAGCTTTGAAAAAAAAAAATTATTGTACATAGAAATTCGCACTAGGAAACATGTTTAATTAATTTGAATATTTAATATGACTACCTATGCACTACTAGATGAATAATTCCCTACATAAAAGACAAGTTTGCATGTAAAATAATTAGCCCAACTTCTTGTCATTATTATTAAAATTATATTTGTGGTCAATGAAATTAGCTGATAATATAATAACTAATAATTAAATAAAAAGGTGTCATGAATGCTAGGAATCGTTAATCTATTTTGTACTAGGTTGCGGTGGGTTTTACACTTTCCCTAAACCCTGTTGAGTTAGTAGTTTGCTTAAAACTTCCAAAAGCCACTTTTACACATTTGCATCTATCTATCAGTATGTAGTGAATAATATTCTAGTAGTGGTGGTGTGTTGAGAAAAGTCGAGTCTGTCCTTCATATCTATGTTATCCGCAACTTGATGAACTTCCACTTTACACGTGAACATTCACTGCTTGAAGAGAGACTCTCTCCTTGTGAGCCTTCTTAATGCCTATATCAACTCTTCTACCAACATAATAATGTTAATGCCTACAACAACACAAGAAGTCCCACGAGAGTCGAATGTATCCAAAAGTTAGGGATTCGGGTAGAGTCACCCATTCCCCAACTTTTGGGTGAAACATCTTGAACCCCCTCTAAAGGATCACAAAACCATGTTTTTAAACATAAAATCGAGAGCACATACAATTTGCTGCCATGTTGCGCTAGAAAGAGGATAAGACTTCCTTCGTTGAAGAGTATTGTTGTTGAACACATGGCGGGGGTTGGGTCTTTGATTGGGTTGTTGGGATCCTCAGTCTCAAAGACATACATATCTTTACTTGGACATGATCGGTACTTGTAACCGTTGATTATGCTTTCACGACCACTGGCCAAAACTATTTTGGATCAGAAAGCACCTATATCCATATCATGGAGCCCTTTGCTAACTATATAAGTCCCCACCTTCCAAACACCAGAAGACAAAAAATACAAGGCTTCAATATTGTAAGAAACAGTATCACTCAGGTTATACTTTCCGAAACACAAATGCAGGGTCTTATTATAACCCTATGTCATATCCCAGTCATTCATCTTATCCTAGTCATTTATCTTATCCATCGATTAGAAAGCTTATGTACTATTCTGCTCGTCCATATGTCTATTTCATTTCTCCGAAAAAATATAAGAGATAAGGAGCGTATATTGTCTACAATTTCAAATTCAAACATCATGGAAAAAATATGCTTTTCCCTCATTGCTCCGTCTCCTGTGTCTTCAGACAAAATTAGGCAGATGATTTGAGCTCCTAGATTGACAAACTTATGTTCTATATTACGCACACGTCTAGGTAACGTGTTGCAATGAGGCAGTTTTAGTGATTCAAGAGTTGTCGATGATGTCAAATCCTTTGACATCAAATAGACGGGCATGGATGTACCCTTCCATTCAAGAAGATGATGAAAATCATCAAACATATCATAGTAATCGTCCTTCGGGCAGTCTTTATCCTCAGCAACTTGATGAACTTCCACCTTACATGTGAACATTCACTGCTTGAAGAGAGACTCTCTCCTTGTGAGTCTTCTTAATGCCTATATCAACTCTTCCACCAACCCACAAGTGTTATTAAAATAATTAGCCCAACTTCTTGTTATTATTATTAAAATTATATTTGTGGTCAATGAAATTAGCTGATAATATAATAACTAATAATTAAATAAAAAGGTGTCATGAATGCTAGGAATCGTTAACCTTTTTTGTACTGGGTTGTGGTGGGTTTTACACTTTCCCTAAACCTTGTTGAGTTAGTAGTTTGCTTAAAACTTTCAAAAGCCACTTTTACACATTTGCATCTATCTATCAGTGTGTAATGAATAATATTCTAGTAGTGGTGGTGTGTTGAGAAAAGTCGAGTCTGTCCTTCATATCTATGTTATCCGCAATGGTTTCATACATAATGAGAGAGAGAGAGGGGGTTGGGGAAGCCAAATCAGAAGAGACAATGCATCTTTTCTTAAATAATAGTTTTCAGATTTTATAAATTTTTTTTTCCATTTTGCAGATGGACAATAACCCACATATCTTGGGTGGCCAGGTCCAAGGTAGTCAGTTTGTAAGTGCTTTATATTTGTTTTCTCTTTATCGTAATTGATTGATTTTTTTTGTTTACATGTTTATTTAGTTTAATAATTCATTTTTCAGCATAATGGCTATCAAATCAACTATTATTCGAATGAGCTGCAAATTGACCATAACAAGTGGGCGGGAAAAATATTGGAGTCCACTGGTCGCCAATATGAGGCACATTATCATCTGCTTTATCCAAATGAGCAACATATAACTGATTACTGGCTAAATTGCACAAGCGACACCAACAACCCACTATACCTCACAGTATATGGTAGCATCAAAATAATGGCATATGATAATATGTGCACGCTTGTATTCACGGAACTTGATGTGACTCTTCAAGATTGGATTTCTCCAAATCTTGTTGTATTCACGGCATACAACAAGATTTGGAGAAATCCAATCTTGAAGAGTCACACCAAGTTCCGTGAATACAAGCGTGCACATATTATCATATGCCATTATTTTGATGCTACCATATACTGTGAGGTATAGTGGGTTGTTGGTGTCGCTTGTGCAATTTAGCCAGTAATCAGTTATATGTTGCTCATTTGGATAAAGCAGATGATAATGTGCCTCATATTGGCGACCAGTGGACTCCAATATTTTTCCCGCCCACTTGTTATGGTCAATTTGCAGCCCATTCGAATAATAGTTGATTTGATAGCCATTATGCTGAAAAATGAATTATTAAACTAAATAAACATGTAAACAAAAAAAATCAATCAATTACGATAAAGAGAAAACAAATATAAAGCACTTACAAACTGACTACCTTGGACCTGGCCACCCAAGATATGTGGGTTATTGTCCATTTGCAAAATGGAAAAAAAAAATTTATAAAATCTGAAAACTATTATTTAAGAAAAGATGCATTGTCTCTTCTGATTTGGCTTCCCCAACCCCCTCTCTCTCTCATTATGTATGAAACCATTGCGGATAACATAGATATGAAGGACAGACTCGACTTTTCTCAACACACCACCACTACTAGAATATTATTCATTACACACTGATAGATAGATGCAAATGTGTAAAAGTGGCTTTTGGAAGTTTTAAGCAAACTACTAACTCAACAGGGTTTAGGGAAAGTGTAAAACCCACCACAACCCAGTACAAAATAGGTTAACGATTCCTAGCATTCATGACACCTTTTTATTTAATTATTAGTTATTATATTATCAGCTAATTTCATTGACCACAAATATAATTTTAATAATAATAACAAGAAGTTGGGCTAATTATTTTAATAACACTTGTGGGTTGGTGGAAGAGTTGATATAGGCATTAAGAAGACTCACAAGGAGAGAGTCTCTCTTCAAGCAGTGAATGTTCACATGTAAGGTGGAAGTTCATCAAGTTGCTGAGGATAAAGACTGCCCGAAGGACGATTACTATGATATGTTTGATGATTTTCATCATCTTCTTGAATGGAAGGGTACATCCATGCCCGTCTATTTGATGTCAAAGGATTTGACATCATCAACAACTCTTGAATCACTAAAACTGCCTCATTGCAACACGTTACCTAGACGTGTGCGTAATATAGAACATAAGTTTGTCAATCTAGGAGCTCAAATCATCTGCCTAATTTTGTCTGAAGACACAGGAGACGGAGCAATGAGGGAAAAGCATATTTTTTCCATGATGTTTGAATTTGAAATTGTAGACAACTACGCTCCTTATCTCTTATATTTTTTCGGAGAAATGAAATAGACATATGGACGAGCAGAATAGTACATAAGCTTTCTAATCGATGGATAAGATAAATGACTAGGATAAGTTGAATGACTGGGATATGACATATGGTTATAATAAGACCCTGCATTTGTGTTTCGGAAAGTATAACCTGAGTGATACTGTTTCTTACAATATTGAAGCCTTGTATTTTTTGTCTTCTGGTGTTTGGAAGGTGGGGACTTATATAGTTAGCAAAGGGCTCCATGATATGGATATAGGTGCTTTCTGATCCAAAATAGTTTTGGCCAGTGGTCGTGAAAGCATAATCAACGGTTACAAGTACCGATCATGTCCAAGTAAAGATATGTATGTCTTTGAGACTGAGGATCCCAACAACCCAATCAAAGACCCAACCCCTGCCATGTGTTCAACAATAATACTCTTCAACGAAGGAAGTCTTATCCTCTTTCTAGCGCAACATGGCAGCAAATTGTATGTGCTCTCGATTTTATGTTTAAAAACATGGTTTGGTGATCCTTTAGAGGGGGTTCAAGATGTTTCACCCAAAAGTTGGGGAATGGGTGACTCTACCCGAATCCCTAACTTTTGGATACATTCGACTCTCGTGGGACTTCTTGTGTTGTTGTAGGCATTAACATTCTTATGTTGGTGGAAGAGTTGATATATGCATTAAGAAGGCTCACAAGGGGAGAGTCTCTCTTCAAGCAGTGAATGTTCACGTGTAAAGTGGAAGTTCATCAAGTTGCTGACGACAAAAACTACCCGAAGGACGACTACTGTGATATGTTTGATAATTTTTGGTTTTGCTGACTCTGTGAAACCAGTGCATGAACATGATTTGCTTCACACATTCATGCTATCGCTATAAATTTTTTCATCCACTTTTGCTAAGTCATTAACAATCCATTAAAAATAAAGTCGTCGAAGAATTTTGTCCCCCTTTCGTATATTCTTATCTTTATTATTTTTCAAACCCTTTCTAGTTAGTACTAACGCAAAGAAGTTCAAGGTGCAATGAACTAATTAACCAATACGAAATCAGTCACCGAGTCACAGCCACAATATATGGTGCTAAAATGTCCACACAAAAAAATTGTCTTTCTTCCCTTATGCAAGATATGTGTAATACTAATGTTAGATAGCAAATTCTTACCATATTATCACCAGAGAAGATGAATTAGTACATGTATCTTATGCAGAGGCAATTCATGCAGAGAAAACCATAAAGTTTTAGTTCATACATAAGCAGGGTGTTTTAACAATCTTTGTGTAAAATTTTATGATAATGTGAATAAAAACACTGCATTTTAGACCAAATCTCACAAAATGAACTGTCTGAATGTAGAGCCAAAAGACAAAAGCCAAATCTCACAAAGCGAACTTGAATTTAAATAGTTCTTTGCATACCCTAATATAAATTTCATTCAACAATCCCTGTATCCAAATCGATTTCTGCTTTGTGGGTAATAGAAAATATGCATCAACAGAGGTATTGGGTCTGTAATGTCTCTGTGACTTGCAAAGGCTCTCAAAGCTGCTGCCATTTTCTTTGACAAGCTCAACCTCAATAGGTTGAAGAGTAATACATATCATATGTTCATCAATTGGAGGGAATACAGTGGCAGGACAAAATAAATATTACTTCCAACAAACACTGCCACTACCACGACTAAAACACATGTTGTAACCTATAGAACACACACACACACACACACACACACACACACACACACACACACACATTCATAACCTACAGAAGAATCATGTTTAATAAAGGATCACTTTTCGTAGAGTATACCTAAAGTAATAACGCCAACAAACTTCAATTTAGAAACAGATCATAAGAGAGTCTATGAGTGAACAATTTCCAACTAGAAAATGAGGACAGCAACAGAACCAATTTTACAAAAATGTAGAAAGAGAAACCTGTATGAAACAAAAATTAATTTCTATTATGTATGTCTTAATGTTTACGTGAATTGTCTAAGTAACAATGCATCGTGTACCATCTTCAAGTAGGGTACTTTGATTGGGTTGTTGGGATCCTCAGTCTCAAAAACATACATATCTTTACTTGGACATGATCGATACTTGTAGCCATTGAATATGCTTTCACGATCGTTGACAAAATGTTAATGCCTACAACAACACAAGAAGTCCCACGAGAGTCGAATGTATCTAAAAGTTAGGGATTCGGGCAGAGTTGCCCATTCCCCAACTTTCGGGTGAAACATCTAGAACCCCCTTCTAAAAGGATCGCCGAACCATGTTTTTAAACATAAAATAAAGAGCACATACAATTTTCCGTCATGTTGCGTCATAAGAGGATAAGACTTCCCTCGTTGAAGGGTACTGTTGTTGAACACATGGTAGGGGTGAGGTCTTCCAAGTTCTTCCTTGCACTTCTCATTTTTTCCTTATATATATATATACATATGTATATATTAAAGGGAATATAAACTACATGATTATAGCCTTCCAATCCATATAGATGAAACGAAAGCAAATATCCCTAAATTTTGTTGAAGTAGACACCCATTACGATGCCCAAAAACGAATCTTATCCCGTAGATGACCAACCTCATCCCCTCCCTTAGCTTCTTCAAAAATTCTACTATTACTCTCCCCCCAACTACCCAGAAAACTGCCATCATTGTACAAGAACCCAAAACTAGACCCCTCTTCCTTCCACCAAGCTTCTGACAAAATAAATATTACTTCCAAAAAACACTGCCACTACCACGACTAAAACACATGTCGCTGAACATAAACTACAGATGAATTAGGTTTAATAAAAGGATTACGCGCGCGCACACACACACAAACACACACACACACACACACACACACACACCACACACACACACACACACACACACACACACTCATAACCTACAAATGAATCAGGTTTAATAAAAGGATTGCTTTCCGTAGAGTATACCAAAAGTAATAATGTCAACAACTTCAATTTAGAAATAGGTCATAAGAGAGTCCATCAGGGACCAAATTCCAACCAGAAAATGAGGACAGCAACCAGAACCAATTTTACAAAAATGTAGAAGATGAAACCTGTATAAAACAAAATTAGTTTCTATTAACAATGCATCGTGAATGTTTCTATGCATTCTCTAAGTAACATTGCATCGTGTACCATCTTTAAACAGGGTTCTTCAGCTGACATACTTTTCATGTTTGGCTCCAGTTCTAGTTGGAGGACCTGCAAATAGATAATTTTGATAAGAAAGGCTTATTTCTAACTGAAATTAGAAACAACTATTTGAAAAAGTAAAAACACTAAGCAATCTTTAACATTTGAATATCATTCGTAATTTTACAGCAGGTCTACTTGGAGGAGACAAATTACTTACTAATTGTATAACTAGTTCAGGATAGAGATTCATCTATAAGTAATTCAATTATCATTAAAAACATTCAAGACATAATATGTTCACATCCTAACAAACTTATGATCACTATGTGCACAATACTTCGGAATATTCAGAGCAACAAACTCATTTAACAATTAATGGAATAAGAAAAGATAAAAATATCAACAAGTTACCTTTTTTTCACAGAATAATGGCACCAAGCATGCCTACTCTAGTGGCCATCGATTCGGGTGTTCGGTTGGCAGAAGACGTAAACTTGAAAGGACCACAAAAATTCCAAGGGCTAAGGAGCATATGCTGTCTACAATTTCAAATTCAAACATCAGGGAAAAAATTTGTTTCTCCCTCATTGCTTCGTCCCCTGTGTCTGCGGACAAAATTAGGCCGACGGTTTGAGCTCCTAGATGGACCAACTTAGGTTCTATATTTCGCGCGCATATGGGTACCGTGTTCAAATGAGGCAGTTTCAGTGATTCAAGAGCTGTCAACGATGTCAAATCCTTTGACATCAAATAGATGATCATGGATGTATCCTTCCATTCAAGAAGACGATCAAACTCATCAAACATATCACAACAGTCATCGTCCTCGGGGCAGTCTTTGTCGTCAGCAACTTGATGAACTCCCAACTTACATGTGAAAAGCACCCAATCCCCATCCTTAGTTTCCATAGCTAAAGTTTGGCAACCAAAAGGTATGGAAAATCCAAGATTGTCGGTGAAAATGTGTTGTTTCTATTGGTGGTTGGGATCAGCCATGTCAAATCGATAAAAAGGACAACACAATGTTGAGACAAAATGTTATTGCCTACAATTACACAGGAAGTCGCACGAGAGTGTCGAATGTATCTAAAAGTTGGGGATTCAGGCAGAGTCACCCATTTCCCCACTTTTGGGTCAAACATCTCGAACCCCCCAACTAAAAGGTTCCTCGGCCCATGTTTTTAAAGAGAGAGAGTAGAAATCACATACAATCTGCAGTCATTTTGCGCCATAAGGGAACAACACTTTCCTCGTTGAAGAGTATTGTTGTTGAACACGAGGTCTTTGATTCGGTTGAGATTCTCAGTATTAAAGACACGCATACCCTTTCTTGGACATGATAGGTGCTTGTAGCCTTCGAATATCTTTTCATAACCTTGGCCCAAACTATTGGGCTCTGTAAGCACCTATACCTATACCGTTGAGCGCTGTGCCAACTTGATATACCGCCACCGGTCGAATACTAGTAGACGAAAAATCCAAGGCTTCAATATTGCAAGAAACAAAAGCATTCCGGTTATAGATGCCAAAACACAAATACACGATCTTAGTCGAATCTTAGTCCTTCATCATACTCCTTTGCTCATCCGCATGCCTCTTTTGTTTCTCCGAACGCAACCCTTCTTCTTCTTCTTCTTCTTCTTCTTCTGCTCCTCCTCGTCTTTCACTCTTCCGCTCCTCTTCTTCTTCATCATGATTTGCCATAGAAATAAGCGCATTCGAATTTACCTCTTAGGGTTTAAGACATTCGAATTTGCCCCTTAGGGTTTAGGGTTCCTTTTCAAGTGTTGTTTGTTTGCTGCGTCTCCCCCTCATTTCACAAGGAACAAAGGGACAAGTTTTTCGTTTGTGATTCTGATTAGCACCGTTGGATGAATCTTTTCATTTTATCTAACGGCAGTACAATTAGTAGTGACAAAAAGAGAAAGGACAAACTACATAAAACCCCCTAACCTATAGGGTCATTTACGAGTTTATACCCTATTTTAGGGACATTTACCAGTACATACTCAACGTCATGAAACCCTACAAATTGCCCCATCCGTTAGCCAAATCGTTAGTGAAGCTGTTAAATGCTGACATGTAGAATGTGAGTTTCATTTTTTACTGAGGTGGACTTTTAGGTGGACAAATAATTAATAAAAAATTATGTATATATTAAAAATAATTTTTAAATCATATTCAAATCATTAAAAAATGAAAAATGAAAAAAAAAGGAAGGAAAAAAAAACAAACAAACAGATCTCCTTTCTCTTCTCCTACCCAACAAGCCCTCTCTCCCTCAACCCCTCCTCTTAGCCACCTTTCTTCAGTCGCCCACCCCAAAACCCAGCTCTATTTCTCTCTCATTCTCCTTCCCAACCCCACCCCAAACTTCTCTAGCATAGACCCAGCCGCCAATCATCATCAAACCTAAACCCCCACCATCATTCTATCCTCCCTCCTTCCTCCTCCCCCTCCAAACAAAAAAAAAAAAAAAAAATCAACTGTAGACTAGGGATTTGACAACCTCTTGGCTCTCCATATTTGATGTTTGATTACATTCATAGCATACTGTTCTCGCACTTCTGCCTGCATTACTGTTACATCTCAGTTGAGATTTTTCCTAATTTTGTCTGCAAACCTAATGGATAGCCATCTTGCATTGCAATACCCCAACCTGTCAATTCTAGTGCACTCATGTTCTAAAGAAAGAGTCTTGATTGCAAAAGTGGGCTGATTCCTATATATCCTTGAAGCCAACACAACAAATGGGCAATACTTGTGCCCAACACACTTTGCTCTGACCCGAAAATTATCATTCTTCACAAACTTTATAGATTTGCCTTCCACAGGAGCGTACTCCTTAATAGCTTTCTTCACTTCTTCTCTGTCAACAAACTGCATTTCTAACTTAAACTGAGGATTTCTGAGGTCAGTCTCTCTTCTAAATTGTTTAAAGTTTAGTAATTTTCTCTTCTTTCTCTTCTTTGACTTCTTAGAGTTTTCTCCATTTCCTTGGTCATCCTCGGAAGTTTCACCTTCAGAAGGGAATGCATCAGTGTCTTCACCATTATATGAGATAGCCCCTGTACCTTCATTAGGAGGCACCATTTGAGGATCAATCGTTGGTTCCTCTTCATCCACATTTGGTAGAACATTTGCTCTCTTTTTTGCTGTCATTCCAGGATCAATGTTTGGCATCTCATCATTAGTGTATTCATAATCACTGTCCTTTAACTCTTCATCCACCTCTTTTTCTTCATTTTCAAATTCACTACCATCAGATTCAACTTCCACATTTTCCTCTTCATTGTCTGCTTCATTACCTTTAGAATCAACTTCCACATGTTCCTCTTTAGCCACATTTGCATACTCCTCAAAATCCAATAATGGCCATATACCATTTCGTTTTGACTGCCAAGTGTGTTCTGGTCAGTTGGATCATGGAAATACAGCACAACTCTTCTATTTGATGGAATGGTAGCAACTAAGTTTGCAATGCACCTATCATCTAAGACCTCCTTCACAACATCTTCTGCATGCACCCTATAGAACACTTTTAGGCTTGTCACCTTCTGGGTTATATCCACTTTATACCCAAGCTCTGCCCCAATTTTCTTCAAATCCAATAGTGACAAATAGTCATCCACACAGTTTATATGCAAAGCACACCTTCCCACCCTTATATACACCATTTTCCAACAAACCAAAATGGTGAAGTTCTAAAGTGCACAGCTCGGTTTTATCTAACAGAAAAAACAACATTACTTTGGTTACAACATCTGATACTTTGGTTACAACATTTGACAGGAAAACAATATTTTGACAGCTTTGAAACCACATTTTCTTGCCTCAAACTAAGGACAACAACATAGGACCACACATATAGCCAAACCAAAGACAACAACATAGGACCACACATATAGCCAAACTAAGGACAACAACACAGGACCACACATATGCAGACAAAACTTAAACCTATAAAATATTGAACGCACTAAGTTAAAGTTGTAGTAACTTACCATAATTTGGATGGTCTCCAGACCACATAAACATTGTCCCCATGTGAAGTATCTCTATAAACACTTTGTAAACACTGAAACACCGTCACTTTCAACTATCCCAAAACAGAACCCTTGAATCTTCAATAATGCACTAATACTTCAATCAACAATGTCTCCCTTTTAATGTCGAAAATACTTTTTTGCCCATACCAAGTAGGACTTATCCATGCCACCTCATCAAATTAAATGGAAAATTTGATAGAGATGACATCAAGGATGGTTTCTGCAACTAGAGGCATAATTAACGTACGATGGTAACACTTTATCAAAAGGAGGGACGAAAAGTAAAGTTGGGGTATAGTCTAGGAACCATTGCTACAATTTGGCCAAATTTTTTTTTATTGGTTTTAGCTTAACCGTGTAAGAATGTATACTGTTGGTGTAAGGGGTTAGGCATGGAGGCCTTTTGGATTATGCAAGTTCTTTACCAATGTTTTAGAAGCATTTTCCTATTATAAGTTTTAATATTTTAAATGATGATTGAACAAAATAGGTAAACTTTTGAGGCAAAGCAAATGAGGAATGACATACTCAGTAGATTAAATAGATGGTGTTTAGACATGGAGATTTAGCCATTTGATTTGTCAAAAAGAAGACTTTTTCCAATGGTTTTGAAGCATTTAACAATATATAATATCAAAAGAACATTTCAATGCACTCAGTTAACAACTAATTTTTAGTCGGTGATATTTCTCTTTATAATGTTGAAAGATCCCAACATATCAACCCTGAGTCTGCATGTCCAACGAGCATACTTAAGATAAAATCAAGAAAAACAAATGCCAACAAAAGTAAAAGAAAAAAAATGTATACCGTTAATCATCATGAATTCTTCAAACAATCAACTTAATAGCAATTGTCTTGAATGAGGAAAGAACTTTATTTTTGAGGTCTGGTTAGTAGTAATTGTCTCTCATGAAAACTTCTGATTGGATTTTATACCCTAACGTCTTTGGGGAATTAAAAAAACAAAATGCCCACCCGATTATATGGTCGGGTATGAATTCGGCTGACCCGACCGAACCCGACCTACTAGAGAGCGCGCGCAATTAGCACACACTATTACAAATGACGCAAACCCACACCCAAAAAAGAAAAGAAAAAAGAAAAAGAAAATAGAAGGCACAGATGGAATCGAAGCGTGATCGAATTGAACGGAAGGTTCGAGCCCAATTACCGCCATTCCGTGTCTGGGTTGCTCATGGAATCCTATTCTGAGGTGCCCCATCTATCCAATTTGCCATTGCTGAGTTTACCATTTAGTTAGCTGCGCATTACAAGTCCCTTGCTTGATTGATTTATATTTTCTATTTGATATATCTGAGGGCATTTCCGCATTTGTACCACATCAACTGTGGACCATGTCAAACCCATGTAACCCAGTTTTTTTTTGGTCGAAACATGTTACCCAGTTTGTCTTCTTTTCTTTTCTTTTTTTTTGTCCCAGAAATTTTGATTTTTTTTTCGTTTTTGGGATTTTTAATATTGTAGTTGAATTGTCTTTCAGGTGGACAGTCATATATTTACATTAAAATATTGTAACAAATTTTTTTTAATGTAAATTCATTAAACTATCAACTTCTTTTTTTTTTTTTTTTTTTTTTTTTTTTTTTTATATGTACTGCCTCCTAGGTATCATCTAAGTGAATCCATCCAGGTAAAGACACATTTGAGACTTTTGGTTACTGGTACCAATAAGCCAATGTGAATGTGTGTGTGTGTTTTTTGGTTAAATACAATTTACTTTGTGTTTATATGTTATTTGTTTGTTGGTCTTGATGATTAACCCACTATCACTGCCACTATAAGATATTAGAATGATTTGCCCCAAAATATTACTTATAATCATGGAATAAAAAGGGATGTCTCTGTCAGTAGCAACTTCAAATTAAGATCAACTTAATAATTTATAAAAATATTCTGATGGAGCTCTGATTTAGGCAGCTCCTTGGTGACTGGCTGATATTAATATGGAGAAGAGAAAGCTTCATTTTCTCTTAGTCAAGCTAAGAGAAAATTACTTTTTTTTGTTAAGTAATGGTTCTAAGCTTAGTGAAGCTACAATATATAACTATTGTAAACTAAGCTGATTATATTTCATTCATTCATAAAGTATACAATCTTGCTGATTTCACTATGACTTTGTTTTTGAAATATGAAAAGATGGACAAGTCATGGATGTTTGCTGATAAAAGATCCTAAATATACAAGGATGAGGTTGAAGAGTTCTTCAAATTTGCACTAGAGAGTAGTAGAAATCCAAACTTCATCAATTGTCCTTGTATAAAATGTGGAAATATGAAACAGTTCGCTCTTGGAGTTATAAGAGAGCATTTGTACTTTAATGGGTTCGATAAAAGTCATGAACATTGGATATGGCATGGGCAGCCTTCTAGGTCAGCAGCAAATGCAAATGAAAATATTGAAATGGAAAATGACTTTTTCTCCGAAAGTGTAGATATGGGAGGTGATGGATATGTGGAATTCAAGAATGAGTGTGATGAGTTCATGAATGCCATTGATGATGGAGATAATCCTTTTTGTATCCTGGTTGTCAAACACACACGAAGTTATCTATACTTGTAAGATTGTATAAATTGAAAGTTAGCGCATTTGTTGATTGAGAGATGGGGGGTTTTCTTCCCGATGCTAATCGAATACCCTCATCTATGTATGAAGCGAAGAATACCTTGCTTGCTTTGGGAATGAACTATGAAAACATACACGTGTGCCCTAATGATTCTATCTTATAGAGAAAATAGTATGATGATTGTATTACTTGTAGTCTCTCAAGGTGGAAGTTAAGCAAAAATTCAATTGTAGAGAAAGTTGGTGTACTAGCAAAGTGTTGTAGTACTTTCCACCAATCCCAAGCTTTAAAAGGTGGTTTCAATCTTCTAAGACAACCGAGAAATTAACTTGGCATGCCTATAGAAGTGTGAGTGATGGTCTCATGCGTCATCCAGCCGACTCCCAGGCTTGGAATTAGTCAATCATGAATGGCCTCTCTAAGTTCCAAGTACTGTTGTTGGCCAGTTATACTTGTGAATCACAACCTTTCTCAATCCTTGTGCTAAATCCTTGTGCAAGAAAAGGAAATTCATGATGCTAACCATATTGATTTCTGGTCCTAAACAACTAGGATATTGATGTGTACTTGGCTCCTTTGGTAGAAGATTTGAAAACTCTTTGGGATGGAGTTCGAGGGGTGTATGATGCGTATCAAGGAAAGTACTTTACACTAAAGCTGTGCTAATGTGGACTGTCAATGATTTTCCAACTTATGGGAACTTATCGGGATGCATTGTACATGGTTATAATGCAAGCCCAATATGCGGTGATACACTGTCGTCTAAAAAATGTCGTCTCATACATCGCTATATGATGGTGCCGTTGTCTGTTAACATTGCATTTGTCATCTAAAGTCGCACTAGACGACGGTAGAACACCGTTATCTACGTAGGAAGATGTCATCTAATGGTCCTTAAGACGACAAAAAATAAAGTATTTTGTCGTCTAATATGATACTTTAACTCTCACAGACAACGGTGTTGATAAAAAAAACTGTCGTCTAAATGGCACACAGACAACAATGTTGACCAAAAACTGTCGTCTTAATGTTACAAAGATGACTGTGGATCACGCCATCATCTAAAGTGACATAGACGGTGATCACCTATATAACGGTATGGTAGTACATTAGACGATGGTGATCCACTATCATATAGAACGTTTTTTCTTCTAGTGTTCAAATACAATGCTTTTATTTATTTATTTCAATGTTGGAATTTTAGTTACTAGTTGTAATGGCTAAGATTCAATGTTGGAATTTTAGTTACTAGTTCTCCATGCTTATAATATGCACATATACATGAAGCTTCTAAAGATGATCTCCCTTTCTTTTAGATATATACAAAGAAATATATCATTTTATATGTCCTCGATCGTAAAAACAATACTCTATATGGTGTATTTTTCCGGATTGGCTTAATTAAAAGGGGGTTTCACTAAAACATCCAAAATGGGGCATGAAATTATAAAAAAACCCAACACCCAAAACACTTTATAAACACACCCAAAACCCATCATTACACACACTCAAAACCCATTTATAAACACACCCAAAAAATATACAATTGTTGATTTTGGGTGTGTTTCTATGTTTAAATAGTGCTTGAGTTTTTTTATAAATACATGTCTAAGATTGGGTATATTTATAAATTTGTATAATTAAAAATGTCTTCATATATGGAAACACCCATGCTTGTTCATGTAGTTATCTATAAGGACTCAAGCAGATAAAAAAAAATCATCATGCTGGGGTGGGGTTCTAGCACTTCACTTTCCCATTAAAAGCATAGTATGTCAATGTTAATGGGTTGGGCCCTTAGCTTTTGCTTAGTATATTTTCATAAAACAAAAATATAGGAGAATCCATGTTAGTTCTTTACTTCAGCACGCAATGAATAATTTATTTCGGAAGCTCATGACTTGGATTAATTACAATATGAAGACAATACTAATCCAACTAGTTAATTCATAGCCCTATTATTGGTTGGCTTAAATCATGAGAGTTAGCAGAAAATTGCAAGTCAAAGTGTGCGTAAGCCAACTTGCCAACTTGTAAAATAAATAACTAAAGATGGTGTACACAACTTTTATTATTCATTTCTGATGTTAAGTTGGACAATCTAAATTGCAATTTGGGTTCTTCTTTTTCAAGTTTTGGTCTTCTTGTTCTAAATAGGCCGATCCCTTATTCATGGGTCAAATGGGGGGGTTTTGAGGCGCGCAAAGTTTTCTATATGGTTCTGGCCCTTCTTGGTGTGAGTAAAGAAGAAAAGAAATGCATATCATAAATCAAAGGTTCCCCATAAACTATATAATCAACACAATTTCAATGATAATCACGTAAATATAGTACAAATGTTTGCCTTTTACTAATGGTAAAAAGGCAAAGATTTACAACTTAAGGGTTTAACAACAGCCAGAAATAACTCATACGTTCCCAGAAGCACCTAATTGAACAGTGCTTCGTTTAACATCGGCAAATTCCATCATAGTGCACAGCATACCGTGGACAATGATATAGCTTGATGTCCATTGAATTGGAATGACTGGCTTTGTCTCCTCTGGTTTTTTCACTTCTCCAACACTTACAATGGAAGCAAAGCCAAGCTGCTTCTCCAATGACTGTGCCAAGGAAACGGCATCAACTCCAATTCCAATCACCTCCACTACCGCTTTCTCTACGTCTATGGAAACATTGCTCACACCTTTGGCTTCTGCAGCAATCTTCAAGGCCTTGGTTCTGCAGTTCTGAGAGGTCAATTGCACCTTGATCACTATCTTTTGCTGCATACATAAAGATCATATTTACATAAGGAAAAAAGAAAAACTCTGATAAACAGAATGAAATTAAGTAAAAGGCTTACCTTCGTATTGTAGAGAGAACACGAAATGTCCTTTTCGCAAACACAAAACTTTAGGAATTTTATGAATGAAGGCATCTTTTTATTTATTATTTGAACACTTTTTGTATAGACGAATTGATCTACTTGAACAATTTTTGTATGGCCGAGTTCTACTTTAAACACTTAGAGGTCACTTGGAAAATAATGCCAATGCTATGCTCTATTTAAAGGAGCTTAGTCTTCTTAGAATATAGTTAAGAACCTCTGGTCCCCCCAGTCAGCTGCTTGGAAACCAAGGCTTTCACATAGGCTGAGTGTGAGTCCATCATCCCGTTCGTAGATTCCAATTTGATTCCAGACTACTTTGAATTTTCAGAAAGAAAAAATAACCAAAAAATAATATATATGGATTAAGGGAAATACAATGATCAATGTATGAGTTGTAATGTTAGTGGGTATAGTTTAGTTTGTTCAGTTCTTCCATTTCCATCAATATGGGCAGAGATTTAAAATCCTTAGACACCCGATGAATATTTGTATAAACCCCGTCCCCCAATCGCTTCTATAAAAAATAAAAAAAAAGTATGAGTAGCAATAGTTTAAGTATAAACGGATATAATGAGTACTTTGATTTTAGCTGGAAAGCTCAATTTGTAGACTTACAAATACAAGATAAACATTGATTTGGTAAGTCATACATCTAATCTGGACCCTGGTGGTGCTTTGTATGTGCTTGGCCATCTTGAATTTCATATTAAATTTATTAGAGACAGCTCTATGTGGATGCACTGATTTGGCCATATACATAGAAAACACAAAATGCAATCGGCGTTTATGTGTGAAAACTGCATATAAAAATAACTGCCACTACCACGACTAAAACACATGTCGCAGAACACTTAAAATTAAATCATTCCTCTCTCTCTCTCTCTCTCTCTCTCTCTCTCTCTCCTCTCCTCTCTCTCTCTCTCAGGCCACTGCCACGACTAAAACACATGTCGTAACCTACATAAAACACACACACACACTCTCATAAACTACAGATGAATCAGGTTTAATAAAAGGATTACGGAAACACACACACACACACACTCATAACCTACAAATGAATCAGGTTTAATAAAAGGATTACTTTCTGTAGAGTATACCAAAAGTAATAATGTCAACAACTTCAATTTAGAAACAGATCATAAGAGAGTCCATGAGTGACCAAATTTCAACCAGAAAATGAGGACAGCAACCAGAACCAATTTTACAAAAATGTTGAAGATGAAACCTGTATAAAACAAAAATGAGTTTCTATTAACAATGCATCGTGAATGTTTCTGTGCATTCTCTAAGTAACACTGCATCGTGTACCATCTTCAAGCAGGGTTCTTCAGCTGACATACTTTTCATGTTTGCCTCGAGTTCTAGTTGGAGGACCTGCAAATAGATAATTTTGATAAGAAAGGCTTATTTCTAACTGAAATTATAAACAACTATTTGAAAAAGTAAAAACACCAAGCAATCTTTAACATTTGAATAACATTCGGAAATTTTACAGCAGATCTACCTGGAGGAGACAAATTACTTACTAATTGTATAGCTAGTTCAGGATAGGGATTCATCTATATGTAATTCAATTATCATTAAAAACATTCAAGACATAATATGTTCACATCCTAACAAAACTTATGATCACTATGTGCACAATACTTCTGAAAATTCAGAGCAACAAACTCATTTAACAATTATTGGAATAAGAAAAGAAAAAAATATCAACAAGTTACCTTTTTTTCACAGAACAATGGCACCAAGCAAGCTTAATCTAGTGGCCAACGATTCGGGTGTTCGGGACGTAAACCTGAAAGGACCACAAAAATCCGAAGCGCTAAGGAGCGCATGCTGTCTACAATTTCAAATTCAAACATCATGGAAAAAAATCTCTTTTTCCCTCATTGCTTCATTCCCTGTGTCTGCGGACAAAATTAGGCCGACGGTTTGAGCTCCTAGATGGACCAAATAAGGTTCTATATTCCGCGCGCATAGAGGTACCGTGTTCAACTGAGTCAGTTTCAGTGGTTCAAGAGCTGTCAACGATGTCAAATCCTTTGACATCAAATAGACGATCATGGATGTATCCTTCCATTCAAGAAGACGATCAAACACATCAAACATATCCCAGTAGTCATCGCCCTTGGGGTAGTCTTTGTCGTCAGCAACTCGATGAACTTCCAACTTACATGTGAAAAGCACCCAATCCCCATCCCTAGTTTCCACCGCTAAAGTTTCGCAACCCAAAGGTATGGAAAATCCAGGATAGTCGGTGAAAATGTGTTGTTTCCATTGGTGGTTGGGGTCAGCCATATCAAATCGATAAATAGGACAACACGATGTTGAGACAAAAATGTTACTGCCTACAACTACACAAGAAGTCCCACGAGAGTGTCGAATGTATCCAAAAGTTGGGGATTCGGGCAGAGTCACCCATTTCCCCACTTTTGGGTCAAACATCTCAAACCCCCCACTAAAAGGTTCCCCAGCCCCTGTTTTTAAAGAGAGAGTAGAGAGCACATACAATCTGCAGTCATATTGCACCACAAGGGGACAACACTTCCCTCGTTGAAGAGTATTGTTGTCGAACACAGGGTCTTTCATTTGGTTGGATTTCTTAGTATTAAAGACACGCATACCCTTGCTTGGACATGATCGGTACTTGTAGCCTTCGAATATCCCTCATAACCTCCGGCAAAAACTATTTTGGATCCGTAAGCACCTATACCCATACCGTTGAGCGCTGCGCCAACTGAATATACCTTCATCGACCGAACACCAGAAGACGAAAAATCCAAGGATTCAATATTGCAAAAAACATCAGCACTCTGGCCATAGGTGCCAAAACACAAATACACAGTCTTAGTCAAATCCCAATCCTTCATCATACTCCTCTGCTCCTCCGCATGCCTCATCTGTTTCACCGAACGCAGCCATTCTTCTTCTTCTTCTGCTCCTCCTTGTGTTCCGCTCTTCCGCTCCTCCTCTTCTTCTTCATGATTTGCCATAGAAATAAGCGCCTTCGAATTTGCCTCTTAGGGTTTAGGGTTCCTTTTCAAGAGTTGTTTGTTTGCTGCGTCTCCCCCCTCCTTTTCACTGATGCTTCATGGACTTTCAGTTTCACAAAGTGCTTCAATAAACCCTACTTTAAACTTACTGCAAATAAAAGGATAAAAAGAGAGATGTGAGCAAATTTTGACCTCCTCTCTTCCTCTGCGTCTTCGTCTATATGTGAGAGAGAGGGCCACGAAAGAGGAAGAGAGGGATAGCTAGGGTTTTGCTTTTATTAATTTCTAAATAGTGATTTGGGTTCATTTTTTGGTCGGACTGATTGTCCATGGATTGGGCCTTGTTTGTTGTTACAGAAAGGTGAATTGTAAAAAATAAAAATAAAATAAAAAAGTTGAGGGACTATAGCATAAATTAATAATATGATGCACGACGTCGTTTGGCAAAATCGTTTTCATTTCATCTTCTACCTTGTGTAGAAACCGACCTCTCTCCCACTGCGTTAAACCGCCAAGGCCGAAAACTCGGACAATGAACACTTACGGCCCCGTGAGGGAGCCGTCACGTGCCCTATCCAACCCTCTCCTCGTCCGTACAACAGTGAGCAGTCGTCGACTTTCCCCCTGAAAAACCTAACGAAGTTGAACTTCGAGCCTAGCCGACTTCGTCGCCATCGATCGAGCGGACGTCTGCCACCTCAAGGTCAAGTTCGCGGTGCTTCATTTCTCATGCGTGCGTGCTATTTTTCTTTCCTTTTAGTTTTTAGTTTGTCGTGTGTTTGGCTGCGGGGAAATTGGGGAAGTAAGAAAAGAACAGAAATTTAGGGATACTGCATGACTTTCTTGTTAATGGCACATTGGCTTTTGCTTCACTTACATGTACGTTTTAGTTTGCTGAGAAATTGCTGGGAGAGGAGATAATTTTGATTTGGAGTGTTTTTCTTTGGTGTTTGGTTTGGAGTGAAAAGCTCAAAAAAATTTGGGTTTCTTTTGCTTGGAATTGCCCTAGAACTCATTTTTTTTTTTTTTTTTTTTTTTTTTTTTTTTTTTTTTTTTTTTTTTTTTTTTTTTTTTTTTTTTTTTTTTTTTTTTTTTTTTTTTTTTTTTTTTTTTTTTTTTTTTTTTTTTTTTTTTTTTTTTTTTTTTTTTTTTTTTTTTTTTTTTTTTTTTTTTTTTTTTTTTTTTTTTTTTTTTTTTTTTTTTTTTTTTTTTTTTTTTTTTTTTTTTTTTTTTTTTTTTTTTTTTTTTTTTTTTTTTTTTTTTTTTTTTTTTTTTTTTTTTTTTTTTTTTTTTTTTTTTTTTTTTTTTTTTTTTTTTTTTTTTTTTTTTTTTTTTTTTTTTTTTTTTTTTTTTTTTTTTTTTTTTTTTTTTTTTTTTTTTTTTTTTTTTTTTTTTTTTTTTTTTTTTTCAGAATTTTCATCCAGTTTTGGGGATCAGACAATAATTCTTCGGAATTTTACGACGATGATGACAATGACGAAGAAGATGGTGGTGGCTGGGAGCGTGGTAGAGTTTAGAATATTCTATTTAAATAGTATAGCCGAACGGCTATATTCTATTTATAGATTATAGCCGGTCGGCTATACGTTTAGAATATTCTGTTTATATTCGGCTATACTCTTCAACACATTCCATTTATAGAGTCCAGCCGGGCGGCTATACCTTTAGATATTCTACTTATACAGTATTTCCGCGCGGCTATACTTTTAACATATTCTATTCCTTTGTCCATCTGAGAGTTTAGTCCAACCAAATTCTCTCTCCCCCTCTCTCTCTCTCTCAATACCAAGAAAATGGCGAAAGGCGAACGCAGGGTGTTGTTGGTATTGGGGGACTACGTGGAAGACTACGAGGCGATGGTTCCATTTTAAGCACTGCAGGAATATGGAGTGTCCGTTGATGCCGTCTGTCCTGGCAAGAAAGCTGTTGATATCTGTCGCACAGCCATTCATCAACTTTCTCCTGCTCACCAGGTCACCCACCTCTGCTTCTTTTGCCTTTTCCTTTTTCTATTTGTAATGAAAATCGTTTTCTTTAGCCTCATTACATCACTTGAGCACTGTCAATTGGTCTTTTCCATGCTCTGTAATGAAGCACACTCAATTAGATTGAAGATTGAATGCTTACTTCACTTGAATTTGTAAACCCAAAACAAGAAATTTGTCTCAAAGATTGAAGTGCTTACAATTCTCACATATGGGATTATGTTGCCTCCTCTAAAATTTGGAATCTGTTGGGACTGGAAATTAGTTTGTCAAGTTTACGAACGAACATCACGCTTTCAAGTTTAGTTTTTTGCATCAGCCAATCTTTGGTAGCCTTAATTATAGACAAAATGAATAAGTTTTATTGTTGATTAGAGCCACTCTATTAGATTGACAAATAGCAATCCGTAGGTTATAGTTCTAGGTTGTGTGGACAGCGAGACTAAAGTAAGCTCAAACAAGAACACATGTTAGGAGTTTTGTTTAACTTACAAATCTTCAAATGCTACATGTCTTTCTGGTCCCCCTTTGTTTTAATATGTTTTTCGGTTTTCTGTATTTTTTTTATTTGGTTGCAGACTTATTCTGAATCACGTGGTCACAATTTTGCACTCAATGCAACATTTGATGACATTGAATTTAACAAATATGATGGATTAATAATACCAGGAGGACGGGCACCTGAATATCTTGCTGTGGATGCGTCGGTTTTAGAATTGGTGAGAAAGTTTTCTGACTCCTGAAAGCCAATTGCTTCGGTTTGCCATGGGCAACTTGTCCTAGCAGCTGCAGGCTCGGTTAAAGGTAGGAAGCGTACGGCCTTCCCAGCTGACAGACCTGTACTTGTTGCTGGAGGTGCTTATTGGGTGGAACCCGAGACCTTATGGCGTGTGTTGTTGATGGTAATATAATCACTGGGGCTACATGTGAAGGCCATCCTGAGTTAATTAGGCTTTTTGTGAAGGCACTAGGAGGTAACATAACTTGACAAAGCTTGAAGCCCACCACGTTTTGTAAGCTGGTTATTTAGGGTCCATAAATCAAGATTGGCTACTTGACAAACCTTAAAGCTCACCAAATTCAAAATATTATTTTACTTGTCAATATCAATAGTGATAAGATGGTCCATAAATCAACTTTGGCTACGTTTTAAATAAAGAAGAACCTCTTTCGTTTAAAGCCACAAGTCAAAAATAGGTATAGCCGCCTTTAAAATATAGTACGGCTATACTATTTAATGAAAAAATTAAAAAAATTAATAATAAACCTAGTTGCATTTTTTTGTACCTTATGGATATTAATTTGCAACATATCCAAAGTAGATATTAATCTTCCTCTATTTGATGTTTTAATATAATTTGTATACCATATGTTATTCTTATTCAATAATATGTGAGAATTATTTGTATATTACGTGAATTTGTGTTGTTAATGAAAATTTTGTAAAAAGTACGTGAAATTTTTTATTTAAATAATTAACTAATTGGTTTTAATTTGAATTTGTGTGTTACATAAAATTTTGTAAAAAATATGTGAGAGTCCGTTTTCTTAAATGTTGAATAAAGAAAAATAAATGTTATTATTCTTAAGTCATTATCTTGGTAAGAAGGAAAATTATATGTTTATAATACCATTTCAATAGTTATAGAAATATTATTTCATTAAATCTATATATATATATATATATATGTATATATACATATGTTCTTTCGAATAAAAAAAGGTTTGTTTAAATTATATATTTGTTAATTATTCCTTGGATGCTATTAGATGGTTATTGGGTCCTTTATATACATATATATTAATAACATGGATTAAGAGTTTAAACGTGGCTTAAACGTGGCATTCTTACATTGTTTTCTTGGAGAGAAAGATTGTTCTCTCTTATCTTAATTTGGAGATATATTTAAATTAGTATGCTGGAGGTGGTTTTTTTTTCCATTAAATTAGTTGATGCATTACCATGCATTTGGACAGCTCATGCTTACAATTTGGTGACTAGGCTTTATCTTAGCTTGAGGAGGAGTTTATAAGTTCAATAGGTGGCATGGCCTTTGGAAATATATCTCCTGGCGTTGACACATATCAGCTTCTATAAAAGAGTGGCAACCAAGTTATCTTTTGTATAAGATAAGATAGTGGGCCTTTGTTATTATCCTCTCCATTATTACCACCATCTCACCGCCTATAAATAGGAGTGTTAATAAGGAAGAGATATCATGCAACGTGAGACACAGAGAGAGAGGAAGAGTATTATTATTATTATTAATGTGATATTTTGGCTATATGATTGCCTGTCACTTAATTTAGTTATATCAATCTACTGTGGTAAGATCTCATGTCCCTACTGAGCTGTGGTTGCTCATCCCTCGCCCTATTTAATTTTTCAGATGAATTAGTAGGCAAGAAAAGGACTAATAAACCAGTTGAGATTGAATTAGATGAGAGTGTTAGAGCTTTATTTCTTAAATGTAAAGTTGTAAGATTTTTGGAGATATTTTTATAAGAGAAGTTTATTTTAAACCCTGTTTCGGTTTTTTTTTTTTTTTTTTTTCACGCACTGGGCGCTGGATTTCCACCGACCCCCGGGTCCAGGACTTGACAAAATATGTGTACAAAACATTATAAATACATATGTACATGTACAATATGACTATTGTATGTTTGCTTTTTAAAGAAAACGTGAGACGTTTATAGAACACGAATGTATTGTTGAAAAATACATACCTACATATGTGTATATATGAATATATATATGTAAAAGACTTTAGCTGCTCGTCTATACTATTTATTAAATCAAATTTATATATAAAAAAACCGGTAACGCATCTCGCCTATACTATATATATATATATATATTTATTTATTTTATTTTTAAACTGAGTATAGCCGAGCGGTTATACTATTTTTTAATGTAAAAAAGTTACCCCACCCAACTGGAGCCACGTGTCAACACATGTCTTCTTAAAAAAAAATTCGAAACTAAGTACGGTCGTGCTGCTATACTAATTTTTAATATAAAAAGGACCCCAACCATTTGGCGCCATGTCTCAAAACATGTCTTCCTTAAAGAAATTTCAAAATTGAGTCTAGCGGGGCGGCTATACTATTTTTTAATATAAAAAGACCTCCAGCCATTATGCCCCACGTGTCAACACATGTCTTTTTTAAGAAAATTTCAAAACTGAGTATAGCCGTTCGGCTATACTATTTTTAATATAAAAAAGATTCTATCCATTAGGCACCACGTGTTAACACAGTCTTTTTAAAAAAAAATTCAAAACTGAGTATAGCCGGTCGGCGATACTATTTTTAAATATAAAAAGACTCCAGCCATTAGGCGACATGTGTCAACACATGTCTTTTTTTAAAAAAATTCAAAATTAAGTATAGCCATTCGGCTGTACTCCTTATTTTAAAATTAAAAAAATAAAGAAGAACCCCTTTTGTTTAAAGCCACGTGTCAAAAATCGGTATAGCCGCCCGGCTACACCTTTTTTTATAAAAAAATATTCTAGTATAGCCGAACGGCTATACTATTTAATTGAAAAATTAATAAAAAACCTAGTTGCATACGTTTGTACCTTATGGATATTAATTTGCAACATATCCAAAGTTGATATTAATCTTCCTCTATATGATGTTTTAATATAATTTTTATACCATGTGTTATTCTTATTCAATAATGTGTAAGAATTATTTGTATAATACGTGAATTTGTCTGTGTTATTGAAAATTTTGTAAAAAGTACGTGAATTTTTTTATTTAAATAATTAACTAATTGGTTTTAATTTAAATTTGTGTGTGTTACTGAAAATTTTGTAAAAAATACGTGTACAAAACATTATAAATACGTACGTACATGTACAATACGACTATTGTATGTTTGCTTTTTAACGAAAACGTGAGACATTTATAGAACACGAATGTATTGTTGAAAAATACGTACCTACATATGTGTATTGTTGAAAAAGACTATAGCCACTCGTCTATACTATTTATTAAATTCAGTTTATTAAAAAAAAATTTTTAAAAACCAGTAACGCCTCTTGCCTATACTATAATTTTATTTTATTTTTTAAAAACTGAGTATAGCCGGGCGGCTATACTATTTTTTAATATAAAAAAGGTCCCCCCACCCATTTGGAGCCACGTGTCAACACATGTCTTTTTTTTTAAAAAAATTCAAAACTAAGAATAGCCGATCGGCTATACTAATTTTTAATATAAAAAAGGACCTCAACCATTTGGCGCCATGTGTCAAAACCTGTCTTTCTTAAAAAAAAATTCAAAACTGAGTATAGCCGTTCGGCGATACTATTTTTTAATATAAAAAAAAGACCCCCAGCCATTATGCCCCACATGTCAACACATGTCTTTTTAAAAAAAATTGAAAACTGAGTATAGCCATTCGGCTAGACTATTTTAAATATAAAACTCCAGCCATTAGGCGCCACGTGTCAACACATGTCTCTTTTTAAAAAATTTCAAAACTGAGTATAGCCGTGCGGCTGTACGTTCTTAAAAAATATAAAATAAAGACGAACCTCTTTCGTTTAAAGCCACGTGTCAAAAATAAGTATAGCCGCCCGGCTATACCGTGTTTTTATAACAACAATTCTAGTATAGCCGCACAACGATACTATTTAATTAAAAATTTAATAATAAATCTAGTTGCATTCGTTTGTACCTTATGGATATTAATTTTCAACATATCCAAAGTAGATATTAATCTTCCTCTATTTGATGTTTTAATATAATTTTTATACCATGTGTTATTCTTATTCAATAATGTGTGAGAATTATTTGTATAATACATGAATTTGTGTGTGTTACTGAAAATTTTGTGAAAAGTACGTAAATTTTTTTATTTAAATAATTAACTAATTGGTTTTAAGTTAGCCTAAGAGCCCCAAGGCCCAAGGCCTATCTTTTGATTAATTAAATGTATTAATTAGCCATTGACCCAATTAACTAGGCATTTAACCTTAAGCCATACTCACAAGTCACTCAATTGGGCCACTTGCATAGCCAATACAAACTGTTCTATTTCCAATAGTAAGTCTTATAAAGACTTCCAAGGAACTCTACATGGTGCTGACTGCAACATAATACGCACACAACCTCGTTGTATTTCTGCTGTGTCTGTTGCTGCTCGTATATCCTCTGAAAGGGAAGAGAATCTTGGTGAAACTGTTGGTTATCAAATCTGCCTGGAATCAAAACGTTCTGCTCGAAAAAACGTGAATTTTGCACCACTGGAGTATTACTTAGACAGTTGGTAATACAATTTTTCTGATATGTTTCCGACACCTGCATGATCCATGGTGTTATAATTTATTAACCTCTGACTCCCCCTATTTTATTTCACCTGTTTTTTTCAAATACTAAATTTCCTCAATCTATTTCTAAGAAAAATTGTGCTGGCTACAAACATAGCAGAGAGTAGTATCACCATAGATGATGTTGTGTATGTCATAGACTGTGGAAGGGCAAAGGAAACCAGTTATGATGCTTTAAACAAGTTGGCTTGTCTATTACCATCATGGATTTCAAAGGCTTCAGCACATCAGTTATAATTTACTACCAGAAGTAATCGAATTCAAGGTTTTACCTGTATGTCAAACTTGTTGAGACTCAACCAAGGTGGATCCATTTATGGTTTGTCAAAATAAACATTTTATTAAATTTTATTGCTTTGGTGATGATTCCAGAGGCGACGGCGTGCTGGCCGTGTGCAGCCTGGAGTTTGTTACACACTATATCCAAAAATGATCCATGATGCAATGCTCCAATATTAGTTACCTGAAATTCTCCAAACACCTTTGCAAGTTTGCTGCTTGGAGCTGTTGGGTGTTTTTTGGCTAAGGCACTTCAGCCACCAGATCCTCTTGCTGTTCAAAATGCAATCGAACTTCTCAAAACCACTGGAGCTTTAGATAACATAGAGGAGCTTACTCCGCTTGGCATGTAAGTTATGCAAGTCTCTACTGAATATCAGCTATGGTAGTTGACTGAAAAATCTTACATGACAGGTCGCCATCTTTGCACACTACCATTGGATCCAAACATTGGGAAGATGCTTCTAATGGGTTCTATCTTTCAATGCCTGAATCATGCCTTAACAATTGCAGCTGCCCTTGCTCATCGTGACCCTTTTGTCCTACCAATAAATAGGAAAGAGGATGCTGATGCTGCAAAAGGATACTCGGTTTTTTAATGTTTGAAAAAATAAAACCGTATAGCCGATCGGCTATACTATGTTTCTCCCTAAATTTTGAAAACAAAGTATAGCCTGGCGGTTTTACTCGTTTTAAAATGTTTATTTTCGTAAAAGAGTATAGCCGACCGGCGATACTGTTTTTGACACGTAAGCGCTAGACCGGTGCTTTTTTAAAATTTACAAAATAGTATAGCCGTGCGGCTATACTCGGTTTTGTAATTTTTTAAAAAAATTGTACAGCCGACCGGCTATACTATGGTTTTTAGGAAAAAATAGATTGTTTATGAAATTGTTTAAGAAATAGTATAGCCGTGCGGCTATACATGGCTTCTGAGCCTTTTTTTTGTATATATAAATAGTATAGCCATTCGGCTATACTTTTAAAAATGAAAATTAATCTGGGATATTTCGCTGGCATAGACCTTTGCCGACGAACATCGTCGGGACAACTTTTTCTTTTAAAAAAAAATTAAGTATAAAATTAGTTTCTTTTCTTTTGTTTTTTGGCCTACTTCTTTAATTTAATATATGTAATTAAGTAATATGTTAGTCTTTTTTTAATTACTTTAATTAGTAATTATATTTAAACAACAAATAGAATAATGAAATTAAATATGGAGTTTGCTCCACTAGGATACAACTTCTAAATCAAAGTCCTATCACTAGGGCTTTGATTTCTAGTGAAATTTGTGTGTTTATCTATGCGGACCCAATATTTAAAAATGATGTGAGCTAAATTTTCTTAGGTACTTATAACTTATTGAAAACTCGACGGGTGAATTTTATTAATGACAACTTAAAAAAGAATCAGAGACATAATGAATCTTACCTCTCAAAATGCTAGTACATGTAGATAAAAACATACTTAAATTGTTTTTTTTTTTTTTTTTTTTTTATATAAGATAAACGTCTAAAATAGTAAAATAGTAAATAACTAACTTTTCTTACTATTTTAAACGAAACTAACAACTGCAAAGGTTTTGGATTTGTGCAGGTCTGTTTGACAGTCCGATAACTACAAGCACTAGTTGATGATACTATTAGTATCATGGTCTTAATATTTTAATATAATTTTTATAACATAGATTATTTTTTTTTTTTTTTTTTTTTTTTTTTTTTTTTTTTTTTTTTTTTTTTTTTTTTTTTTTTTTTTTTTTTTTTTTTTTTTTTTTTTTTTTTTTTTTTTTTTTTTTTTTTTTTTTTTTTTTTTTTTTTTTTTTTTTTTTTTTTTTTTTTTTTTTTTTTTTTTTTTTTTTTTTTTTTTTTTTTTTTTTTTTTTTTTTTTTTTTTTTTTTTTTTTTTTTTTTTTTTTTTTTTTTTTTTTTTTTTTTTTTTTTTTTTTTTTTTTTTTTTTTTTTTTTTTTTTTTTTTTTTTTTTTTTTTTTTTTTTTTTTTTTTTTTGGGGGGTTTTTTTTTTTTTTTTTTTTTTTTTTTTTTTTTTTTTTGATAATTTTGATTTGGAGTGTTTTTCTTTGGTGTTTGGTTTGGAGTGAAAAGCTCAAAAAAATTTGGGTTTCTTTTGCTTGGAATTGCCCTAGAACTCATCTATCTTTGTTCCAACTTCAATTCTATTGCTTTATCCTTCTATTCTCTGTATTTTGGGTATGTTTGGGTCGCTGGACAGCAGCTTATAGCCGCTGCCCTGCATCATATTGACCCGCGGTTCTTTCCTGCATCGTCTCTTAGCTGAAGGGTAGAGGCCTGTTTATTAAATGCGAAGCTTGCTCTAGCTTGTCTTCAAGAGATTATACATACATGTTCAACTGAAATAGTAATTTTGAATTTTAAATCTCAACCCTTCAGACATTTCCATCTCATTCAAATCAACTTTCTCTAACTAAGATCCAATTTCCAAAAACAGTAGAAACCCTTCAAAACCTTAAACATATTATATTTAAAACACAGGAGCCCTCTTACAATTCCTAAGGCAATTAGCGGTGCTTAAATACCAAATACCGAACAAGTTAATGTCTTCATCAGGCTAGTATATTTACAAATATTTAAGCATTGATGTCGAGCAATTAAATATGAAAATGGGATGGTGTTTTAGTGTATCTGGGCTTTTTGGATCACTCCACAAGTCCTGTCCAGTGTTTTTTAAGCATTTATCTATAGCTTCCCCATTAATGGCTTGGAAAACAGCTGATTCATTTATTTCATAATCAGATAAAAATTACCTGGCTTGATTGGACATTGTTTAGGTATGTAGCATTACAGAAGAAAGGGTTTGCAAATTCACATTGTTAATGGTAAATTGTTTATTTGTTCTTGGATGCTAGATTTAAAGAGTTGCTATTTACATTAATTCCTTTAAAAAGTTGTGGTTCAAATTACTAGGGGAAGGAAGTCTGGTCTGGGCTTTTGGATATTCAATTCTGCTCAGTTCAGGACCTAAGGTTGATGGGTTTGAGTTGTTATGATCAAATACACATATTTTTTGGCATTCTTGGTGGTGGAATATCTTAGCCATGCAGAGCTTGTGATTTGGAAGCTTCTGTTCCAGAGGCTGATGATGGAGGTTTATGCTTTGTCATGTCCCATGGGTTTTGGAATTGGAAATGTAAAGCGGAAATCTTGAAGGTTCGATGGCTGATCTTAGTTGGTTTGACTTTGATATTTGCACTCTATGCTTTTTTTACTCAATTGCATCAGATGTTTCATCCTTGAAACAGTAAGACATAGTAAGGAGACTCCACAACATTACTTATCTTAAACACCTTTATTAGCTAAGGCTCATCCAGTTCTATTTACTTCAATATATACTAATTACATGTATTGCAATATACTAAATTCTCTATATAATTATACATTACTAATTACAACAGTTTGTAAACACCAAACTACTCAGGAGCACTTCAATGAGGATCAAAGCTGAAGTATCTTTCTTTTTTGAATCTGTGCCCCCAGGTGTTAAAGTAGAATTGTCTTTCCTCATTTTGATCAGAGATTTTCCACCAACACCAGGGTGAATCAACCCGTTTGAAAGCAGAAATCTCTTCTTCCAGCACTTGTTTTTCTTGAAATTGGCAACACGCATAAACAATCACTCAGGGAACTCTGCCTGCACCAATCCTCAGTTACTGGCTGAAAATGGTCATACTCAGAATAAGGTCTGTGTTCTGCATCTCTTGAAAATAAAAGGATTCTGATTCTAGTGAGGCATCGTCACAACTTTGTGAAAGAAGTCCTGTTTGCATCCTTCAACACATCATCTGGATCAATATGGCTGTACCCATATGGACACTGGCAACTTGGTCCTTCATCATCATGTCTGCATAAGCTGTTGAATCTACATGCACCGCCGCCTGTATATTCCAAGAGCGAGGTGCAGATATTTGAAGGCATGTAAGACAAAGTAGACCAAAGCCATGGACCACCTTCCCACAGTTGAGCTAGTACTTTTATGGTACACATGGTATCTAAAAACTCCATCATACTCAATAAGCAGAATTAGGAGAATCCAATGGGAAATTTGTGTTTTACAGCACGAAATTCCCGTCACGTTGCAAGGTAAGCTGGAATCTCCCTCTTGAGTGAGTTGTTTCCTTATATCGCGCAAAGAGTATGGTTTCTTGATTTAGACTCTCAGTAGGAAAGATTGTGTCAGTTGGCTGATCAAAACTCTCCCACAAACTGATTGATTCAAGGTTAGCCAGCACAAAATTTCCTGTGTCAAGCACGGCTGCATGGGCAACTCCAGTACCAGAAGAATCAGCAACCCATATTCGCTTGCCTGTTGCAGCCTCATTGAGCCTAAACAGTCCATCTGCAGTGAGTTCAACTTTGGATCCTTTTGCCACTAGATGATTACCATGGCTGACCACACAATAGGTTTTTTCTGGTATTTTGTTAAACCAGATGGATAGTAAGAAGCCATGTTTACCAATTTTTTGGAAACCAAAAGCAAATTCCCCAGATTGTGATGTCCAAAATGAGCCATTGTCCTCTGCAATGAGTGATTATGAGTGATGAGCCCAATGATTTGTTCTTTTAAATTTGAGCATTGGTGTAAAATGGCAGCTGTATAATGAGAAGCACAAAGCATATGACAGTTCAAAAGACATAGCACATACAAAGGAGGAGCATATGGTGGTTAGCAAATTCAACAATGATGTGTAATAAGACCAAAATATATACACAGAGTTTCAATTTCCTTTATTAAATAATCATTTCAAAAAAAAATTTATTGGTTTTAGCTTAACCGTGTAAGAATATATACTGTTGGTGTAAGGGGTTAGGCATGGAGGCCTTTTGGATTATGCCAAGTTCTTTACCAATGTTTTAGAAGCATTTTCCTATTAAAAGTTTTAATTTTTTAAATGATGATTGAATAAAATAGGTAAACTTTTGAGGCCAAGCAAATGAGGAATGGCATACTCAGTAGATTAAATGGATGGTGTTTAGACTTGGAGATTTAACCATTTGATTTGTCAAAAAGAAAAGACCTTTTCCAATGGTTTTGAAGCAGTTAACAATATATAATATCAAAAGAACATTTCAATGCACTGAGTTAACAACTAATTTTTAGTCGGTGATATTTCTCTTTACAATATTGAAAGATCCCAAAATATCAACCCCGAATCTGCATGTCCAACGAGCATAATTAAAGATAAAATCAAGAAAAACAAATGCCAACAAAAGTAAAAGAAAAAACAAAATGCCCACCCGATTATATGGTCGGGTATGAACTCATATAGGGAGAGAGGGCTTCATCGAGAGGGAAGGGAATTTTCATGGAGAGGGAAACTTAGAACATTGAGCGGGGCGTGAAAAATTAGGTTGAGAAAGACAACTTTAGTTTTTGGTGAAGCTGAGAGGGACAACTTAAGTGAAACAGTATTTAGCGTGTTTTAGATGCACGTCGGTGACGTGTTTTTGAAATATGTTTTGGATTACCACCGTATTAGATGCCTTAAGACGTCGCTTTTATAACCACTGACGTGGTTTGTAGCCAATTTGAAAACCACGACGCTTTCTTCGAGTTCCGACGTCTTTTAAGTGACGTGTTTTTGCAATATTGGCGTAGTTTACATCATGACAGTGGAATTGGGTGAGCTGAAGATTATTGTGTCCTTTGAATATGTTAGCTTTTTTAGCAGAAAATTGCAACTCAAAGTGTGTGTAAGCCAACTTGCCAACTTGCCAACTCGTAAAATAATAATAACTAAAGATGGTGCACACAACTTTTACTATTCATTTTTGATGTTAAGTTGGACAATCTAAATTGCAATTTGGGTTCTTCTTTTTCAAGTTTTGGTCTTCTTGTTCTAAATAGGCCGATCCCTTATTCATGGATCAAATGGCGGGGTTTTGAGGCGCGCAAAGTTTTCTATATGGTTCTGGCCCTTCTTGGTGTGAGTAAAGAAGAAAAGAAATGCATATTATAAATCAAAGGTTCCCCATAAACTATATAATCAACACAATTTCAATGATAATCACGTAAATATAGTACAAATGTTTGCCTTTTACTAATGGTAAAAAGGCAAAGATTTACAACTTAAGGGTTTAACAACAGCCAGAAATAATTCATACGTTCCCAGAAGCACCTAATTGAACAGTGCTTCGTTTAACATCGGCAAATTCCATCATAGTGCACAGCATACCGTGGACAATGAATATAGCTTGATGTCCATTGAATTGGAATGACTGGCTTTGTCTCCTCTGGTTTTTTCACTTCTCCAACACTTACAATGGAAGCAAAGCCAAGCTGCTTCTCCAATGACTGTGCCAAGGAAACGGCATCAACTCCAATTCCAATCACCTCCACTACCGCTTTCTCTACGTCTATGGAAACATTGCTCACACCTTTGGCTTCTGCAGCAATCTTCAAGGCCTTGGTTCTGCAGTTCTGAGAGGTCAATTGCACCTTGATCACTATCTTTTGCTGCATACATAAAGATCATATTTACATAAGGAAAAAAGAAAAACTCTGATAAACAGAATGAAATTAAGTAAAAGGCTTACCTTCGTATTGTAGAGAGAACACGAAATGTCCTTTTCGCAAACACAAAACTTTAGGAATTTTATGAATGAAGGCATCTTTTTATTTATTTATTTGAACACTTTTTGTATAGACGAATTGATCTACTTGAACAATTTTTGTATGGCCGAATTCTACTTGAAAACTTAGAGGTCACTTGGAAAATAATGCCAACGCTATGCTCTATTTAAAGGAGCTTAGTCTTCTTAGAATATAATTAAGAACCTCTGGTCTCCCCAGTCAGCTGCATGCTTGGAAACCAAGGCTTTCACATAGACTGAGTCCATCACACCTTTCGTAGATTCCAATTTGATTCCAGACTACTTTGAATTTTCAGAAAGAAAATAACCAAAAAATAATATATATGGATTAAGGGAAATACAATGATTAATGTATGAGTTGTAATGTTAGTGGGTAGTTCAGTTGGTTCAGTTCTTCCATTTCCACTAATGTGGGCAGAGATTCGAAATCCCTAAACACCGGTACCCAATGAATATTTGTATAAACCCCATCCACCAATTGCTTCTTGAATTTCATATTAAATTTATTAGAGACAGCTCTATGTGGATGCACTGATTTGGCCATATACATAGAAAACAAAAATGCAATTCGGAGTTTCTGTTTACTGGTACCAATAAGCCAACGTGAGTGTGTGTGTGTGTGTTTTTTTTTCGGTTGAATACAATTTATTTATTTTTATACAAGTGATAATTGGAATTGTTAACTGGAGCCACTGATTTAGTCCTTGTGTCTGGACAAGACCAAAAGTATGTGAACACATGGTGGGGCTTATGTGTTTGTCTTAGCGCATAAGCATATGCCCTAAAACTGCTTCATATTCTATGTAAACGTATGTTGATCATGGGATTATAAATTTCCAAAAGTAAAGTTTCACCATTTAAATTAGGAAAATTTTAGAAAAATTACATTTATATACCGCATTGTGAATTATATTTCTAATAAAGTTGACACCTATCGTATGAAAATAAATACAAATTACAATAGGAAATAAATCTTAATTATAATAGAATTAGATAAATGGATAAGTAACCAAAATCCTAATATAGTACAGAACCCAAATCCTAACTAAGTAAGGACTCGCCAACAAAATATACATCTCTATTAGAGAACAAGTCGTTAAATTATGAAATTTTGTATTCGAATTAGCCTGCTTCAGTATTGGGCCGGGCCAACCCCTCTTGTTCTTGAGTCAAAGGGGTACAAAATGTTGTATATCATTCTTGCGGTTCTTGGTATGAATGAAGAAGGTATAACATGACTCAAAAGTTCAGGATCAACTCCGTTTGAATGAAGAAATTAAAAATTATATAGAATTCTAAATAACGGAATTTAGATTTCCATCATTTTAATTTCTAGCAATTGAAGATTTTAGTGTTTGGATTTATGTATGTCGAATTTTGTAAATGACACTACAGAAATTGTGAAATGACTTATATTTTGGTGGAAATTAAACTCGGGAATTTAATGCCCCAATTTTCATGATTTTTCTGTGCATCATTTAATATATTCCATTCTTAACTTGCTAAACAAGAGAATTGTCAATTTCTTCTATTAAATTTCAACTTATTTTTCTATTAAATTTCAAGTTATTTTACCTTATCCGAACATAGAATGGAAAAAACTTCAACAACAATCACGTTAACATAGCAAATGTTTGCCTTTTTGCCATACGTAGAAAGGCAAAGGTCCATTGTAGACAACTGTAGTCTGTACAAGAGTCTCAAGACTAACAGTGCTTAGTTTAATATCGGTTTTCCGTCAGAGTCATAGTACACAGGAAACATTGGACGGGGAAAATAGGTTGATGCCCATTGAATTGGCTTTATCTCCTCTTTCTTCTTGTCCTCTTTCTTCGCTTCTCCGACGCTTACTATGGTGGCGTAGCCAAGCTTCTTCTGCAATGACTTGGCCAAGCAAACGGAATCAACTCCAACTCCAGTCACCTCCACTAGCTCTTTCTCTACTTCTATGGAAACGTTGCTCACACCTGCTTAATTAATTAGTGGTTCATCATTAACTAACTAATTAATTAGCAATAATTACTTTGAATGATATCATTTGGGTAATCACAAATTAATTATATATATTGGCTATTTGAAATTGATGCATGCTTACGGTATATACCTTTGGCCTTTGCAGCAGTCTTCAAGGCCTTAGTTTTGTATTTCTCAGACTTTATTTGCACCTTGTAGACTATCTTTTGCTGCATATATAAATAAACATCACATATATATACAGTTAAAGCCTTTTGTTTCACTTTCCCAAACAAGAAAATAACTCTAATAAAATGAATGGAAATACTACAAAAATATATGTTTTAGGAACAAACTAAAACTAATTGAAAGGCTAATTAAGCTTACCTTGGTGGTGGGGAGTGTACATGAAACGTCCTCTTTCCAAAAAGAAATCCAGTCTATGAATCTTTCTATGTATGAACACATCTTTTCTCTACTCCGAATTTTTTTTAATATTTCTTTCTGTGGAATTCTGCTTCAACACTTGGAGATTGCTTCTTTTTATAGAAGCTTAGTCTTCCAAGGATATTACCTCGTGTTGAACTGTCTGTCTTCATCCGTATACATATGGGGTCAGCTGCTTGGAAACCAAGATTTTCCACAGACTCAGTCAAGACACCTACCTAAATATTCAAATTTGATTTCCTGGAATACTTTGATTTTTCACAAAGGACAAAAAAAAGAAAAAGAGGAAGAGAATGCATATTCAAAATAGATTAACTAGGGTGCTTGTAAGTGATTGAGCGTCTCGCATTTCATGCATGCAATGGAAGCTTAATTGGCCACAGATTCATGTGTGACAGTTTCTACCCAACTACTATTTATAGAACCACAATCATTGAAAAAAAAATTTTAATTAATTCCAGGGCATCCGCGTAACGGTCAAAGCCAAACGTTTCCTTCAGAAGGACGATTAAGATTGCAATAAAATATTGAAAAGTCTTGTGGCATTGCGGCTGACGCATGTATACAGTGAGTCCTTCGAATCATCTATGTGAGTCAATCCAGCTAAAGACAATTGGGTACCCTCAGTGTCTATGCGGAACCAAGAATTGAGGTTAGAGGGGGTTATTTTGCAAAATATAAAAATAAAGGGAATGAGCGCATAAACACTTCAGATTCTCGTAAAGCTTCTTGAAAATCATTACAGCTTTCACACATCAAGTTATGATTGTTGTATATATAAAACCCTTCAATCCTTTTTCAATATTCAATTCAATTCATACACACAACATTAAATTATTTACACACTTAGAGAGAAAAAGAAAAGGAGAGTGAAATGGCTTGGAAGAGAGAGAGAGAGAGAGAGAGAGAGAGAGAGATTTGAGTAAGGGCGTAGGACCCCTTTGGGCCCTAAGTGGCTTCGCCACTGGGTACCATATAAGCAATAGCAACACCAAATGAGGAAACTGATAAAACAATGGTGGCTGCATAGTCTCTATTATTAGTAGAGACAAATAATTGTCTCAAAAATCAACTTAGGGAACAAATAAAAATCAGTAGCTAGTGTGAGTTTTTTTAGTAGTGTTCGTACAATCGACCAACTTTACATGTGATATTAATCTCAGCTAACGGAGGAAAATTGATTTTTTAACTATGGGAAATTTCTTCACATCCTCACACGATTAGGGGAAATTTCTTCATATCCTCACGTGAGACCAGGGGCGGAGGGAGCTAGGGCCTAGGGGGTCCTATGCCCAATGTTCTTGAGACCTTGGGTTTCTTAACACAATTACACATCTTTTATCTCACTTCGAAGTGCCTTTTATGTTGGTCTTCTCTCCCTTTTCCACTATTATTACTACCCATACTCTCTTTTTGTCTTATTTTAACTTTGATTGTAGTAATAAATTACCATTTGAATTTTGTTAGTGTATGTGTATATTTAACCAAGTACATGCAATATCTTTTGCTAGTATCAATGATGAGTAGATAGTTAATGTGATATGTAATAGAGTATAGTAATTAAGTTTATGAATTTGTATCATGTAAAAAATTAATTAAAATGCCACCGTAAAGAAAAATAAATTTCAATATATGAGGTGCCCCCTCTATAAAAAATTTCTAGCTCTGCCACTGCGTGTGATGATACCATGAAAGAAATTGAGATTTTGTCCAAAACTAATTGGCCATGGCTATGTGAGAGTAGCCTATAAGTCCTATATAAAAGCATGTAAAATTTCTTAACTTTCCAATATGAGATGTGCGTTAGTGGTTCTTCAACTCACACTTCATCTGCTCCTTATCTGCTATTTAAGCAAATGCATAACCACAGCTACTCCTTAATTTGGGGTTTAAAAAGCTTCGCAATCCCTCTGATCATTGCCGTGCATTGAGACAGGCTCATGTGGTCTAGTATTAGTTCTATTATTCTTTGCTAGCAAAGTTTATTTCCAATAACAGAACCTACCAGTCATATTTCTTCTTTGAAAACCAAACTCAAGAGAAAATGCATAAACTCCGCTAACTAAGTCTGAGTGGACTTGTACAATGGGTTGAGGACTTGGAATCTGGACAGAAGTGTGCATGTGGAAGCAATCAAACGACAAGTCTTTTGCAACAAAACACAATATATGTCCTAGACTTCACACGTGGAAGGCCTATCAGTGGACTGGTTGGCATTATTGTTTTTATTGTATCTGAATAGTAGTACTTGTCGACAAGTCGACGACGTATATGGTGTAGATTAGTTGATCGACTTTTCGTTGAAGATAATTTCCCTTCATAGTATGCATAGGGAGAATGATGTAACACAAATTGCAGGGAAATTTCAAAGACTATGATAGTTATATGTTGCGACAAGACAAGACATCATGTATCAACGAAACATTCCATCCCAAAGCTAACGCAAAGAAAAATTCTGACCAGTCATAGGTTTTTCTCAAATGTTGCTATCATTATCATATGTGGAAAGTCTTTGCTAAAACCCTTGCGCTACTCTTAAGTCCAAGTGGAAATTTCCTGCTCAATATTATTACAACTTTGGATAATATGAATATATCACCAAAAGTTGTATATCTTGTAGCTAAATTACAAGCCTCTTTCGTTCAAGTTGGGATCTATGGAAAGCAATACGTTCCATGTATAGCACGTCAAAAACAAAAATGTAACCTCAAATTTGCTTTTTGAATCTTTGATGCTAGTACGGATTCGAGGCCTGTATATTTAGGGATTGTGCATATATTAGTGTAATCATTATAACTGGTCTAAGAATTACTATTAATTAATCTAAATTCATAACTAATGGCAGTCCACATATAAGAAAAACCAAAACCAAAATACAGGCACAAGGCACAAACAAAATCTTAAACAAGAAAAAGAAATCAAAATTATAAACCTTAGTTTGGTTGTGATCGATCTAAGATATCGATATATCTATCTTCAAGCTAAATAGAGCAATTGCTGTGAAAAGGGTTTACATAATAGAGCATTGGACTGGTTCTGGATATTCATCATCCAGTTCATAGTACATTGGAGGACAATATTGAACACAGCCTGGGGGAGGCGTTGCCTTTTCCTCTTTCTTATCATCTTTATCTCCTTTCACTTCTTCAACTTTGACAATGGCGGCGAAGCCAAGCTTCTTCCTTAACAAACTGGACAAGCAAACAGAGTCAACCCCATCTCCAATCACCTCCATATGACCTTTGTCTGCTCCTTCGATCGACACTTTGCTCACACCTGCTTTATATGTAATCGTCCATTAATACTTATTAACTGACCTAACTACTAGTGATGAAATTCTTGAATTTCTTTTCTTCCTTTTTTTTGATAAATTGATCTATATGTAATCATCCTACCGTGTGCAGCTGCAGCAACCTTCAAGGCCTTGGTTCGGCATTTGTCACAGTGCATTGGCACACTCACTACTATCTTTTGCTGCACATAAAAATTTGTACAAAGTATATGCGAGCAATGATCATCTTATATATTCAATTTCACTTGCATAAAAAAGGAAAGTATGTGCCTATGTACAATAAAATCCAGAGAATTTAAGTATGAAGTGGACGCGTAAAGTTTTAGAGGCTTACCTTCATGTTGGAGAGAAGGGTATGAAATGAAGCTTTTAAGCTTTTAAGCTTTTTGGGATGGAAAACTCTATGAAATCTATGAACGTAGAACTATCGATCACTATGCTGTGTCAAGGCATATATATTATCTACTTCTTTTATAGGAGCCAGCTTCGTCGTACAATATTATTAGCTCCTGTTTGCTTGTAATTTTAAGTCTACATACACCTGCACGGTTTTGTAGACTTTTTAATTTTAAGTCCATTTTTACATACACATGCATAATGCCTTTGACTGTAAGTTTCGTTAACTCACTATTGTTCCTTTCAAGTTTGGTTTTTCTCTTTTTGTAGTTATGAAATTTGATATAGTTTTGATAAACAATAATGGAACAGGTAAACCTTAGACTTTGTTTTTACGTTATAAAATGGTCATCAATAATGGGTGGTTCAGCTTCTTCTGTATCTTTTAATCCTATGTTAGAACAGAAGAGATAGATAAAGTGAGGAGCCCATGGGAAAGCATTTGTTTAGAAAATCTAATTTGAACGTACATATTACATGCGTGACTATGTCACATGAGATATTTAATATTTGTATATTAAAATTAGGCAAGATGAGAAGTGAAGAATGATATTGATTCTTTCTTGACTACCAACCAACCTAATGTGACAAGATATATATATATTGTCCACATTTCCTTTGATAATGACCCAATCCTTTTTGTCTCATATTGATGGTTGATTTGCAATATACTGCCTGCCATACAATCATAGGCTTTTCTAAGATATACAAATTCGATCTGAAAGCGAGGTATCTAACAAAGTTGCCTCTCTAATAGGGGTTTTCTAACAAAATTACCTCTGGTATGGGGTACCAAGAGCTAAACTGAAAACTAAAATCCTCTCCACCATAGGTTTCTCTAGAATAGTTTTCAACGTACGTAATTAGAAAATTGTTCGAAACATATACCATAAAAATCGTCCTCATATGTCCGCTAAATCACTTATAACTTAATTATTTAAGTGGTTCATACACGTTTATGAAAGTAATTAATTCTCGTCATGGTGATTATATCTTTTACATAATTTACATTGGAACAGCAAAGTCAAAGTCTTTTAGTAATCTATAACAACTCGTAAAAAGCAAATTTCATAATGTGAAATCCTTTCTCTGGATGAGAAAGCATACCTAATATCCATGACTACAAGTTTGTTATTCCAACCTGCACCAGCTGTCATTGAATATACATCTCCTACATACAAATAATATAATATATAACATATATATCATAACAAAGTCAAAGTCTTTGTTGGCGTGACTTATGAGTTTCCTTGCACACCAAGGATTCCCATATTAGTTGTAATTGATTTTCTACCGTGAATAAAATTAGTAGTTATTACTTTCCTTGGCCTACAAAGCTTTCTTGTATTATAAATATGACCTTATATAACGAGAAGAATACACATAAAATTCCCACAAATAATATCCTCTCATATTTTAGCAGTTTTTACATATAAATATATATGTTAGATATGATGCCTACGTCACATGGATATTAAATATTTGCACATGAAAATGAGGAAATATATGTAGCAATCCATGGCATCACTTATAGCTAATTTAAGCCTGAAGTGAAAACTTTATACTCAAAATTAAAAGTTCGGGTAATGAAATTGGTGTCATCACTAAAAAAATATGTTCTTGCAGTGAAATTATACCATCTTTGGTTATTCATAAAGTTGGGTGGGTCAGAACTTTTTACAGAATGCAACACCTCCATTCAGCATCAGCAAAAATGTAAAGTCAAATTTGCTCGATTGAATCTCACACCATATATATATATGAAATGGCAAACTAGCTGAGGTGGATGTGCCCATTTTGTACATATATAGTCAACTTTTCAATCATGAATGAAAATACTGAAATTAAATTGATATAATCATGAAATTAAATAAAACTTTCTAGGACAATTACATGATAGAGCAAGTTGGCTCTGGATATTCACGAACCACTTCACGGTACATTGGAGGACACTGCGGAGCACAATACTGAACATAGCTTGCAGTTGGCTTTTCCTCTTTTTTATCTCCTTTCACTTGTTCAACTTTTACTATGGCCGCGAAGCCAAGCTTCTTCCTTAGCAACTCCGTCAGGCAAACCGAGTCCACACCATCTCCGATCACCTCCACATGATCCCTGTTTGCTCCTTCTATCGACACTTTGCTCACACCTGCTTATGTTATCAACTCCAATTAATATATCTGAAAAAGTTGAAAGAAATGTTGATGGATCATGGATATATATATATACCGTATGCAGATGCTGCAATCTTCAAGGCCTTGGTTCTGCATTTGTCAGTGCATTTGCACCTTCACTAATATCTTTTGCTGCAAAACAACAAACACATAAATATATGTATACATGAAAAAAGAAAATGAAGGCAACGTACTTGCATAAAATGTACCTTCATGTTGGAGGGTATATATGTATCAGTGTTTTCAAAGGCATGCCTTCGCGCGCGTCGGCGCGAGGCGGCAGGAAAACGCCCGAGGCGGTCGGCTGTTTCGCGAGTTGCACGTTTAGCGATGGGAAGGCGTAAGAAGGCGTTGCAAGGCGTGTTGAAGCGTAGCGAGGCGGAGCAAGGCGTGCAGATCTGGAAACCTCTGAACCGGAAGAATTTTGCTCGTCTGCAAACTGTCTGCGAGGAAGAACTTCGCGAGGAAGACGACCTGTTTTTTTTTTTTTTTTTTTTTTTTTTTTGTTAAATGATGATTGTAGCGTTTAAAAACAATTTAAAAACGAAACGACGTCACTTGGAGTGTGTTGGAAAAAAAAAACCGCAAGTTTCTACCTTTTTTTTACCCCCCCTTTCCTTTATTGTAATAAACTGAAGGCATTCTTCTTGCCTTTTCCAACTCCAGCCGGCTCTTTTCTACTTACCCCTTTTTCTTTTCTTTTTTTCTTTTTTTTTTCCTTTTCTAAATTAATATATATATTGTATAATACATATACAACCATAATTTCTACCCTTACCAGATAATCTCCATCAATTTCAAGAATTCTCTTCATCTTTTAACTGCAAGTAAGTCATTTTATTTTTCTCTCTAATTCTTCGCAACTGTAATTTCAAGTTCCGTATATTTTTTTTTCAATTTTTTTTTAAAATATACTAGTTGTATTATTCCTACATTTTTCTTATTAAAATAAATTAATGTTCAAAAGGCTTACGCCTCAACGCTTCAAGGCTTACGCCTCGCGTAGCACTACTGAAAACGCCTTGCCTATACGCCTCGCCTTTGAAAACATTGATATGTATGACCAAAACAAAATGGAAGAGCTCTGAATTTTTGGGATGGAAAACTCTATGAATCTATGAAAGTAGAACTCTTGCTGTGATCTGTACTTATATTTATACTATTGTAAGTTCATATACATATGGAAACAATAATTATTTTAGTTTTCTTTTTATAAAGTCAGATCAAGCACCGCGGTTTCACAGAATTAGTCATGCCAATGGACCAATGGTATTCTTTATTTTAAATTTTTTATTATTATAAAAGAATGTACATCTCATTCTCGTTTTTACTTTTTTTATTATTAATGAGATAAGGGGGACAAAACCCCAAAAAGAAACGACAACTAACTAATACAGATCAAGTGAGGTCTAACAACGCCTTAAGAAATCATCCGCCAAGAAAGAGTTAACCCGGATAGGAGCCTCATCCAAATAACAAACTCCCATATCCAAGTTCATGATCCAGTTAGCCATACAATCAGCTACAAAATTCCTTTCTCTGTAAACATGAGCAAGGTAACCGTTGCTGCCTCATAAGAACACAATAGCTATGAACCAACGGAGCAAGAGGGTGACAAGTCAACGTAGAATACTTAATTTTCTCTATATATTATTATAAATGTTTTACGACAAGCCAGAATACTTTGATTGCGTATCACTGTAGCTTTAATTTTCCCTGGTTGTGGCATTTGAATTCATACGGAACTAATATATTATTAAGAGATATTTATCAGTTTCTAATTACTAGTGGGTTTGACAACTTTTCATTAATTTATTTTTAATGGCATTCTTATCCGGTGATTAAGTATTCTCAACACCCAGATAATGAGTCAATATCGCCAGCAAGTAGCAAATGAATTTCAAGGATCAAAACCTTTTGACCATCACAAGGTTCGGCCACTCAAAACTATCCACCACTCTTATCCAGCTAATCCTCTTAATCTATACAACATAACGAATTTGAAAACGATATTTAATATACCCGAGTAACTCACTAAAATCACAACAAATAAATGTCAAAATACAAGTGATAATCTAAATTACAAGGGGGAGGGAGGTTTCTCACACACACTACCAATGTGTCATAGGGAAGTCGAACACGAGACCATTGGTCTGCAAGTCAATACCATTTTTCATTGGATTAGACCATGTTTGACATATTAAAATATAATTTGTTTGCTAGGAGAGAGGACGCATTACATATAAGGAGTCAAATATATTTTTCCATTCAATATTACGAGAAAAACAAAATTTCATGCTAATTACGCAGTCAACTCCTTATGTAAATTGTTTCATCAAATTCCCGAATTAGCTAAAATCAAATTATATAAAAGTTCTCTATTTTTGCCAACATGAATTGGAAATACCCATATATGTATAATTGTTGGAGGCCTAAAAGCTCTCTACTTTCATTTGAAATTAGATATATATACGCTGCAGAAATAATCTAGATTACTTTGTTGAAACTATAGAAAGTACATGCATTTCTTTCTCTTATCTTTAGAACTCATTTTGATTTGACTGCCTTAGGTTAAAGATTCATGTAGTTGGTAAAAATCTATCTTGTGAAGTCAAGGTCTTTTAGTAATAAAAAAGAAGGCGTAAAAGTAGATTTCACAAATGTGAAAACCCTTTTTTTAATTTTATTTGGATGAAAAAAGCATACCTAATATGCATGACTACAAGTTTATTATTACAACCCCTAGCTGTCGTTGATAGAAAAGTCCAAGTCCTTTGCTTTCACATAAATTAATAATATGGCGCTATCATAAATTTGAGTAAAATGTTTTGATTAATTGCAGTGGGGAAACATATAAAATAATATGTGGATATGTCACATGAGATATTCAAATATTTGCATATAAAATAATGCAAGATGATCATGATAGGTGTACAATGATTGATTCTTTCTTGACTGCGAAACCACCTCCATGGAATTATGTCCCTCAAAATATCGTCCCACTCAATCTTTGTTTTCCACACATTGTCCCATATGATTGATTCTTTCTTGGCTAGCCTCAGGCACCAAGTAGTTAAGGTGTCACTTCTCATACTTAAAATTTCTTATACCATCCACTTTTTATGGAGAACTCAACATTATAGTTTGTAATTTAGACCGTTTATTTTTTAAGTCTTAATAAAAAATTATTCGTGCAGAAGGCACAAACACGAACAAAATCTAAAAAAATAAAAAGAAATGGATCGACATTGTATATCTTTGTTTTGTGAACTTGTGATCTAGCTAGTCTTGGTTTTGATAATGATCTTCGAATTTAAATTAAAATGCCAAGTAAAAAACTACATGATTGGTCTTCAAATTTGAATTAATATGTCAAGGACAATTACATGATAGAGCAGTTGCTTGGTTCTGGATATTCACAAACCACTCCATAATACATTGAAGGACACTGCGGAGCACAATAGCTGGCTGATGATATGCATTGAACTGGTGGAGTTAGCTTTTCCTCTTTCTTATCAGCTTTAGCTTCCTTCACTTCTTCAACTTTGACAATGGTGGCGGAGCGAAGCTTCTTCCTTAACAATCTGGTCAAGCAAACAGAATCAACCCCATCTCCAATCACCTCAATGTGATCTTTGTCTGCTCCTTCGATGGACACTTTGCTCACACCTGCTTTATATATAATCATTCCATTAATACTAATCAACTTACCTAATTAGTGATGAAAGAGTTGAAAGAAATTTTGATTGATTTGTTCATATCGATGGATGCATACCGTGTGCAGCTGCTGCAATCTTCAAAGCCTTGGTTCTGCATTTGTCACAGTGCATTGGCACCTTCACCAATATCTTCTGCTGCATTGTAGAAACAAAAAACACATAGTTTCTCAGCTCTTTTAGGAAACACTAATTAATTTGTTCTTTTCACTTGCATTAAAAAAAACATGTAACTTGCAAAAAATGTGAAGTAGTACATATACATATGTGTTTAAGAACAAATCAAAATAAAATGGTTACCTTCATGTTGAAGATGACTCGTATGTGTGAGATGGAAGAGCTCTAATGTTTTGGTAAATTGGAAACTCTATGATTTTATGTGAATTAGTGTACTATGCTTTTGGCATAGCATCTTATATAGAAAAAAAAAAAACCTACGTCCTAGAGGCTAGAACATTATAATTAATTAGCTCCTGTTGACTTGTAAGTCCTTATACAGAGGTAGGTGACTATTTTATACAAGGTTTTTTATGTGTTTGAAAAGCCGCGGTTTTGCAGAATCAGTCATGCTAGTTGTATTTCAAAATGAGTTTTTCTATTTAAACCCCGCACATCTCATATTCTAAGTTCATTTCAACTTGTAGTTCAAATTTAAACAATTTCTATTAAAACCCTACTATCTTCCCAAACTACCCTTAAATAGCCACCCAGCAGGAAAAAAAGAAAAAGAAAAAAAAACTTATCAACTTCACACCCCACACCTCACACCCCACTATCTTGATCACCACTCTAAGTTCACATCAACCTCACATTACTTAAAGAGATAAAAACATTGTTGTCAACTATTCTTTATATATATATATATATATATATATTGGTCTTTATAAAAACATATTATGATCAAACGATATACTATTAGTCAATGATGTCATATGCAATGTGTTCTTCAGTTTTTATTATAGAGAAATGATGTATTGATAACAAAAAATAATAAAACTTGAGAGCTTAATTGACGACCCAAGAAATAATCTCACATTACATACCTCAATTGACGACCCACAAGCCACTATTTGCATATTGTATTTAGGGTTTGTGAAGAGAAGATGAGAATTTAGTAGGTTTTTTGGATTGAAAGAGAACTAGGGTTAAGTATTAAGTTGGATGACCTTTCTTTTTTCCTTTTTTTTTATTTTTGGTCTTTTTATGCAATAATAAAACTTAAAAGCTTAATGATTTAAGTCTTGGAATGAACAAAGAAAAGTACGGGGTTTAAATAGAAAAACTCTTCAAAACCCTCTCTATCTAAGCTTGGTACTTGCAAATAAAAAATTGTACATTCTCAGTCTTAAGACAACCAGAATACTTTGCTTGCGTATCACTTGATTTATTTATTCCTTTTTATGGTACGGAATTCATATTAATCGGAGGTTCTAATTACTAGTGGTGGACTTAACAAATTTTTTTTTGTTTCTACTAACGCTGGATGGTTTTGACGTACTCAAATGATAAATTAGTCTTAATACCCAGAATCGGACACTAAAGAGATATAACAAGTACCAGATGAATTTCAAGAATCCAATATATTTTGACCAACATTGGACCACTGAGAAGTTATCCACATGCCTTACACTCTGTAGCACGCCACCTATAATTAATCCACACTTGATCCATCCACCTAAACCTAAATGAAATTATTTAAGGCCGTTTGGTATCTCATTTATAAAAAAATAATTAAAAAATAATGATTTATTTTGAAAATATAAGTTTTTAAATACTGATTTTAAGATTTAAAAACTTGTTTGGTATTGAACTCCAAACTATTTTTAAAATCTTAAACAAATTAGAATTAAAATCAGAAACCCTAGATTTCCAAATTGAAAATAACATAAGTATGTATGAGTGGTTTGATTTTTATTGCTGTTATTTTTGCATCCCAGCTTGGCTCAAAGCCTTATATGAAAGCTTTGGCAAGTTGGCAGTCTTTGATGACTGGTTCATGGCAGGGTCCCACGTTTTATCAATGGATTCAACGGTTGTGATTCTTTCCTCAATTCCCCCTAATGAGGGAGGCTTTTCAAGTAATTTACAATTTAGTCCCGAAAATTAACGACTATAGACTATGACAAATGTATTCTGCGTAATCGAAAACAAATGTATTTTGTAGTATGTTGTTCTGTTAGTTTAGAAACTCTTAATCGTGTTATGAATGCAACTACGGTTTAGGTTGATTTATTTTAATTCGCTTAGTTATCTCTCCTGGTTGTTAGAGTTTGTATAGGAAAATACACTAGCATTTAGTCCCACATTGAAAGGGAGTTGTTTTTTTCCATGGTTTATAAGCACCAACACTTTAGAAATACTTAATAGATTATGAGCCTAGTGGAGGCAAAGTTGGGCCTCATCATGGTTTATGCTTGAATTATATATATATTCGTTGGTTTTTATTATTCTGTTATTTTAGTTTTATACTGATTGTTCTACAACACTGGTTTCTAAGTTCTAACATTAAGATTTGCCTAATTTGTTCATATAGGTTGTTTGCACATGTATTTAGTGCTGTACTCTCTTTGGAAATTTAAGTGCTAATTTGCTACAATGGGAACTCATTATGCCATGATGTCAACTTTCCAGTTGTGTTTTTTTTTTTTTTTTTTTTTTTTTTTTTTTTTTTTCGGTTTCTGGTCCGGTTAAGAACAAGACCTAGTGTTTCTGTCCTTGGGTCTAATATTCATGAAGGTCTTACTGATATTGCTTCTACTTCACTTGACGATTCCAGGTTGGTGAAATAAAGATACACCATTTATTCATTTATATGTATTTATTTCTAAAATCACAGATCGAGATGATGAAGATTTATGTGATTTAATCATTAATCTAAAATCGAGATTGAATGATATTTGAACAGACTGCTTCAGACAACCATACTGAATATGTTCATTTGGGTAAGGATCGGGGTTGGGTTGAGGCTGAGGCTGGGGTGGTCGTTGGGGAGAAGAAAATACAGAGGGAGAGGGAGAGGGAGAGGGAGAGCACATGAGAGAGAGAGAGAGAGAGAGGGGCTGGAGTGGTTATCGTTGGGTTTTTTTTTGTTTTTGTGGTTACTTTTTGTTGTTTTTTAAAATTATTTTATAGTTTTTAATTAATTTTAAAAATAAAGAAAATTTTGTATTAATTAATTTTTAATAATATATTTTTCTTTTTTAGTTGTCAAAAGTTTACTCCCACAAATGTAGCATGTGCTGCTCACATGACTAAATTTAACGGAAAATATAACGGTAGGACCAAATCGCTAATTAATAAAGAGTTGGTGGATCATTTGAACGAATAATTTAGTTTAGGGATCAAAATATAAATTGGGTATAAGTTTGAGAATTGATGTGCACTTGAACACTTTTGAGGTCAATAAGAAAGTAACTTATGCCATATACTTAAACAAACTTTAGAGGTCGATAAGAAAGTAACCCTAAACCCTAATGATAAAAGAACTCAAAATTAATAGTCAAAATCTAAATAGTTGGGCATTTCAATGATATGACTAAACAAAATTACAAAAACTTATAGCAAAAAGGCACCGTGAATGTATATTCCGGTAGTGCTAGGTTCAGATGGCCCATCGGCATGATATGTAAATTGAGAAACATCATTGAGCATTGTGAAGTATAAGGCATCTCTACTCGGCAGAAGTTGAAATTCAAAACCAATAACATGAATCTCTACATCCTTGGGCTCATGCACATAGTCTACGCACATAACAAGACATACTTTTTGCTCCCCTAAATGAACCAACTTAAATTGCATTCCACGCACACGTTGACGATTACGAGGTAAGATACCCTCCGGCATCTTCAAATCTTTCAGTAGTTTCAATGATTTACAGTCTTTTGACATCAGATACCCACATATAGACGTACCCCACCATTCATAATCACTAGGAGGACGAGCATGATGATAATGATGCTCTTCCAAATCAAAGTTGTCCTGGTCGTACTCATCGTGGTCGTCTTCATCAATGTCGTCGCCAGCTTCAATAGGGTCACTTTGTGGCGTACAGCTTAAAATCACCCAATCTCCATCCTTAGTTTCCATTGCTAAAGCTTGACCATTAAATTCCATGGGCAAGCCTTGGCAGTCCCATTCTTGACTAGGGTCATCCATGTTAAATTCGTGTTCTTTCCATTCTTGATTGGGATCATCCATGTTAAAACAGAATATGGGACAAAAGATAGATGAGACAAATATGTTAGAACCTACAACTGCATGAGCAGTAAAAGGATCATGTTTAAGGTAGTCGTGGGTGAAAGGTGGGGGTTCAGGCAGACTGGCCCATTTGCCCTCTTTTGGATCAAACATTTCAAAAGAGGGAGTAAAGTGATGGCCAGCAGAAAACTTTAAAGAGAAAGTTGAGAGAACATACAATTTGCAAAAGAGGGAGTAAAGTGATGGCCAGGAAAGGACAAGACTTCCCTTGTTGGAGGAAGGGAATGGTGTAGGTACTGTTATCGTCAAACTGATACACATCCTTCCTTGGATTTGATGGGAAATTTGTGTAGCCGTCGTACACAGCTTCAAGGCCGCCGGCCAAAATAATGTTGGATCGGAAAATACCGAAACCCATACCAAGAGGAAGCCCTTCGCCAGATTTATAACCCACTACTTGGAATTCGGGTTTTACGATCTCTGCATGCATCCCATCCATCAAACGCACGGAGATAATACGGTAAGAGACCTTATTACCCTGCTTGTTCTCAGCGAAACATAAATACAGGGTAGGGATAGGTACCCTTTGCATCTGAAAAGCAAAACCATCTTCCATATAGGAAAAACCCCTTCAATCGCAAAAACCCTATGCGGCAGTGGTTGGTTTTTCACTTGCCTCCTCTCTGAGACTCCAGACTCAAGGAGGACCCCTTACTGCTGATGCCACCGCGAAGCTTGCCAAAAGAGGTTGTGTGTGTGTTTGCAAATTGCAACTGGGTTAATTCACCCCGACCCTCCCTGCCCTCTCTTCTCTCTTCTCTCGCGTGATGGCCTCCTGTTAAAGAAAATGTATTGTAAATATATATTATTATTGCTTGCCCTTTTATTTACTTCCTAGTTTAGGATTCCTAATCCTATCCCAATTGTGGATTTTCTTCCTAGTTTAGAATTCCTAATCCTATCCCAATTGTGTATTTTCTTCCTATTTTAGGATTCCTAATCCTATCCCAATTGTGTAGTTTCTCCTTGTAATCCTAGGGTTAGGCGTGTGTATATTTGTACTCTCTCTATTATTCATCCATACAATTTTATTATATTAATCAGTTTTCTAATTACTAGTGGACTTAAACTTAATATTGGGTTTTTATGTAAACAATTGTCTTAATTCAACATTCCCGGGTCTGTATATTGGGTTAGGCGTGTGTATATTTGTACTCTCTCTATTATTCTATCATTCATGCGAGTATGGATCCCGGGTCTGCACATTTAGGGATTGTGCATTTTAGTGTAATCATTATAACTGGTCCAAGAATTACAATTAATTAATCTAAATCCATAACTAATGGCAGTACACATATAAAGAAGAAAAGAAAAAAAAAAAAAAAAAAAAAAAAAAAAAAAAAAAAAACAAGGCACAAACACAAATTTTAAACAAGAAAAAGAAATCAAAATTATAAACCCTATTTTGGTTGTGATCGATAAGCTAAATAGAATTGCTGTGAAAAGTGTTTACATGATAGAGCATTGGACTGGTTCTGGATATTCATGAACCAGTCATAGTACATTGGAGGACAATATTGAACACAGCCTGAGGAGGGGTTGGCTTTTTCACTTTCTTATCTGCTTTAGCTTCTTTCACTTCTTCAACTTTGACAATGGCCTTGGTTCGGCATTTGTCACAGTGCATTGGCACTCACTACTATCTTTTGCTGCACATAAAATTTGTACAAAATTATGTGTGAGCAATGATCATCTTATATATTCAATGTCACTTGCATAAAAAGGGAAAGTATGTGCCTATGTGCAATAAAATGCAGAGAATTTAAGTATGAAATGGAAGCATTAAATTTTATAGGCTTTTAAGTTTTTTGGGATGGAAAATTCTATATGAAAGTAGAACTATCGATCACTATGTTATGTACTTATTTTATAGGAGCCAGCTTCGTCCTACAATATTATTAGCTCTTGTTGTCTTGTAATTTTAAGTCCACATACACCTGCACGGTTTGGTAGACTTTGTAATGACAATGGTACATATTTATTTATTATCATTATTGTAAACCAATTACCGACAGTCATGTTTTTTGTTTTTTGTTTTTGTTTATGTTTTTTTTTCCGGGTTGTATGGCATGGATTAGGTCAGTTAGTTAGGGTAGCAAACTCTTCTCCTTGCACCCAAATTCGATCTCCATTTTCAAGTTACAATAGTTTAGACTATCGATTATATAAACACAATTACCAAATTAATGTATATTTATTGTTGGTGAGTCCTTATCTAGTTAGGATTTTGGTTTCTTACTAAATTAAGATTTTGATTACTTACCTATTTATTTAGTTATATTGTAGTTAATATTTATTTCCTATTGTAATTTAAAAGTATAACTTATTGTATTTAGGGTTACCGCATCTTTCTACTTATTTATAAATACCTTCATATCTGAGATATAGTACTCATCAATTTCTAACTAGTGAACCTCCGATACAACTAAATAGTGGAAGAAATTCGTTTATTTATGGAGGAGCTGAAGGATCGCCCTGGTCCGTCGTATAAGTCGAAGAAAGTCCTTTATTTATGTTTCGGCGAGTATTTTCCGGGCACTTGGGTTTATTACTCTATTCACGCCTTTAATTTGGAGAAAAATTGCCATATACTTCCGTTGGCAGAATCCATTGAAGTGGCTAAAACAATGAGGTATGTTCCCGTAATTATGGGTTCTGGTGTCTACGGCTCCATGATCGTTTTGGCAGGCGGCATTAGACCGGGATTCGATGGATTAGCCAATTTCATACCACGTCCGTGTAGCGAAGTTTATGCGTTTGACACTGCGATTATGAATTCACATCTACCCGTTATGATACAGCGCCATGGTCTCCTTCAACACGGGAAGACTAAACCCCTCGTGGTAGAGCACAAGGACAATTTATATGTTCTCTCCCTGTTAACAGCTGAGGGGTTCGAGATGTTCGACCCAAAATATGACACATGGGTGACTTTGCCCGAGCCCCCATTTTTCCACAGACGCTACCTTGGACGCCACACCAATTGTGTTGTTGTAGGCAGTAATATCTTTGTGTCATGTTTGTCTAGTATCTACCGCTTTGACATGGCTGACACCAGCCAAATATGGAAAGAGCACTCTTTTACCAACTGCACTGCATTACCATACAGATGGAATGAGAAAAGTTTAGCTCTGGAAATGAGTGACGGGGATTGGTTGATTTTCACATGTTTCCCAGAATTGAGTTATGACCCTGATGAAATCAAAGACAACCCTTGCTGCGACGATTACGACTGCAACAACTCTATTGTGGATGATTATCCTCCTTATCGTCATCAGCTTGATCTTCATTTTGAATGGCATGGCACATCTTTGCCTGCCTATATCATGTCAAAGGACTTTACATCACTCACACCTATTCAACCTCTGCGCTTGCCTGATGATCTGTTACCTACTCAACCAGGCTGTGAAAGGTTGCGTGATCTGTATACGGCTAAACCCCGTGAAATAGATTATAGGATCGTCCATCTAGGAGGTCAAGAGATATGTCTTGTATTGTCTGTCGACACTGGATTTGAGCGCAATGGTGGAGTTTTGAGGAAGATGCCGATTTTTGTGACAAGTTTCGAATTTCAACTTTCAGACAGTAAAGACTTGTTAACCATCAAAAAGGGGTCTTCTAGTGTTCAATGTTTTGAACTTGGTGCCAGCGTTTCAAATGCAACTAAATTATCCATGTGTGGTGCCTTTTGGCTGTAAGTTTCGCTAACTCACTATTTGTTTCTTTCTGGTTTGGTTTTTCTCTTTTGGAATTTGATATATTTTTGCTAAACAATGAAACAGGTAAACGTCAGCACTCCTCTCAAATGGTGCAGTCTCAAATGGCGTATGAAAGTTTTGATAATGACTCTGTTTGAGGAATGTGAAACTTTATTTGCTTTTTATGGAGAATGTAATATTCTAAGAATACTCTCATCTTTTACCTTTTTTTTCATTAAATTGACTTTGGCGTATCACTTTCGTTCTTATGACTGAGTGCTTGAATGGTCACCTTGAACTTAAACCTATATTATATAGAAACTCTTGCAGTTTGAGTCCTGAGGAAATACCAGTTATTTTATGCATGTATTTGACTCTTAATAGTCTCGCTCAATATCGAGCTCCATAAGATTTTTTCAGGCAGCTATGATTAATTTGGGAAAATTCTGACTTTGAAAACGCAATTTAATTTTCTTTATACTTTGGAATAAGTTTAGAGGAGGGTTTATTGAAGCACTGTATGAATTTGTAGGCCATGAAGCATCTGCGTAGCATATGATTGCATATTAGGCCCTGGATGTTTCAGTTGAGGTTGTAACTGTGAAAATAACTATGTTTCAGTTGTCTCAGATAAGGCAGGGATAGTTTGTGATGTATTGTATTTTTATTGGTATAAAGCTTAATTAGAATAGATGTTTCTTTGAGGGGTTGTGATTTTATGCTGCCTTTTTTTATTTATTAATATTTGATTATTGTCTAATATGTGCACTTGATGTTTGTTAATTAGAATGTCACTAGTAAAAGCCTTAGATTAGTTTGGTGAAAAGGAGATGGGATATGTTGCATAGGTCACCGGTATCCGTTGGAAGGTATATCTTGATCATTTGATTAGTTCACTGTGGCGTGATGCAAACACATTTACCAGGATGGAACCACTTCTTTTGCAGGTATTTTACACTGCACATATTTATTGCATGCACTTTCAAGTTTCAACTGTTTAGGTGTCATGGTGAGTGATATGAAAATTACAACAATGCGACATTCTTTTATGTAAGCATCTAGAATCTTTTGCTCCTGTCACATTGTGTTGGAAGCGTATAATGGAGAGAGAGAGACAGAGAAATGACAGGCGGCTGCATCGTCGTGGATGGAGATATCAGATTGGAATCAGACATAACATTAATCTAGTCTTCATCTATCCTGTCCCAATTAGGAGAGGAGAAATGAAGACTAGATTAATGTTATGTCTGGTGGAGGAGAGGGTAAAACGGGAAAAATAAATTTTGTGTATTTCATTGTTATTAGAACTCTTAATGGACACGTGGATGCCTGTTGTGGGAGAGTCTGAATTTAGACTCACTTTGGGCGAGTTTGAATAGCATTTTCTCACTTGGTAGTTGGAATTTATATCGCTATTTTCTGTTCACAAATACTAAACCGTCCCCCACAATGCATTTCTATTAGGAAAATGCTAGGGACACCAACTTTAGATACCAACTTGTGTACCATCTCTTTAATAGAGCATGAGACCCATTGTATTGGTGAGCTCCACCTCTATTAGAGAGATGGTACACAAGTTGAAATCTAAAGTTGGTCTCCCTAGCATGACCCTTTCTATTATCTGTGCTATGTCCACAAACTCAAAATAAGAAGTCAACTTCAGAGTTGAGACTTTTATAACGATGCTTCATCTTAGACTCTGCGCAAATTTTATACAGAGCTCACAGGCCACAAGTAAGGAGTAAAATGCACTCATCAAACCTAGATAATTATTTATGCATTTCGTAGCTCCTCTATACCAACTGTACCAAATTCATGAACTTCAATTCCTTGTGGTCCCACACTCCCCTTGTGAAGTATTAAACCTTTCCTTGAGGCTTATCATCGCTTCAGGATCGCCTGTGAAGTTGCTGGAGCACTATCATATATGCACTCTGCAGCTTCAATCCCCCATCTTCAAGTCTTCTAACATTCTTCTAGACCAAAACTTCAGTGGAAAAATAGGGAAGGATGGATTATTAAATTATCTACATAAAGATGATTGACATACAACATATATTCCTATGAAACAAACTAAAAAAAGTGAACAGGTTCCAACTTTCTAAAATCTCACCGCAGAATTTCTGTTGTAATGTTTTGATGAACGCTTATCAATCAAATGAACTTGCAAGTCTGGTGGTTTGCTTAAAGAAGTATCATCGGGAGCAACAAAAAGTGAATTACGGCACTCATGTCCTTGTACAGGATCTGTTCTTGATTGCCGCTTTTGCTTATACGTGAGCAACACTTTGCTTCCCGACATTTAAGCTTTCAAAAAGAAATCTTGCTGCAATTCTAAGCACTTGGACCACATTTTTTACATGAAATTTGTATTTACTCCACTATGTTCAGTCTCATTTCAACACAGAAAAACCTGCATATGTTAAGGAAGAATATCCAATTAACTAAACAGCAAGTCATGACTCATATAGTTAATACAGTTATGGGTAGCAACACTCTGAAATAGTGACTGAAAAGTACTTGTGTCAAAGTGCACAGAACATGTGTCAAAGTGTTAAAAAGCCCTTGCTCGAGTATCAAGCTAAAATAATTTTGATAGATATGATTTGTCTGATGGTCTGATCTTATCCCTTCTGAGGTTATAGGAATTTTTCATAGGAAGAACCTACAAACCGCATCAGGGGATTCTCAAAAAAACTTTAAAACATATCTCATTATTAACTTAACCACCATAAATGTCATTTACCCTTAAAAACCCCACCTAAACTTCCCCTTAAATCAAAATTCAGCTTCTCTTGAAGTACAGTGCATAAAACAGTCAAGTTACATGATGGACAAAAGATTAATCCATGCGCAGTAAAATCTTGGATATCCAAAGAGGATCAAATCTATCAAAAGCTTCCTGTCATCAACCCATACATCAAAGGATTTCTACACAGATTCTGTGATTGTTATTATAGATCATCTTGCAAATATAGCAAGAGAAAATCAATAGCCCAAGTTTCAGTTGTCCTATTGGAGTGGCTATTAATGTCGTCTATGAGAACTCATGCAGTTTTAGAGTTGGTAAGGAGGGCATCTGTTAAAACTGATTTGGAGACTCTAAATCTCTCTGACTGATATCATAAATTCTCAATTCTTTTAGTAGCTCGTTTTATGGGGCAAAGTGTTAGACACACATAAGAGCAACACAACCATGTTGCGGGAATGAAAATATTAATATGGATGGTAGGGGTGACTTCAAAAGGACAATTAAAAATCAATACAATAGAAAAACACTGGGAGTGAACCCTGTTAGTGATAAGTTAACAGAAGTTAATGTGATAGGAACATGTACAACATAGACCGCCAAATGTACCTATAACCGAAGGAAGACTAGTTAAAGATAAATAAGGGCATGTACGATGATGAGGCTTAGCTATCAACATCCCTAAGGAAAGGACAATCACTCATTATGTGAGACACCTGGCGAGGCTTGAGGCATGCATGGTTCTCCCATTACGATTGGCCTTTTTATTTTCTGCCTGCGATGTAGGCAAAATCAAATAGATCTCTAGATAATGATCCACTGTCAATCACTCTTGGTCTTCACCTCTTAAGTTCCCAGATTTTCTTCTCACTTGGTAGTTGGAATTTAGATCGCTATTTTCTGTTCACAAATACTATGACCGTCCCCCACAGTGCATTTCTATTATCTGTGCTATGTCCACAAACTCAAAATAAGAAGTCAACTTCAGAGTTGAGACTTTTATAACGATACTTCATCTTAGACTCCGCGCAAATTTAATACAGAGATCACATGCCACAAGTAAGGAGTAAAATGCACTCATCAAACCTAGATAATTATTTATGCATTTCGTAGCTCCGCTATACCAACCGTACCAACTTCATGAACTTCAATTCCTTGTGGTCCCACACTCCCCTTGTGAAGTATTTCCGATGAAACCTTTCCTTGAGGCTTATCATTATCATATGTACTCATAAAAACTGCCTGGTGTCCCATCCAGCCTAAAATACTGTTGCACTAGATTAGCTAGACTCTGTATGACCTTATAAAGCCTTTCAAGAACATCAGGTGTTTCACCATAACACGAAAACCTAAAGTCATTATGCTACTTCCCTTCCCTACATGAAAAATCACGTAATGCTCTCCTAAATTGCAATCTCAAAATCCAACATTAGGCTCTCAATATAATCTTAACAAAATTCAAGAGCACATTTTCTACTGATTTACGACAATTGACAGGTGCCCTCATACAACAATTGTCAAGAGCATGTTTAAACAAATTAAAACCCCTACATTATCTAGCGTTTCAATCAAAATTCAAAATTGAAAAATTGAAAAAGCTATGGACTATTGAATACTAAAATTTACAATGAATGAACAGAGGCAACAGACCTTGACGACAAGGGGAGAGAGAGAAAGCGTTTGGATGCTGGAGAGCGAGAACTGAAAAGTCGGCCTAGGCGGCTAGGCGGGGGCTAGGCGGTGGCTAGGCGGTGGCTAGGCGGGCGCCTAGGCTGGTTGGGTCTTTTTTCGGTGCCGAACCCGGAGGACGAAGCGGTGACTGGGAGAGAAAGTTCCGTCCTCTGCGAGTGCAAGCTTTGTGTTCGTTCGAATATATTTAAAGAGTATAGCCGATCGGCTGTACTTTCAAAATATTCGAATGTAAAAGTATAGCCGTACGGCATCATTTTTGCTTTATCCAGGGCACGTGCAGCATCTGCTATGAGAGCTCTTGCCTTTAAACTCAAGGAAGGATGCAAAATGCAGAGTTCTGAACAAAAGAAGTCCCGTGAATTTCCAGATGCAGGTGCATTGAAGAGTATGGTTAACAACGTGGAAGAGGTGTGCAGAAAAATAGGGGCTTCGATGAGAAGCCTCAGAATCAAAATCACGTTTTGTACAAGAACTCATTGTTTAATGATGTTGAGAAAGGTATTCTATGTTTACTTGAATTTTTTTTTTAACAAATTGATTGTGTAACATACAAACATAGCTTTAAATTACATGATTACATGTATAAATGCACTTACCGCTGGCAATTGTAGCTTCTTGTTTTCGTGTTTGTTTAGCTGTGGAGTTTTATTTTAGGCTTTGTTCATACACAAAACTGAAGCAATTTTCTTAAAAACTTTATAGCATCTCCAGAGCTGGAAGATCAGATTGATCATCTTTCGGGGGATGTAGGCTTTGAACTTATGGAAGAACCTGAGGAGGTTTTTGAAGAGTTAAATACTCATCAAGTGCAAAATATGTTATGATAGGATGTATTGCATGATGCTGAGAAAGTGGCAATAAAATTACTTGCAGCCAGGTTAGAACTTCCATAACTTCAGAGAACTGCTTGGTGTAGTGCTGCTAGAATGTCTAAGGCAGGAATTCTTCTGAGGTACATGATTTTGCCAAGATACCTTTGGATAGCAGTTTGAGGGATTGGGCATATGTGTTCCTGGAGTTAAGATGCTATAGAAGTTTCAAAATAAGGATGTTTGCCTGTGAATGAAGAAGACAAAAAATTGTTTAAGAAGCTCTTTCTCTTTGTAGGTCTTTCACAGCAGTTGAACTGAGAAAGAAATTACATGGAAATAACGTTAAACTCTAGATACCGTTGAGGCAGTGATAAATGACTTCATTAGCAGGTACATCTAGTCCTGAGAATGTCTTGTGTTGTGAGTGCTCATCAGCCAATTATCTGGAAATAACTATGTTTGAAAACTCCACATGCTTGAGTAATTATTCCACAATAAGCTTAGAAACTGGTTCTACATGCAATGCAAGTTGTAAGACGGATTCAGTTACTACTCAAAAGATGTACGAGAAAAATGGATTACAGAGATCTGGAAGTATTATTTACAATTCTATAAAAAAAATTGTGGTCCTAAACTTAAAAGTCTGGTAGACCGTAGTGAATTAGTTTTGCTGGCTAACAATCATGTCAATGGTTATTGTCAATTTTCATATCTCATTAGCAAGAGGCTGAAACTTTTCAATTGTAACACCGCAGGGGATTTCTCAGCACCCGGATATACCTTCCCATTCTTTTCTTGTTCTAGATGGTCTTCCTTAAGTTGGGGACCATCCTATTTTTCAGTATAATAGAAATTTGGTAGATTGAGATGACTTTGTTAGATTGAAATGTTGAAGGACTGAGATTGTCATGTTAATCCTTGTTTTTCCACGGTGCAGCCTGATTTAAGAAAGAGTAGCTGTGTTGATATTACACTAGGTAGTCAGCTCTTGTTGGAGTCTTTATTTGTTTTAAAAATCTGATCTAGAGCAATAAAGAAGAATGAAACAAGTCAAGATAATGAAATGTCTGTTTTTATGTAATGAAGCATTGTTGTTGGATCAGGCACTTTTCAGCAAGGGAGTGAGTAAACTTGATGCTGAGAATGCAATTAAATTGGTTTTTGAGGAGGGAGAATCAGATAATGATCAGAAGTTAGTTCATGGCCTGTCAAAGCTCTCAATGGATAATTTACTTGTTCAGCAGTGGCTTCGAGGTCAAGAAGTGCCTAAAGAGACAAGGAAATCAAGGATTTTCCGTTGGCTTCAGTATCGTGGATTCAGCTGGGATGTTATTGGCTTTCTATTAAAGAAGTTAGAATCTCAGTACCCACCCTAGTCCATAACCATCAACTGAAATGTTGTGTAGTATGGACAGGGTTTGGGTCTATAATGTCACTTGCTGCTGTGGCTAGAAAATTACTCACTTTAGCCCTTACCAGTACTGGACATAATGTTGCGTTAACCTACCATGCCACCACCTAGTTTAGGTGGGGCGAAGTCTACTTTAATGACAACATAGCTAGAAGACGAGCAAGAAGTGGCACCATTTGGCTGTTTTTGATAGGAAACACCATTTATGGCTGAATATTGAAACTATTTTGTATTCATGTATTGTTTATATTTACCTCAATGAAATTTTGTTTGTGTTGCTGTATTTGAAAATAATTACCTCTAATCACCTGCGGATAGTAAGATCACAAGCTCCACTTTTCATGTGTTTGTTTGTATTGTCCATACTCACTGTAAGAACCGTTAGATTTGCTTCGATATTTTAGGGTGTTTTTGGACCTCTTAAGAAAGTACTTAAACTTAGATATCTGCAATATGCTCATAAAGTGAATGCAAATCCATGTGCAGCTGTAATGTTGTGGAACAGTTTACTTGGTTTTTGTATTACATATCTGTACAGGTATAAATAATGGTCCTGCTTTTCTACATGTGCTTTCTGATAATGAGAGATGAAAGTCTTCTAATCCAATATTAGTATTTCTTTGCCGGAAAGTCTTGCTCAGATAAGCACAGGGACATGTGAGCATTGCTGGAAAGAACAGATGTCATGGAATGGAATCTCATTGTTTAACCCTTCTACTACATACCCTGCATTTACTCTCACTCCTCCGGAAGACAGTTAAGCCATCGCATATTCCCCCAGAGACCATTCTTTCTTAGTGGGGAGGCATTGATTATTTCAATCTACAAGAACTACATATAATTAAAATCTAAATTTACACTAAAATTCTTCCTCTATATTCTTCCTTGTTCTATGGGATTTTGATTCTCCCAAGATAATATGCACAGTGGATGAAAGTTCATAACTTCTCGTTGCATTGAATCTTCAGAGAAAGCTATGGAGCAATTAGAAGAGCCTTGTGAAACTGCTTTCCTAGCAGGAGGGGATGCCAAAATTGATTGCAACCCTCCTCCCTTTAACAATTCTGGTTCTCCCCTTGCAGTCTCAACATGTCGAATTTCTGTAAGCATTGCTACGACATCTTTCATCATTGGGCGATCATCAGCACGAGTACTGACACAAAGGAATACCACAGCTAGTGTTTGCAGCATTTCGTGCATTGTAGGATTAGCTCTTCCCCTAAGCTTCTGATCAAGGATGTCGACCAGATCTCGTTTCCTTGCCAAGTGCTCACGAATCCATTGAACTAAATGTGCACCTCCTGGCAAAGTTGGGTCTAATGGATGCCTCCCTGTTAATACCTCTAAACCACACCAAAAATGTAGACATCACTTTTCTCAGTGATACGCTGCATTGATGCATGCTCTGTAGTCACACAAAAAAGAAAACATGAAACAAAGTTAGGAACTAACTAAATTTAGTGATTTTAGAAGAAAAATATGGTAAGAAAATTAGGAACTAAAATTATGAAAAGAAAGATTACATGGAGCCATGTATCCATAAGAACCAGTTAATTGAGGCCTTTGGCTTGTTTTAGAAAAGTCATCATCACCAATGCTATTCACAATCCCAGCTAATCCAAAGTCAGCAAGATAAGGCTCATAGCCAGGACCCAACAACATGTTCATGGCTTTGACATCACCATGCAAAATAGCAGGCACACAGTCGTGGTGCAAGTAGGCAAGCACCTGAGCCACGCCTAAGACAACATCATATCTAGCCTCCCAGTCTGCTCCTCCCTTACCAGCACCATGTAGCACTGAGCTCAAGCTTCCACTGGGAAGGTAGAACAGAAGTTTCAGGCGTCGGTTCAAACCCCAACCCAAGAGCATGATTGTAATAACCTCAAAATTAGGGATTTTGTTGTTATTAATGTTTCGAAAAATCATATGGGATGGATAATAATATTGGGCAATTTTTGAAGTTGGTTTGGTGTGGAAATAATGGAGTTAAGTGAGTTTAATCTTAAATTGGGACTAAAATGCCCTATGTTTAAAGTTTATGATTTTTCAAAGGATGTTCAAGAAATTGAAATGAGAAACATATAATTTTTGGATCGAAAAATAGAGCTCGATCTCACGAACGCATGGGCACGAACAGTTTGTGAATTGGAGTTGTAACGAAGGAGAAATTTGAGGTTGAAAATGTTGGATCTATTTGAAGGGTAAAATATGAACAGTAGCCAAAAATAGGAATTCTATAAATAAGGGATTACTGTGAAAATTTCAGAATTTCGAAAAAAAATTGAAAACTGCAAGACAGCCTAGGCCCGGATCTCCCACAAGATATATATTGTCCACATTTCCTTTGATAATGACCCAATTATTCCCTTTGCTCTCATATTGATGGTTGATTTGCAATATACTACCTGCCACACGACTAAACAAAATTACAGAAACTTATAGCAAAAGGCACCATGAATCTATACTCCAATGGTGCTAGGTTCGGATGGCCCATCCGAATGATATGTAAACTAAGAAACATGATTGAGCATTGTGAAGTGTAAGGCATTTCCACTCGGTAGAAGTTGAAAATTTTCAGTTCCATAAACAAACATTGCTTTTATGGATCTGAAACATTCTAGGTAGGATAAAGTACTAAGCTGAGAATTTAACAGGGTTACAAAATATGAGAGAAACCGACGAACAGCAGGACCAACAACCAACTCGTACACAGAGAATCAATTTCATCTTCATGCTATACTGCTGCACCTGAAAACAATTCAAAAGAAACTCAACCAATAGTCCCGGAAGAGACCCAAAAAAAAGGGATTTGTAAACAGTATCAAATGTTCCAAGACTAGTAAAGTAAATTAACTAAGCAGTACATAGCAACATTTGCCCTACATGATATCAAAATTGTTAACCCAAACCCTTTTTTTTCTTCTCTTATTTGGATAAAATATGATCCTCATTTTATTCAATGCCACAGGTCCTCAAACATGTGTTCTTCGGTGGTTGATTTGATTCTCATTTAAAAGCATTGCCACAACATAACAACTACTCAAGAACATGAAGTTTGCCACAATTGTTGGTAGAAAGATAGGGAGTGATATCCAGGCTCATACTAAAAACAGCCCCTAATTATTTATGTCCACAAAAACATTAACATGAAAAATGAAACGAATATCTAGAAGCATGCTATGGTCTTATATCGTTAATTTTAGATTCACCAAATAATAGGTTTTTAGTTATATTATGATCGGCTTTGATAGCACATGTAATATTTAATAAGCATATACAACTAAAAGACACTAACCTTAGTCTCTAGCATCATCCTCACCAACATCCTCTTACTCAATCAAATCTAAACATGTGATGATAGAAGAACTCAAAATTAATGGTCATAATCTAAATAGTTGGGCATTTCAATGATACGAGTAAACAAAATTAAATAAACTTACAGGAAAAAAGCACCGTGAATGTATATTCCGGTGGTGCTAGGTTCGAATGACTCATCGCCATAATATCTAAGGCATCTCTCCTCGGTAGAAATTCAAATCCAAAAACTCATAATGTCGCCATGCCATCTTTTTGTCTTGCTTTGTTTCCTTTGTCAAGTTAACAAATAACATCTTAGCATAGTAAACATGTTGGCTGGACCGTTCCCCAAATTGAATTGAATTCTTTAATCCACCATAATTTTCACCAATTCCCAAGACAACCAATACCTACATTATTTTCAACCCAGTTTTGCCAATCACACTAAACTTATCCCAAATCCAATCATGAAATTGGAATTCAAGACATTTGTTCCCCTGATCAAGCCAATCATATTTATGTTGAGGGAAAGCCTCCATTGATTCTACCAATACATGTTGGTGTTAGAACTAATTTTCACTTTTATCCTCCACTGGCTCTTTGTCAAACTTTGGACCATAATAAAGATAATTATCTATTTGGAAGGATGCAAATTTTCCACATGCATTATGAGTACCGATGATACCTTTTTTCTAAGTAAGCACCATTGTACGTCACATTGCACAACCTTCTCACTCTGCCGATGAATAAACTAAATTGTGGAAAATAAGTTCAAGGCCCTCTTCCATGGAATCCATGTCTTCACCATCATAAGAATATTGATCATATATATAGGAGGTGAAGTCCAATCACAACCAACTTCATTATTAGGGTTAATCGTTTTATTAGTCCCTGAATTTAGACCTGAATAGCATTTGAGTACCTCAATTTCTAAAATGGTTCTCGTAGTCCTTTAACTTTAGTTTCGTTAGGACAAATGGTCTTGCCGTCAATTTTGTTAACTTTTCTTATAAGTGCAGGGGCAAAAATGGTATTTTTGTATCAAAATTGATTAAAATATGAATAAAAAAATTTTAAACTAAAAAATTACTCCCCCCAAAACTTTATTTATTATTTGTTGGTTTTTTATGTGATTTTCTTTTATTGTTATTTTAAAGATATGATTTTTTATTCATTTTTTTTATTTTAATATAAAAATATCATTTTGCCCCTGCATTTAATAGAAAAAGTTGACAAAATTAACGGCAATACCATTTGTCCAAACGAAACTAAAGTTAAAGGACCACGGGAACCATTTTGAAAATTGAGGTATTCAAGTACAAATCGAGTCAAAATTTAAGGACTAATAAAACGATTAACCCTCATTATTATTATCAAGCTCACTTTTTAATATAAAAGGCGACAAATATTGGTTTACCTCGAAATCTGGATTTTCTTTGTTCTCAATTGGCTTTTCCACCTTAAAATTTGATTCTTCGGTGTACTTGAACACATAAGCGTCTGTACAAGCCCTGGCCACTTCAAGCCAATTATGAAATATTGGTGTCCCAGCGTTCCATAATTGACACTTGCAAGTTGCAACTCTGCAACATACACAGTTTCAAATTGTTCTCATGATGTGAATACCTGCGTTTTGATGCACGATGCTTCATAAGAGCTTCATGGTGTTCAATTTGCAAGGCAAGTTCCTCAATTTGTCTACGAAGTGCTTGAAGTTCTTCATCTCTCTCACCTTTTAAATTCTCAATCAAACGGTAATTAGCTTTTCCCCTATCTCTTCTTGCAGCCATTGGCACGATAGATCGAAAGCCACCCAAGAGCTTTAGTAAAGCTATGATACCAAATGATGCGGGGAAACATGTGACTAGAGATTATACAAGAAACATCAAGGAGCACAACTAAAAACAAAGAGCCCAGCTCTATATTGTCATTATCAATATCAACTTAATCAAAGTTTGCCTCATTCTTCCATAAACCCACCTAATTATACTCCCACTACATGAATCTGACCCAAGGCTTCCAATTGCACGAACCATATGTGTAAATGAATCATAAACCTTCTTGAAATATTAAAAGTCTTTTGAACTTGTCCCATTATGCACTGCACCAAGCATGCATGAAAGAGTCACAATACCAGTCATGGATTCTAATTCAGGAGAACACAAAAACTGAGAAAATAAAATTCTCTTGCGAAACAGATGAGCAAGTTGTCAAATTATCTATCGGTCCATTAATTAAGTGGAATCATGTTTAAATATATGTTCTTAATTTAGAATCGGACAACATAACATGTTGAGAAATCAGTACTTTCTACAAATTAATGGGCTACTCGATGCCAGCAGCCCAGAAATTAATGGGCTACACGTGTTGTTCTAGACCACCTCATGCTTGGACTATTTTGGGTTACTCAATTCGACCAACAAAACCTGTATTATTTTGTGACCCATTGCGTAAATTGCCAATTTGGGTTTCAAACAATTTTAGGTTAACCAACCGTTTTTGTTTTACCATCGTTGTATTTGTCAATTTCGTTTTGAACAATTTAATCTAGAACTTGGTCCCAACGTGAATGGCGTCCACCCAACCTAAAGCATAATATTGGTTGGCATGGCAGGCTGCTGGGCAAGCTTTAGGGGGATATATGGATCAAGGATATTTGGGGATCTTCTGCAGCACTTGTTTTGAGTACTTGAGGGTACATTATTTTTAGCATGCAAATTATGCATCCCACCCACCACATAATAATATTTTTAATGTTTGAAAAAGAAGGAAAAAAACAAATAAACCCCAACTGTTCAATGTTCTGATATGATTTATAGTTTATTGATTACACATGAACAGATTACTTTTCAAACTTTTGTCTAATATTTCTGCACTATCTTTATGGTGCGGCCTAACTTTCCGCCAGACACTTCCTTAGGGGCTAAACATCAAACACATACAAAGTTTTTATAAGATAAAACCAGCAGCATTGTAACATTTTCACAGCATAGGCTCCAATTCCATTGGTCTTTTTTATCTTTATATCTACCATTCACTACTTTGACTAGTCTAACCAATCAAAAGTGCTTAAAAACAAGTAAAGAAACACAATCACTTTGCAGGGCAGGGCAGGGCCACTTCTGTTTAGGACTTTCTCGAACAGTGCTGCAATTTCAAAAGCAAAACCATTCAAACATCTAAGTTACACACCTTTAGCTCCACCTACAACCCTCTTTTGCAAATACCAATGACAATCAAATTGGTCCCACTATCCCTCTCAATCAAAAGCTTCTTTTCCTTTACTTGCTTTAATCAATTTCCTAATTTATTTAAAGAAACAATTATCTTCCTCTTCCCCCTTCATTACTTGGTTCAGCTGTTTTTTCTCCTGGTTATTCATTCTCCAGATATGTCACCTCTCCCACCTCCATCTCCAATTCCACCTTCACCTCTACCTCAACCCCCAGCGCAGAGGCATATCCGACACCCACCCCAACCCCCACGGCAAACCACACCGGTCTCTCTCAACCAAATTATCATATCAAAGCTTGCTACGAATCGAGAAGTTCCAGCACCTGATGCAAAAGATCAGGTCTCCAGTAAATCAACAAAGCAACCAATACTCCGGCAACCTCAACGGACCAAGCCACTTATATGGTGTTGTGCAATTGTGTGTCTCATATTCAGCCTTATTCTTATCATCTTTGGAATTGCAACTTTGATCATCTTCCTAGTTGTTAAACCAAGAACTCCATTGTTTGACATCCCCAATGCACGCCTCAACACCATCTACTTTGACTCGCCAGAGTATTTCAATGGTGACTTCACTTTCCTGGCAAATTTCTCCAACCCAAATCGGAAAATCGATATAAGATTTGAGTATCTGGATCTGGAGCTTTACTTTTCTGACAGGCTCATAGCAACTCAATCTCTTGGACCTTTCACTCAAAGACCTGGAGAAGGAAGGTTGGGATCAGTTCGCTTAATATCAAGCTTGGTTTACTTGCCTGAGAATCACGCTGTGGCTCTTCGAACACAGGTGCAGAACAATAGGGTCAACTATAATATAAGAGGAACATTTAAAGTGAGAGCCACTCTAGGAATGATCCATTTTTCTTACTGGTTGCATAGCAGATGCCAATTACAGATGACAGGCCCACCAACTGGTGTTTTAGTTGCTCGAAGTTGCAAAACTAAAAGATGAAGATGAGGAGCATTATTCCTTGTACCTTCTTTCTATCTTCTTATTGTATCTACATTGAAACCTAAATGCAATTTTTGGTGTATAAAAGTCATATGAGCTATATAACATGATACATGAGCATTCTTTCCTACAATCTGAAGAAATACTTTTTCTTTTTCTTTTTCATTCAGATTTTCGGTCGATTGTATTACAAGTTCATAAAGTAACAAAACCAATAGAAGGACAACTCATCATCATTGAAAAAAACTGTATAGAAAAGACATGGGGTTAAAGATCAGAGGGCACAAGATAAGCTCTTCTACAGAAGGAAAAGAAGGGGGGAAGTCATAGTTGTGTCCACTGAATAGGAACTCTATTTGAGGAATAGGAAGCACTACCAGTTCTGCTTGTGGAAAAGGTTAGCAAAGGATGTATGGAGATTCAATTAGGATCCTGCAGTGATTTCCACCTAATTTCTCCCTTATTTAAAAACTTAACATTATCCCCATATGGTGTTCTGGCATGGCACTACCACTTTAATTTATTTACTTAATCCAAAGAATTCCTATAAAAAGCATTGATAGGTCCAAAGTTCTTAGAGAAATCTAGAGAATGAACCAAGATAACAAGGGAATCCAGCGCCAGGATTGTATTTGTACGGGGTACATTTCTGGATAGTCCCTATGTCCACAGTTTCCTAATCAGAAATCACCAATATAATATCACTTTTAGATCCATCAACAATTTAGATATTCTGAAAAGTCTGAAAGAGACCAATTTTAAATTAAAGAAACACCATAAGGTCACAGTCAGATGTTCAATTGCAATGTAATTAATTATGTTACTTAATGGACAGCTGGTAGCTGGAGAGTAGCCAACAGATGAGAACTAGCCCAATCTCTATAATTTGTACTAGAATTTCCACCAGACGACTATGCATATCTAAACTGCCTTATGTGGAAGTTCAGACCAATTTATGTGATCATAAACTTGGTTAAAGCAGAGAGCTAGCAGTCAAAGAACCCACAAAAATATTCAATCTGCAACGTAGCAATTACCATTACAATCTTTGATCCCCTAAGTACTAAATCATTAGGAACCCAAGCGCAACCACACTATCTAAGGGCCCGTTTGATAACCATTTCAATTTTAGTTTTGAGTTTTCATTTTTTGTGCTAGAGTATAGAAGAAAAAGAGAGAGAATGGAAGTGAGAATGAGAGGGAAGATGAGAGGGGAGGAGGGAGGAAGGAGTAACAAAAGTGAAAACAAAAACTTGAAAGTGAAAACAATTTCAAATAGATTTCAGTTTTTTGTTTTTGTTTTCACTTTTGTTACTCCTTCCTCCCTCCTGCCCTCTCATCTTCCCTCTCATTCTCACTTCCATTCTCCCTCTTTTTCTTCTATACTCTAGCACAAAAAATGAAAACTCAAAACTAGAATTGAATTGGTTATCAAACGGGCCCTAAGAGTTTCACCCAATCTTTGCTTTCAAAGTAAGTTCAGTGTCTTATTTAATCAATGCTAAAAACATCAACAACAACAACAAAATTTTATGGCTAGTTCAGCACAAAATTTACCAATATGTAATTCAATTATCATTATAAAAATTAAAGACAAAATGTGTTCATATTCTAGCAAAACTTATGAGCACTATGTGTACAATACTTCTGAGCAACAACCTCATTTAACGATCATTGAAACAAGATATAAGAAGAAAAAAAAATCAAGAATATGAACCTCTTTTCATGAGGAACTCAGAGCAGCTACTTCACTTTCCACTCAATTCAGATGGTGTTTTGGCCACTATCGACAATGCATGTAGTCCACTCTGCAACTCTTCTTGCAACAAACCATAAATGAGCCTATGCCTCTTAACTAAACTCTTCCCTTCAAACTCTTTAGACACAACTTTCACATTGAAATGTGTCTCACCATCACTTCCTCTAACACCGGCGTGTCCGGCATGCTGATAAGAGATATCTTCTACTTCCAATTCAATAGGACTAAGCCCTCTTTCCAATCTCTCCTTAATTCTCTTCCCTCTGCTCCCTAAATCGCCCGACTTTGACTCATCTTCATTCGTAACACTTGCCACTAGTTCCAATTGCTTAATATCTTCTTTAGAACCTAATCCAACATCCAAACCCTCGATACCACCATCAACTTTCGAACCCAAAGTCGAATTATTTTCACCACCCACCTCAGAATTCAATCCAAATTCTACTTTTTTAACACTATTTTCACTTTTTGCCCTCGAATTTGAGCTATTTACTCCATTTTCTTCTTCCAGGAGCAATTCATAAGCCTTTTTCTGCATCAACTTCAACATATTCAAAAACCCATTATTCCTCGAAGGCGTTAAGCTCTGCTGAAGCCCCAGGAGGACTGCGAAATCAGGCGAGACCCGCAAAACCTCATCTACTGGGCGACCAGAGAGGCCATTGACGAGCAGAGCAGCGAGTCCCTTGGTGAGTACCGAGTCGGAATCGGCCTCGAAATATACGTTCTTGTCCGAGTCAAGGTAGGCCCTGACCCAGACCTGAGAGACACAGCCCTCGACCTTGTTTTGCTTCGTTTTGAATTGGTCATCTAAAGGCTTGAGGTTCTTGCCGTAGAACAAGAGCTGCTCGTACTTGGCCTTCGATTCTTGTACGGACTGGAAGAGCTTAACTATCTCTTGAAGCTTTGGTGGGAGCTCTTCAATGGATTGCAGAGACATCGAGCTTGAAGCCGAAGATGCAGCTGATGCCGCAGCTGATGCAGATGGTGATTTCGATGAGGATATGGTTGGTATTCTTTGGAAAGTGATTGGCCTTTTGAAGAAAGAGAGGTTTGGGTGTTTTGGCGATGAGGCTAAGAGGGCTTTTGGGTTTATAATGGAGCTTGGGAGTTTGGCTGTGAATAATCTAAACGACGATGAGATTGAAGAAGACGACGACATGTTTGGCTCTCAAGACTTGTCGAAGAAGAGAATTCAGAGAGACACAGTGGGGCAGATTCAGAGATAGACGAAGACCGGCTCAAACTCACCCTTTTGTTTGGCAATTGAGCTCCCAAACGCACCGTTTCGTCTGGCTGTTAGTTGGGCTGTTCTTTACTGGACTACACTATCTCTCATTCTCATTCAGACCGAATCATTCTATAGTGAGGACTTATTTAACACGCTTAGATGAGGTCCAATCTCTTAATTTTTGGATCATGTTAACCAATTTGATCTAATGGTTAAGCGATAAGATATCATTTAAGGCCCTCACTATAGAATTCTACGATTCAAATCATCGTTAAGTGTTTTCTGATCCTTAAGCCCACAAAAGTACCAGCAAAAAGTGTTGTAAACAAAGCCATATCCAATTTGGGCATCAAACAAGTTGCGCCTAGTAAAAATAAGTCCAATACAACATAGGCACGACATACACGTTTACTTATAAGTAATAAGAATAAGAAGAAAGAAAATGGTCTTCATTCATAACTTCTCCTGCATTTGCGTACAATTTAATACGCAGATGTTTAATCAAATACCCAAAAACCAGATAGTTGATTTGATTTCCTATCCTAATCCATTTCTTCTTATTCCCACTACTTATAAGTAAATATCTTTTAAAAATTAAACTAATGTGTGACTTGCAGATTAGTGGTCTCAAGTTTGAAACTCTATGACACTGTAGTAGTGTGTGTGAAACCCCTTTTCTCCTATAGTTTAAACTATCGTCTATACTCTTAACAACGTCTTAATAGACACATACATGTCCATAAGGCGAAGTAAGGTTACAATTCTCATTCTCGTTATGCTTTTAGACAAGCCGTGAAATGAAGACCCTTTTCAGAGTCCGTCACATTCTCTTTTGCTTCCTATAATGAAAAATGTCACCATAAACGTTTGATAGGTAAGCCTCTTATGCTGGGAAGTTTGGTGCATAATCACTTGTCGCATCATAAGAATATGCACAATCACTCAAGATCATGTCATCTACTACGTTAGTATCCAAAACTTAGATTTATCTCAGTCCTACTATTGTGTTCATGTTTTTTTAATTAGTTGAGATAACATAGTTAACCTAACAACTATAAAATGGCTAATTTGATGGGTATATATGTTGTTTTGACCACAAGGGTTCTCCATAACACCAAAACGTTCATGTTTTGGTCGAAATTCACTCATTCTCTTGGCATTCTCTTTGAAGCCTCATACTAACGAATGTATGTAACATTCTTTTCTAACGTATATATATAGGAACTCTATAAGTATATATTTTTAATCACTTAAGTTATAAGCCTCATACGATAGATGAGTGTTTGAGAATACAATTGAGTTAAGTATTCATAACATAAAACATTGTAGAATATGTAACAACTACCAAGAGTGAGCATTTGGAAAAGAGAGAAATTACAAGTTTTAGTTTTTTTTTGGACAAAATTAAATACAAGTTTACAATTGATATATAAGTCCCATTCCCAAACCCCCATATAGTCAAAGGTCTAGTACTACAACTAGTACTTGTATCCCTTAACAAACAAACTCTCAGAAGCCAATCCACCAGCACTTCCTCCACCGTACTTTCCAAGAGTGGCGTCTGAGTTTGCCTTGCACCTTGTCAAGAATGTCTCCTGAGCTTTCCCAACATTCTCCTTATTCCCACCCCAAGTCTTAAGTGTGCTTGCTTGCAAAGCTCGCCCAAATGAGAACGAAAGAGTCCATGGCTTCAACACATCCAACTTGTTCATTGCATCCAGATTCAGCGTTGCCTCCTCCTCACTCTGTCCTCCGGACAGAAACACAATCCCAGGCACTGCTGCTGGGACTGTCCGGCGCAGTGCAGTCACTGTGTACTCAGCAATCACCTCGGGTGTAACCTGTGAAAAATTGAAGCCATTTAATTTGAAGCACAATTATGTTGTAGCAAAACCATTTTATATGGTGAGGCCTACATACATGTTCTCTATAAGAAGGAAAAAACTGTGTTACAACTCTATCTTACTTCAATGAGAAATAATGTGTAGTTGCTATACTTCATGGTATACTAACATAGTGTTATGAATTCATTCAAATTATAACATGAATATAATTGATATTGTGTATTTAATACACTCTATGATATATGAACATAGTGTTACGGATTCATCTAAATTGTAATGATTGCAATATCAATTGTGTTCGTGCTATAATTTGAGTGGATTCAATACACACTGTACTATTTCACATTCAACTTCTTACGTGTTAGTCATGTGAAATATATACAACGGTTGTAAATTTGTTTGTGAAAGAGATGGATTATGTGAATATGGAGGCAATAATTTAGAGCTATACATATTTGCATCCAATTACCTTTGGGCTGTCAGAGCCTGGTGTGACCATGTTGGGCTTAAGGAGTGTGCCTTCAAGAAGAACATGATGCTCATTGAGAGCCTTGTAAACTGCTGCAAGCACAGTTTCAGTGACAGCTGCATTTTTCTTGATGTCATGGTCCCCATCAGTCAAAATCTCTGGCTCAACAATTGGCACCAGTCCATTCTCCTGGCAGATGATTGCATAGCGAGCCAACCCCTGTGCATTCTGCTGAATAGATAATTCAGAGGGCTCAGTGGGTCCAATCTTGAGCACGGCGCGCCACTTGGCAAACCGTGCACCGGCCTTGTAGTACTGTGCGCACCTAGCTCCTAGAGAGTCAAAGCCCTGAGTTGTAGTTTCTCCATTTGTTCCGGCTAACTCAACGGTGCCCTTGTCAACTTTGATACCTAGAACCAAGTATCAAATGTCGATGTCAAATAGAAACATAGATGTAGAAAAAAGTACATGAATATATCCGAAAAAATGTTATATCTGTTATCGAAATTTTAGACCATACCTGGAATGACATTGTTTTCCTGGAGGACTTCGACGAAGGGTTTGCCATCAGTGGTCTTCTGGTACAAGGTCTCCTCGAAGAGAATGACACCTGAGAGGTAGGTTAGGGCATTGGGGGAGGTGAAGAGAAGTTCACGGAGAGCTTGGCGGTTGGACTCGATGTTCTCAACATTGATGCTGGATAGACGCTTGCCAATGGTGCCTGTGCTCTCATCTGCTGCCAATATGCCCTTCCCTGGGGTGGCAATGTACTTGGCATTCTTTATAAGCTCCTCTGCACAAAACCGAAGGGTTGAGCTAGTCGAACTTCATACAAGTATAAAGAATGATTGCCTAATAAATTTGATGCCTACATCTTTTCTTGTTAAGGAGATTGCTTGGCTTTTCTTAAATTTTCCGGGGTAATGACCTAAATCGGGTTTTGGAAGCGGTGTTTTTCGGTACTCATTGTATCCACTAGATTAATAGTTAGTCGGTCATGCAAAGGCAGTTTTACATTAACCAACAATAACACTTTTAATTATGAAAATCATGTTGTGAGAGAGAGAGAGAGAGTACCAGCATATTTGCCAACAAAGGCTGACATGGTTGGAGATTTAGGATGGTATTGGATAACAGTGGACCAAAGTGCAAAATCAAACTTCCACCGCAAACAATCTATATAGACAAGCTCCGGCGGAATATGCCAGCAGAATCCTCAGGGCATGGATTAACAACACGTGTCAAAAGGTTAGCCCAAGGAAGGTTATCATCCTAGGATAGAGCAACGAGTGATCACTCTCTTTGCCAAGTGGCAACTCAATCCTCAGGCAAAAATTTGTGTGGAAGGGCTAATGCTCCTCATCCAATTACTCTCAACTCACAGAGACGAACCAAACGAAACTTTTGGATTCTACTAAACAACTATGTCTGCCTCATCCCTTACAATTTTCTGTTTCTTTTCATCTTAGTACATAATTGGAAATCTATCCTAGTACATAAATGGAAATCTACGAAGAGTCGCTCTAATTTCACATGCATCAACGATTCACAAGTGCCCAAGATACATTGTTTAAAACACATTACCACCAATGAAATTCCAAAATCTAAATTTTTTTCATCAAAGACTTGGATACGAGTGCATGCACATCCGTGCTCGTCACATGATTAGTTATTGTGAAGTGTGCATATGCTTATTGTATACACGAACTTTTCAAAATTGAGGCTTCGTTCTTCCTAATTGACCACGTGAAACTTGCACATGGCAGCCAAAGAAGCAAACATTTAAGTGAAACGCAGTCCAACTTGTGAAACAAAAAATAGTCATAATGAGAGTAAATGTCCTGGTTCATAATACATATCATGGGGAGACAATTCATTTGCCAGTAAATTGCTTCCCTCTAAGCCATGCAAATGCAAATGCAAAGCAAGTTTCAAAGAGACTATCTAGTCACACACACTCACTGCCTGCTATGACAACTCGTCGTCCAACCCTTTATACGGTATCATCGAAATGCAAGAAACATCATTTGAGAAAGAAGAAAAACCCTATATGCCAATAATTGAAAAGAAAAATATGAAAGATTCGAAGGATGATTGTTCTAGATTTGATAAAGTCAAAATTTTTTCAACACTGAAATGTGGAACCCAGCACAACACTAGTCAAGCCAAGTTGAGCTGACTTTCCATCATTGCTGAAAATAACTCCAAATTGATAAGGGGTTGGACCAACTAGCAGTTTTTTTGGGAATTACACCGAAGGAGATACCACTTGTTGATCATCGTCATCAGTTCCAAAATATCGGTCCCCAAACTCACCCATTCCGGGTACAACACGAAAATCTTCATTGAGACCACTTTCAATCTCAGATGTCACAATCTTTATTCTGGGGAAGCGTTTGCAAACCACATGCACACCTTGAGGTGCCTGGCCAATTGATGCACAACATCAGTAGGAGTAACTCTCATGCAGTCATGATAAAAACGATAGTCCGAAACTGAACTAATAGTCAGGGGAACCTGAACCACATTACAGAGAAACGAACTTACAGATATGAGATTCAGAAATATAATGTTGGACTCTGGTACGCCCTTCTTTAAGAGTAGAGAAATAGCTTGAACAGCCGAATTCCCTGAAGAGAAAGGTATAATTGTTAGTAGTTTTACGACTGCCGATAATTCAACAAGATTTTGGAAGCTTATAATTAACTCTTCATATATTGTATAATAACAAAATAGTGACCGTTGTAAGCCAAATCGATACTAATAAGGTATACAAATTGCAAGATTAAAGCAGATAAACAACAACGGACTGCTGAAATAGTTTGTAGAATATTACATGGGGACAAGTATACTAGAACTTCCCTCAGTAGAGAATAATAACCACCAACTAAAGCTGGTGGGACATCTTTACCCCAGAGAAATAAAAGCACTCTGGAATTTTCTTTTTTGTTTCCTTTGGTCTGAGCCCTTGGACATGAGCTTTACCAAAAACAACTTTTGACAAGTAGAACCAACAAGTCAAAAAACAATTAATATATTATCAGAAAAACAAACCTGTGCCCAGGATAGGATCCAACAGTAATACATGCCTCTCTGAAATGTCGTTGGGTAGTTTTTCATAAATCAGCTGTTCATCAATTAGATCAATAAGAAAACAACCAAGAAAAAACTGAAATACAGTCATGAAAATGCTTTCACATGAACCAACACAAGAGAGGGAGTGGGGCAGGGGGAGAGAGAGAGAGAGATGTGTGAACCTGCTGACCATTGTCCCCTTCTCTATGAATAAGAATCTTTCCAATCTTGATACCTTTACAACATGCTCGCAAAGCATTCTCCATGCTCTCACCACTGTTAATAGTAGAATGTTAATCATACCATGAAAACTTAATAGGAGTTCAATTCAAAAATCAAATCAAACTCAACAAAATACAACACTAGTAGGTGATGGTTACACGACCACATGGTTCATAAAGGCATAAGAGGTTGGGTTTCAGTTCAGATCTAATTACTACCTCTAAGTATCTATGATGATCATTTGTTTTATACACCAAGACCGCATCGGAGAGAATGTTTGGTCACTTGTAAAGAAAGCCGAATTAAAAAGGGTATAGTAGAATTTATAGTTCCTAGTCAGAAAAACCAAATGCCTTAAAGGAACACATTTGTACCTCCTAATGATAGATACGCCACATAACCTCTTACAGAAATCCACACCAATATACACAGACCCTGCATCCAGATCAAAGAAATGTAAAAGCAAAGCATCAACCAATGAAGTTTTGCAGACTTACCAACTATTGTAGAAAATTCAAAACAATACAAAGAAAATAATTATGTATGATGTGCTTGGTGTAAGCTTGCGACAAACTCACAAGAAATATATTTAAGAGTAAAAGGATGGGAACATGTATATCTGTTTTCCAAATAAATCAAAATCAAAGATGTGAAAACCATATATGTTAAGATGTCAAGATGAGCATCAGCTTACCAGTTGGAGTGATCACCTGCTTTTCAGTAAATGGTAGATGTCCCAGGCCATGTTCAACAACCTGTTAAAGATTAAGGACTCTTGATGAGTGATTTGAGTAAATAAGAATTGGTCCCATTCCACGAATGACCTTAAAAAACATCAAATTTGCATCTTGGCTCAAAGGATACCCACCAAACGAATCAACCTGTCAGAATAGAAAACAAAATCATGCTTTGTTGTTTGAGCATCGCGTATGAGGGTATGCATGCCCCGTATCTGCATTAGACCATGAACGATAATGGTGAGCCAAAAGAAAAAAAAATGCAAAGAATAAAGATTGGAGCTTGAATGAAAATATTTAGGAAGGGCACCTGAAAGGTTGAGTGAATGACATATAAGTTTGGATATATTTTACAAAGGTCATGTTGACCAAGCTTAGTACGAATATGTTGTACAATCAAATCAACGGCTATGTGATTATCTCCACCACGAGGAATTATGATATCAGCATACTTCTTCGTTGGAAGAATAAAGTCATCAAAAGCAGGCTTAACAAAATTTGAGTACTGCATCAAAATGGTAAACATTATTAGAGAAAAGGCATATAGAAGATGCAGGTAGTAACCATTGTTGCCTAACCACAAGATCATGGAACAAAGGTAAGAATAGGTAATAGAAACAAAAGTGGAAACCCTCTAACACTTGAGTGAAATATTTCAAAGAATGGTTGAAGTACTATAGGGTAAATAATCAAGAGTATACCACCTATCTTCAATTCTTTAAACCTTGTCTACAAGAACACTGAATTCTAACAATTCTTTTTGCCAAGAAATAATAGTTGCATCCATTCATTTGTAGATTCACAGCATGAAATATAATCTGTATGTATAAGCTAGGCTAAAACCAACAAAAGTCTAACAACCATGAAATGAAAAGTTGCAAACCTGATCAAGAACAGTACCAATATCCCTTCCCTTTTCAACTGTATCACGCCTTATCCTCCTAGCCAACCGAACATCAGCATCTGCACTGAAAATTTTACAATGTGAAGTGGCCCAATTTAGTAACAATATGAAGTGACCCAATTTAGTAACAACATGAAGTTGCATATACCATTCTACTTATAAAAATAACTTACAACATAATTTATTCAGACCTGCACATATTTAACTACTAACATAAGTTAGAAAACTTCACATGAAAACTATATTATACAAAAAGTATACTAGAATATAAAAACAATGAAATTTATGTGTAGTAACAATTCAAAGAAGCTTTAATAACCCGCTAGAACATCTAAAGGCCAAAATAGGTAAAAGGAAAATTGACCTGTATCAACAAATATCTTCATATTCATCAACTCTCGAACACGTGGATCATGGAAAACAAGAATGCCTTCCAAAATAATGACATCTGAAGGGTTTACCTGTTAAATATAAAATATTACACTAGTAAGAATTTCTAATGCATAAGAGACAGGCAACTACATAATATAGCATATGTGTTTTGGTATAATTTTAGGAAACAAGCCCTTCACTACAATAGGACCTCAAAACAACAGGGAACTACATGTTAGATGATATGACTTATAGATCCCACAGATTTAAAATTTTACCCTTCTCGCTGGAAACACGCTATTTTTGTAACTTTTGAAATCATAATTTGGAATATCTACTGCTTGTCCATGCTTCAACTTATCCATCGAAGATAATAGTTTCTCAGTGTCGAATGCATCTGAGGATAACCAAAAACACAAAACTTTGAATCAAACATTTGAAAGATAGTCAGTATAAACTAAACCAACCAGCATGCATGAAAATGTACTTGTCAGAAAATAAATGGGAAAGAACTGAACAACAATGTGAAACGCACTAAACAAAAAGCTACATAAAACAAACTTGTGGAATTACACAATAACTGCATAGAGAAAACTAATAGCATGACATGACTACTCTCCGATTACCAGTTAGGATGTCTCAAATTGTAGTAACATGACATACTTTGAAGGGTTACAGGTACACATGGTTCAGTAAACTATAGTAATATTCTAAGTACTTATTGCTTCACTTATATTCCTTAAATTTGATGTTGCAGGAATGCCCTCACCAGGATGGTCAAAGTTGTATTCATGTACTCGTTTAAGTTCCTCCTCAGTCAGATTATGATAAAAGGAATCCTGTAATATCATCCATGATAAGATATTAATTTGGAAAAGTGGTGACATTCTGACACTAGAAAACAGGAAAACCAAATAATCCCAAAATCAAGGAAAAAAATAGGTAACTACTACTCTTCTTGATCACAAATTCTACACATTACCTGGTTAACAAGAACAACCCGCTGATCATGAAGCTGCTGTATAATCATATCACAAACTGTCGTCTTACCAGAAGCTGCCCCGCCAGCAACCCCTGTGACAATATGTATGGAATGATGGATCATATGGAAGTGGAAGAATCAAAACGCAGCTATCTAACCTTCTTAGAAACGATGCATGTAGCAAATCTATAAACCACTACTTACCAATAACAAAAGGCTGCTTATGCATGTTTTCATGTGCTGAGGTTGTCGGTTGCTCCACCTTCTGTCTTTGCTCTAAGCCATCCATATGAAATCCAGAAAAATGAACCCCTGAGGAGGCCTCTATCATATCCACAACTGAATTTGAACCCATGATCATAGACCTACGTGGAAACAGGGAAGGAAAATGTTGATAAGGTCATGAAAGACTGAATCAAACAAAGTTCATGATAGTATAAAACATCAAAACCATATAGCTAACTTAGTAAAATATGAACTTCTATCAGGTCCTTAGAGCAAATCAGCATTCAAACCCAACCTTCGAAGCAACAGTTAAATTGATTAACCCAAGATTGGTCAAGTTCACGTAGACCGTAGAGCTAGCTGGTAAAAGATACCTGGGCAGATTGGATTATTTTTCTTGCAATCCTTAAGTACTCTGAACTGAACTTATAGCTTCCTAAAGTCTCAAATGAACTTGTTTATAGCATAACATCCCTTGAAGAATTCATTGCAATGTATCATTCCAACAGACAAAAGAAAAACGCTGACTAGTATGCAATTAAAGTTGTAAACTTTAAGACAGTACAACCACCAAACAAATATCCTTTTTTTTTTTTTTTTTTTTTTTTTTTTTTTTTGTCAACAAATAAGTACTTATGAAACCAAATATTGTTGGGAAATCTGATAGTAAAACATATTTTTCTATTGATCCAATGTGTGTGTATTACATAATACAATTATAACTAGGCATTAGCTTACATTTTAAAAGAGCTAAGAAAGAAAGCTGAAATTACCGATCAAAGCAAACAACAATGATAAAAATACAATACGAAAGTCCCACGGATGTTCTTCGAATATAGTCTAAAAACATAAATACTGATAAAAACCCAACAACACTGCATTCGTACCGACCACATACTACTTTGTGTTCCGCGTACAATTCACATTAAAAACAACAACAATCACGAAACCATTAGATTCCAGACCACGATGACATTGAAAAAGCGGATTCGATTGCATGGAATGACAATGACAGGAAAACAAGTAAGAAAACTCCAAACGTTCACTTCTTAATCATTTCACATTGGAACTTTCAATATGTATATGAAACATACACACAAACACACACGTACATGTATGCGCATACGCACACAGGTACACGTACACGTACACACAAACACAAAGCTTATCAAGCAAAATGAAATTGAAGTAATCTCCTTGCAATGAAAGCATTGGAAACAGTAAGTTCTTGGCAATATCAATTCAGAGATCCAATGTGCATATGATATCACAAGAATCAAACTTTAATCAACCAAGCAACACCACCTAATCAAATCATCCAAATTTCACAAAAACAAAAACCAAAATTCTATGAATTCAGATTCAGTAGAAAAATCGACACATGAAAATCGACCAATGCGATACCTGATGAGCTCGAACCGAGAGAGAAAGAGAGAGAGAGATTCGAACGCAAGCTTTGGAAGAAATTACAGAGAGAGAATAATGAGGAGGCTGATCAGACCGATCCAATGGGTTTAAATAGTGGAGCCAGAGATGAGGGAGACCTTGCACCGAAGCGGAAGTCGGATTAAATTACCATAATGGGCCTGGGTTTGGGAGATATCACGGTTGTGCCACCGTTTTCGCTGTGTTCTCTCTCTGATATTTTTGGTTCGTACGGTGCGCGCGCTTGGATCTGAACTCGAGATTGAGCTGTCCTGCCTGGTCCATCGTGGCACTGAATCATAAATGGGACCCACTTTTCTAAACGATGTCTATAAGGTGAGAGAGACTCTTGCGTATAGTACACAGTACGGTTTTTACGGTCTGAGGAGGTAAATAATTATATTAATTGCAAATACTATGAACAATTTTATAAACTTTTTTTTCACATTATTTGTCAAAAAAATTAGTTTTTTTTTCTTTTATTTGACCATTCTTATTTCGTATAGTAACAGTGCGGTTCTTAATTCGATTGTAAGCTAAACGAAATTAAAATAATTAATTAATTTAAAACAAAATTTGACTACTAGGCAGCTCAATATTTAGCTTCATGAACTGATTTGACACCACAATAATTAATTAACAGTTTGATGCCGTGAAGGACGTTCAAATAATCAAATCCCATTTAAATATACAATATCCAATTCATATCACATTCATTTTCGTAAATACCAATGCACTTTTAACTCAAAGTGTGCTTTCATTATTTTTCTTAACACTTGACACGCATATTTGTGGAACATAATTATACTCATAGATACTCGTTAAGAAAGATGATGATAGTATACCTTGAGTTAAAGTGATAAACAAAAATACTTTTTTGTTTTTTATTTTTTTGGTTTACAATTATCTACAATATTAAAGCAAGAAAAAAGTAATGCTCGTGCCATCACAACATGAAAACGAAATACACATATGCTTGGCAAGCAAGCACACCAATCGAACTCGTTTGTTTCAAGAAATGGAATCTTTTATTTTATCTTCAATGTCGATTCAAATGGTCATTTTCATTAATTAGCATTTTCACTCTTTATATTTGGTCGCATACTTCTCTTGTTTTTGTTGTATACTTTTTGTGCAGACATACAAGATTTTTCCAGGATATTTTTAGATCTTTTGCTTCTAATTGAACCTTTTGTACCCTCCTCCTCCTCCTCCTCAAGGAGAAAACAACCAGCAATATCTTATATATCTCTGAGGAAATCTTAATAGAAAAAGCTCTCCAATTTGGCTCTCCAAAACTTTTCGATATAAATCTTTTTTTTTCTTTTTTTTTGGTTCACTACACATAAGCACTCAACGGAAATACGAATTTTTATGACAAAAGAAAAACTTAAATAGGAATTTTCTTTAAATAAATCTTGCTCATGAGTAAGCATAAGGTTAGATGATAAAAAACACTTTACAATTCTTGCCAATTTCCCTCCATTTAACCTTTATCCATAGGGTGAGAGAGAGATTGATAGAGAGTTTTGTTTGCTGAAAGAGATAGATATTAGATAGGGTTTTCATATACCTTTGTTCTCTTCTTCTTTTTAGCTCACTATTGCAATTAAATTCTACGGAGGAAAAAGACTCCAGAGGAGGAAAAGGACAACTAAACTTTATTTTTGTTCTAATTCGTTTATGTTGAGGAATATTAAGTCTTACATCGAAAACTTACAAAATAAAATGTCTAATATAATGATAGGAATCTCGCACTTATCAACCAATAGTTATATTGAAGACAGTGTAAAGTATAACATATAATGATAGCAATCTCACACTTATCAACCAATGGTTATATTGAAGACAGTATTAATGTTGCTAATGATGGGCTGCGTGCGTATCCATCCCTTTGAAATATTAAAATTATTCATTAAGACCAACTAGTGCTTGGTTCTAAAAAGATACGGGGCTTACTTTGATTAGCAATTTTAAGTTTATTAATAATTTTCAGATTTATGATATTAAGAGTAAATATTAGGGTTGTCATTTGGTCGGTTTGAATCGGTAATGCGACTTAACAAAACAACAAAAAAATTCGGCATTTTTTGGTATCGGTACTTCACGATTTGGTAATAACTTCAATAATATAAATTCGATTTCAATAATTTTGTTTTATATTTTATTGGGTTATATTCTTTTGATTTATGACAACTAGTTCGCTAATGTTACGATTAAATAACTAGTTATGACATGTTTACTAATCCGTAATTAAATTAGGAGGAATTGAATTGAGAATGAATTAAATTGAGCATAAGTTTGATTGAGGAGAATTAGATTACAGATTCTTAATAAAGTTGTTTACTAAACCATATGGATTGAGGAGAGTTAGTTTCCGAATTCCTTTTGAAGTTGTTTACTAAATCATATGGAATTTGGGTATGAGTGGTACTAATTACTAAAATGTCCTCGTTGTTGAATTAAAATAGATGACATATTTGAAAATTGCATGAGGATATAATGGGTAAAAAAAAATGAATTCCTGATGGATTAAAATATCATCTCCCATCCAAGAATTGAATTCTTTCAAAATCAGGAATTCAATTCTTAATTTTGTGTGGGCTCACTTACTTTTTAATTCCTTGATATGAAGTAAGCGTAAGAATCCTCCATATGTAGAATTCAATTCCTGATGAAAATTCCAATTCCTTATTAATGAACACACTATTAGTTTAATGTACCGCCTATGTTATCATTACAAGTTTGACACATTAACAACCTAGCTAATATAACAATTTATTTATTAATATACGAGTTTTCCTTTTATGCGAGAATAGTACGAGTTAGTACTATTCGGTCTAATATAATATTTGCATTATCATTAGTACATTAAAACTAATATCTACTTTTATTTTATGCATGTAATAGGGGTAAGATTTTATGTCCCCTATTTTTCGTTTGGTGATCAATAAGTTTCCTTTGTACCATTGAGGTTCTTTAAAAAAAATATATATAAAAATTGAAATATATCAAATTGTTAATAGTAATTTTAGAAGAATACAAGCGATATTAGAATGGGGGAGGAAACCGAACTTAAGGCCTTGGTACATAGATAAATACTTTATCAAACTCAATTATTGAACAGAAGTGGCCTCTTAATTTGATATATACTGGCTGGATACGTAGAAAGGTATAGACAAAACTAAGGACGAAGTCTCGGATGAAAGGTCCAAATCTTCATCCTCGGATTGAACACCAATAGTATATTGATGAAGAAGGCTGCGTACAAACTAAAATAAAACAAAATTTAGCTCAATTTTTCACGCATGGATCTCTTGATAGGAAATATGCAATGTGTTCATTTCGTTGGATGGATAATTTTACTTATTATTTTTTTCTCACTAAAAACAAAGATTTATTTATTTATTTTTAAACTAAATAATTTGTGGATTTATAGATGATTAGATGTGGGATATATAGGTGATCAGAAGGTTGATTAATTAGCCCCGAAATTGCCTTTGTACTTTTCTAGAATGAGACTTTCGATTTTCCCACATCTATAATCCGATAATGGGGTTGGGGGAGAGAAAGTTACTTGGTGTACCTAACTAAATCCAGAAGATTCAAAACATAATTTATATGCACACCATTCAAACATTTGAAAAAAGAAAAAAGAAATGTTCTAGAGATAACGCTTGGGAATTGTATCCCTATCCAGTCAGAGCTGTTGTCTTTTGTTTTATTTAGAAGTCGTTTTCCTATATAATTAAGTATATGTTTTAACACAATATATATATATATATATATATTCTCTTATCCGTTCGTACGTTATTATCTTGCGAATGTCATTATAAATAGGAGGAAAGTAGGAAGGAAATACTGAAAAATACATGACGTTCACACAATAATAACATCTGGACTTCCACATAGAGAACAAGAACATGATGTTGTTCATTTGAGACCACATGCCATTATAAATTCTAACCACTTGGAGCCTAGTGGCTGTGAGTTTGTAATATGTACAAATTATAATGTATGTGATCTGAAAAATCAGCAATGTGCACATCAGTTAACTTTTGTAATTTAGACTAAGATGAACAATTAATATAATTATTAGATTAATATGAAAAGAGTTCGACTCTCACTCTTGCATATCGCAATTTCTATCACGTTGTCTTTCATCAATATATGTCGCTTTATAAATCCGTGGCCTCTATTATAAGGTGAGCAATAGGTCCCCTTCGTTGGCCAAGCGTGTTGGCCACAGATAAGACATTGTTAGCTCATTATGATTAGACGAATTGTGGCTATTGCCCCCGTTTTCTAGTGGTGACTTTATATCACCTTACCATTTTTCACCATCTGAACCCGCTGGCGCGGTTTGAACACGTTAAACTTGGTAGATGGATGCATGGTGGGACATTCCAATCAGTGCATGGGATGACCCACAATCAGAATATATGAGCCTCATTTCATGTGCATGATCTCTCCATTTTTATCCAACAACTTTAACCCATATCTTATGGTATTGGCACACTTACCAATTAGCACTTAAAAATGTGCCATAAACTCCAGAAAATTCTTTTGTTGGGTTGGGAACTTGGGACATATAAAGTAGGTGAAATTGCAATTGTCAGGATATATATATATATAACTTTGCGACGACTCTTGCATGTGCCATGAACATATAGACTTGAAAATTCTAGGTACGGACATCTACCTTTGATTTGGGCCTTAACAGCCAAGACCAATATGCTGGCTTTCCATGTTGAAGATTGGCCCGAGAATTAACCTGGACCACTGGCTACGTTAGAAGAGTTGCAAGCTTTTCCCGCCTGGAAATGATGAAAAGGCAAAATACTTTGCATTCTTCTATCGTAAATAGGAACTCCTATATTTTAATAAATAACAGTTTGACAAGTGTGTTGAACTTTTTCTTTTTGTGTTTTTTATGAATTACTTTTGCACATGTTTTAAACCGTGATTTGTAAAAATGAGAAGTGTCTCTTTCTAAAAAAGAAGGCAAGTATAAATGGATACGAGGGAAAATTAAAAAAAGAAGAAAGATAATGGAAACCTTGGATTAGGCAAACCTAGTTCATATCCAAGCGCAGTCCATATTGTTTTTAGATTTTCTTTTAGGTTTTGAAAATAAATTAGGAGGGATATGTAAGACCCTAATTGAGTTTGCATCTATTTAAGCCACAACATCTGTTAAGGAATAAAAGTGGAAAGTTTTTATTTGATTAGCCGGATACTTTGAGGTGAAGAAGGAATGAAATAAAAGGAGATATCTATCCTATTCTGTCATGGATTCTAGAGATTATTAAGGCATGATTTAGGTAATCTTTTATGGGCAAGAAACCTAGGTCAAATCACCTATAAAAACAAGGTTTAGGTCCCCGATCTTATATACATTCAAGCATACAAATCCTACCCAATATTAGGAGTGCATAAGGCGTGTAGAAAGATTGGAAGACCTTTGCTTGCTTATCAAGATCTTTTCTGTCCAGTTCTCATGGCTTTTCAAGGTTAGTACTTATAGCTTGTTTGATCTTAAAGTCTAACATGTGGTATCAGAGCCTAGGTCATGCATCTATAAGTCTAAATCAAGATAAAACATAAACTCCAGACTGTTTTTCCAATTCTGCATTTTGTGTTGTGCCGCAATGATTGTTTGCTAAACTCAAGAATTAAAATATGTATTTTAGGACTGCTGTGCGTGTGTTTTAATTATTAAACCAATTTATATTGTTTAGCATATCTAGCTGCAGATGCACGTAGAATCATGACTAGGTTTAAAACCAATTAAGCATGAACATAATGAAATTCCGCATCAAGTAAACATATCAAGGAAGTCATGTTTTGGTTCAAAATCATTGTCTGATGTTCAGTCCACAGATGAACATGAGGCAATTATTTTAAATCATCTCCAGGTTTTTTATGACAAAATTGCATCACAAGACACATCGACTGTGGTATTCTGCTTACAAGTGTGAACCTCATTCGATTATGCTTTATGATGGAACAAGATGGCACATCAACTGCTATGAAGATCAAAATCTTTTCTGTCCACAGATGGGAAGATCTTGATAACAGCTTATCATAGACAGTTTATGACGTTAGACTTGTGAAAGAAACTCAAGCATATTTGATATTCTGTCCATAGATGTTTATCGCATATGTATAAAGAGTTTTAGGATAAAAGGTTAACCATATTGCATACTTCTGTGTTTTCAGCTATGAACCCTACCTCTATCAATTTGATTGAACCCTTGACTAGTAGCAACTTTAAGAAATGGAAGCGTGATTTAGAGATAGCTCTAGGTCTCTTAGATCATGACATAGCTTTAAGAGAAGAGAAACCAATGCTCACTGCTGAGCAAAGGCTGAAACTTGAGAGATGAGAGAAGGCAAATAGGATCTGTCTGCTCATAATGAAAAAGTCCATGACTGAAGCCATTTATGGAGGCATTCTCAATTCTGAAAATGCTAAGGAGTACTTGAAGGCAATGACTGAGAAGTTTAAAGAATCAGATAAGGCTGAAACTGGAAATATGATGAATAGGCTGGCTACTATGAAGTATGATGGTATGGAAGATATGAAGGTGTATCTCCTAGGCATGGTAGAGACTGCCAGCAAGCTAAAGGCACTTAATGTTCCTATCGCCGATCCTTTTCTCGTTCATCTTGCTTTGAACTCTCTCCCTTCATCATATGGACAACTTAAGGTAATTTACAATGCTTAGAAAGACAAGTGGGATCTCAATGAGCTCATAACCATTTGTGTTCAAGAGGAGGCTCGGATCAAGAAGGAAAAAGAAGTTAACACTGTGCACCTCACCACCAATGCTCCCAAACGTCACTTTTCTGAGCCTGGCTCACATACTTCTGCCAACAAAGAGAACTCTAAGGCTAATCTTCCTCCTAAAAGGTCTGACACTTTAAAAACCAACAAAACTACTGTCTTTAAATGTTACTTCTATGACAGAGCAGGTCACATGAAGAGAGAGTGCCACAAATACAAGCGTTGGGTAGACAAAAAGGGAAACAAAGGTAAGTCTGAAACTATCCTAGTTTGTTTTGAGTCTAACAATGTCATAGTTCCTACTAACTCATGGTGGATTGACATTGGTTCATCAATCCATGTCGCCAATTCCTTGCAGGACTTCGCAAACCAGAGGAAACTAAGTAGAGACCAAAACCATATGTTCGTAGGGAATGGGAAGAGAGTACAAGTCCAAGCAATAGGCTCAGTTAGACTCCAATTAGTTTCAGGCTTTCCTTTAATTTTGAAAGATGTTGCTTTTTTACCTTCCATGAGAAGGAATTTGATTTCAGTTTCTACATTAACTAAGGAACTTTTCAGTTTTGTTTTCTCTTAAGTTGGATTTGATTTAGTCTTTAATAAAAATTCAGTGGGCAATGGCTCTTTGATTGATGGTTTGTATTGTTTAAATCTTTCTAGTAACAATGTTGTTTTCACCACTGAAACCGTAGGACAGAAACGATCACTAGATAATGAGAAGTCTACAAAACTATGGCACAAAAGATTAGGTCATGTGTCTAAGAAAAGAATGCAAAGGCTAATTCAAGAAGGAATTCTTCCTTCCTTGAATTTTGCAGACTTCACTGAGTGTGTTGAGTGCATAAAGGGAAAAATGACTAACTCTAGAAAATTGGGATCCACACGCAGTCAGCAACTCCTAGAGATAATTCACACTGACATTTGTGGTCCTTTTCTAGTTGAAACTCTAGAAGGACATAGGTACTTCATCACTTTCATTGATGATTTCTCTAGATTCTGCTATCTCTACCTAATCCAGACCAAATCTAGTGCCTTTGAAGTTTTTAAAATATTTAAAACTGAGGTTGAAAACCAACTTGAGTTAAAGATTAAAGTGTTAAGATCTGATAGGGGAGGAGAATACTATGGCAAGTATGATTAGCAAGGCAGACATTCATCACTATTGGCTCAATATCTTCAAGATTGTGGGATAGTTGCTTAATACACAAACCCTGGAACTCCTCAAGAGAATGGAGTGTCAGAAAGAAGGAATATAACCTTGAAGGATATGGTGAGAAATATGATTTGCACCACTGACCTTCCAAATTTTTTTTATGAGGAGATGATGTCAAGATAGGTAATTATATCCTAAATAGGTGTCCAAGTAAATTAGTGCCTAAAACACCTTTTGAGCTATGGAACAAAAGGAAGCCCAGCTTAAACCATTTGAATATCTAGGGTTGTAAAGCTGAGGCAAAAGTTTACAATCTAAACTTGGGAAATTTGGATCTCAAGACTGTGAGCTACATGTTTATAGGATATGCAAAAAGATCAAAGGGTTTTCATTTCTATTGCCCCAACTATACCAATAGAGTTGTTGAGACAGGAAATGCTAAGTTTCTAGAGTATGATGGGGATAGTGAAGGGGCAAACAGGAATTTTACTTTTGATGAAGAAGAAGAAATATGAGCAGAAGATTGCAATCCAAGCAATATTCCTATCATAACCTATGAGTTAACTCAAACTTTGTCACAACCTGAGGCACCAATTGAGCTTAGGAATGAAAACCAAAATGCTGGGGGAAATACAAGAAGAACTAAATGAAATGGACCTGACCATAGAACCACAACTGCAACAGCAAGAAATTAGAAGATCCACAAGAGAAAGATGAGCTAATACATTGCCAGATTTCGTTTATTTGAATGAGACATATTCTGATGACTGTGATTTTAATGACCCAATGAGTTACAATGAGGCTATAACTAGTGAACATTATGAAAAATGGCTTGAGGCAATGCTAAGTGAATTGGAGTCAATGGAAGCCAATAAAGTGTGGGAGTTAGTTGAATTGCAGCAAGGAATGAAGCCTATAGGGTGTAAATGGGTGTTCAAAACCAAAAGGGACTTAAAGGGCAATATTGATAGGCATAAGGCTAGACTTGTAGCTAAGGGTTTCACACAACAATAGGGGATTGATTATACTGAAACTTTCTCCCCAGTTTCAACCAAAGATGCTTTTAGGATTATTATGGCACTTGTGACGCACTTTGACATGTTTTTACATCAAATGGATGTAAAAACAACCTTTCTAAATGGTGGATTAAGTGAGGAGATTGTTATGCAGCAACCAGAAGGATTTGTAGAAGAAGATAGTAAGCAGTTAGTGTGCAAACTGAAGAAATCAATCCATGGTTTGAAACAGGCCTCAAGGCAGTGGTATTTGAAGTTTCATAAGATAATTACATCATTTGGCTTTGTTGAGAATAGGTTGGATGAGTGCATATACTTGAAGAACAGTGGGAGTAGATTTATCTTTCTTGTTCTCTATGTAGATGATATTCTCCTTGTTAGCAGTGATGAGAGCCTCTTACATGAAACCAAGAATTTTCTATCTATGAATTTCGAGATGAAGGATCTTGGAGAAGCTTCCTATGTCCTAGGTATTGAGATTCATAGAGATAAAGCACGAGGGCTGTTAGGTTTATCGCAGAAAGCTTACATAGAAAAGGTGTTGAAAAGGTTCAATATGCAGCAAAGTAATAGAGCAGAAGTGCCAATTTCAAAGGAGATAAGCTAAGTCAAGAAGATTGTCCAAAGAATGATTTTGAGAAGGCAGAAATAAGAGACAAGCCATATGCTTTAGTTGTAGGAAGTATCATGTATGCACAAGTGTGTACACAAACAGATTTAGCTTTTTCAATCAGCGTTTTGGGAAGATACCAAGCTAATCCAAGTTTAGTTCATTGGCTACCGAGAAGGTTCTTAGATATATGCAAAGGACTAAAGACCACATTTTGGTTTTTAGGAGGATAGATGAATTAGAATTAGTTGGCTATTGTGATGTAGATTTTGTAGGATGTGTAGACACAGCTAGATCAACTTCTAGTTTTATTTTTATGATTGGAGGTGGAGTTGTTGCTTGGAAGAGTGTGAAGCAGTCGACAATAGCTACATTTACCATGTATGCAGAATTTATAGCTTTTTATGAGGTTGCAAACCATAATAGTTGGCTTAGGAGCTCTTTATATATATTGAGCATTAAAGTTAAACCACTCAGTAGTTATAAAGTGGACCATTCATATATCAAGAATAATACTTCACAGTTTAGCACTTATGATATATGCAAACATAACCATGACTTGCTGGTACTCTATGTGGATTTTGTTGCTTGTGGTGATTGTAGGTGGATGATACCATATCATTTGGATATCATGTCTGCAATCCTATGAGTTGATGAAATTTGACACAAAGTTTGATATAGATATCCTTATCAAATGAGCTTTCCAAACTGTGCACATAAGGAACCGATTCTGAGGCTGTAAAGAAGTGTTTTAAATAGATGTTGCACTCAAGTGGGAGAATGTAAGACCCTAATTGAGTTTGCATCTATTTCAAGCACAGTATCTGTTAAGGAATAAAAGTGGAAAGTTTTTATTTGATTAGCCAGATACTTGGAGGTGAAGAAGGAATGAAATAAAAGAAGATATCTATCCTATTATGTCATGGATTCTAGAGGTGATTAAGGCATGATTTAGGTAATCTTTTATGGGCAAGAAACCTAGGTCAAATCACCTATAAAAACAAGGTTTAGGTCCCCGATCTTATATACATTCAAGCATACAAATCCTACCCCATATTAGGAGTGCATAAGGCGTGTAGAAAGATTGGAAGACCTTTGCTTGCTGATCAAGATCTTTTCTGTCCAGTTCTCATGGCTTCTCAAGGTTAGTACTTATAGCTTGTTTGATCTTAAAGTCTAACAGGATATGCAGCACACGCATGATGTGTTACAACGTGCATGTGCTAGTTATGTATAATAATATCCAAAACATCCAAAATGGAAGATTGAATCGAAACCTATATGTTTGTGCAAATAATTTCACGGGAGAATATTCGTTTTTAGATCCTTCAACCTTCGATCTTCCTTCTCTCTCCTCCTCGATTCTTGTAAAAAAGACTGGAATAAATAGACCACAACTAGGGGGTGTTGGCCAAAGGTCCTTCGATGCCTAAGTTAGTTCGAGTGTTTGTAGGAAAACAATAGCTAAGCAAAGGATACAAAATTAATATATATGGTGTGAACCAGGTGGCCGGAGCCGTGTGGACAAAATATGGAGAGTGAAGAGGGAGAGAGCTTTGGGTATTTTTCTCGGGTATTAGGAGTATGTTTAGATGTACCTTGAATGATGAATGAGGTCGTCTATTTATAGGAGCCTCGAGGCTAGGGTTTCGTAGAGAATATGATGAATTTATTCTCTACCCAAATTTGTAGGGATCAAGTCGGATTTGATTATATCTCTTTATTGAAGATAATATCTGATTTAATGATATTATCTTATCTTTATTGAAGATAATATCTGAATTAACGATATTGTCTTCTCTTTATTAGGATAATATATGAATTAATGGTATTATCTTATTAAATAAAGATAATATCCTATTAATTAAGATATTTATCCATATTAATTAATTGGCCAAATAAACTGGTTCAATTAATTAATTTAAGAGATAATCTTCTTTTCCACGTGGCGTGCTGTGATTGGAGATGAAAATATCTGCTACCACACTATATATGGCATCAAAGCATTTCCACTCTCTGTTTAATTGATAGAGAGCCAACAGAAGCCTAAATATTATTCAAAACCCTAACCACCCCATTCACCAGAATTCTAAATTCCTGAAAGAGAAACATGACCTGTTGAGTCTGAAACAAACAAGAAAGAGAGAGAAACTACTTGAGAGAATTATTAGAAATTAATAAGAAGTAGAGTAAAGATGTGCAAGTTGCTCCTCTTTATCATGACCCTGTAGTGGTAGTGATTTTGATCGGGGTGTTATTTGGGTTGGGTCCGTTTGACAGGATAAGGCATTATCACTCGAACCAGAAGCTATCTTTGGATTTCTGCGATCCAAATGAGCATAAAGGATATTTATCATGTAGAAATAATGGGACTGAAAAACGCTTCTTGGATTCTGAGTCACCTCCAGCCAGCAGAAGTCTATTGAAACCAAGGATGACTTTTGATCAGGGTGGTAGTGGTGATGATGCGTCTGATGTTGATAACAGATCAGAGGCCGACGATGAGGCCAAGGACGAGGCTGAGGAGGAGGAGGAGGAGGCCAAGGAGGAGGTCGAGCAGAAATCTACTGACTTCTGACCTTGACAATAATGATTCCCAAATCCGAGTCCTGTAAATATTTAATGCTAGTTTTTTTAGGTTTGGTTTTTTTCATTGTTTTTGTTAGGCTTCTGGGTTACTTTGCATGCATTAACACTTTAGAGGTTGATCTCAGAATTTATGTTGCCCCTTCTTTGTTTGTTTTGATTTAGCAGTCCTTGATTTGTATTTCCTCACCCTTTTTGTTTATGTAATTTTTGCAAATTGGCGATTAATGGTTTCAAGGGTTAACATTAACTTTGCCGAAATTATGTTTTTCAACAAATTTTTCGTACCTGGATAATGCTAAAGAAAAGTTTGAATATCATTGCTAAAGACTTTGATTTTAATTTTTTTTTCTTTATTTTTTGTGTCAAATATCATGTGGCACATTAAATCATCTTCGTTTATCCTTCTTTTAAGTTTGGCCTTATCACTTGTAACTTGTCACAACCAAAACATTTGGGTTGTAATCGAATTTATTACTTGAATTTGAGTACAAACATCTAAAAAATTAGAATGTTTGCATGCTAGCTATAGAATCTCTTCGCAGGTTGCACATTGCATGGCATGGCACATTTCTAAAGAGATGGCAGAATTTTCAGTGCCAAAAAATGATTGAGCCCAGATTTTAGAGCCCAAAAAAGGATGTTTCACCTAAACCACTGCCCATATATACATGTTCGAGTTTTAAGGCCTTTTACCCCTCATGCCAAACCCCATCCAAAATAAAAAGAAGCCATGAATGGACACGAAGAAAAAGGACGTAGACAGTGGAAACTTCTGGTTGTGATTAGTATGTTGTAGGAATTATAGTCATTTTTGACTTCATAGAAGGTCTTTTCACCAGGCAGGCATGCAGTTGCTTATAAGTTTGTAAGGAATGGAGTTTTCTTTTGTGTTTGTTTCCTCAATAGCTTGTTCATACTGTTTTCACATAAAAAGAAGTAGCATGCGTGACATAATGGCTTGGGGACCCAATTAATCATTTTCTCTCATGCAAGATACCATAATCTTTTCGTCAAAAGAACAGGAAGATCAAAGCATGTGTTTCTATAATATCCATAGGCTAAAAAGTCAAGGTTTATATAGTTCTGGTGTTAATAACTTAGTCCATATAGAACTCATAATGAGGGTGATGCATTACCATCTCAATATCTTCATCTTAAAAAGTATAACATTTTGGATTAGTATAACAACTCTTGGGCACCATGCCCTTATATTTGTAAGGGAAAGTTGAAATCCATGAGTTAAGCTAAGGATTATCTCGATGGATGAGCTAGCTACCTTTAAGAAGAAAGAGCTACTAATACTCATATCGCAAATTACGTGATGAGTGCTGTTGACAGAAGAGTTACAATAAGTTATACTCATAGATAAAGATCTTTATTGGGTACCATTTTATCGCAGAGTTGATTTGACAAGGATAAATTCTTTTCTTTGTCCTTAACTGTAACAAATTTGACCACAGGGTACATGCTTACAAGAGAAGCCTTCTCCCCACCAAATAATATAACTTTAACTAATCCAAAAACAAAAGTAATTAGTAAAGTAATGTAATTATCTAAGCCCATAATTTGATAAAGAGGGAAACCTTCCACTGAAGTGGTCCATGAAATGGGGTACAAAATGTAAAAAAGACTCGAAAAGCTTTGCCGCTGCAATGATTTGAAAGTGGGGGATCCAACGTTCGAAAGTGGACCTAATTGGACTTTGCCTCCCTCTCGTTCATTTCAAAAAAACCTAACGTATACTTTCATTCATTTTGCCTTTATTCCATGAAGAATGTGACCCAGCCACCACCAGCTCAAAGAAATTCATTGAAAGCAGCATACTTTTACTTTTCCTGATTGACACCAACCAACCACAGTCATCAGGACAAATGGGTCATTTAATCAAGATTCATCTTCAGTGTGAAGGAAACAACCATTGTGTTACTGATATTATTACTCAAATTAAAATTGATTAAATCTTACTGAATAAATATTAATTAAAAATATGACATGAGTATGCTGCATTATTATTTTAATTTGTCAGTGGAATCTAGGAAGATTAATTTCTCATCAACCACCATTTTCCTCACCAAACACTTGGATATTGGTGAGAGAAAGTATGGCCATCTTTGGCAGGTCCTTTAGCTAAAATCTTTACAACAATTATCGCGGATTAATTAGAGAACAAGGGGATTCACTATATAAAATAAAATAATGTAACAAAGTATGTTGTGTTGTCAGATTGCTAATATATATCATATTTTTTATTAGAAATTAATTAATAATGATCTAATTTTAACAAAAACGAGACATGCCTAAATTTCTCTAATAAGATTTATTGAGCTTACTTTATGTAATTGCCATTCTATTTTGCTTTCAGACCAACAAAAAAAAGTCATGAGAGTGGCGCTAAAATCGATAAGTCAACTAGATTAGGGCAAGATCAAGATTAATCAACCAACAAACTGAATGATCAATATAATTAGCATCACTACACTAGATAGCAACCGTATCATATCCAAAACAAAAGACGGCATTGTATTTGGCCAACACCATGAACATGAAGCATATGGAGAGGCCTAGCCATGCCACATTACATTATTATAGTCCAAGGTCGACAAGGAACAATGCTTTCATAAAAGCATATAGTCCAAGTGCCCATCATTTTGGGCAGATCCTGCCGTTCAGTCCAAAGATCAAAGGGCCCAGCAGGAGACTACCCCATAGCCCCTCATTTGGGTTCACCCCTGCCACGTGGAGGGACAAGATCCAAGTCAAACTCAATCAACTTTGTTTTCTTTTTCTTTTTTTTTTTTTTTTTTTTTTTTTTTTTTTTTTTTTTTTCAGGGGGTTTAGGCTAAGCTAAGCTAAGGCCCCTCAATCCCATGAGACAACTACGTTTCAATTTCAGTGTCTTTTAATATTTCACTTCAACTGGCCTCTCTCACTTTCTCTTCCTCTCACATAGGAGAGAGAGAGCATTCAATGAGCTTTCTACTGAAGTTTGAATGATCACTTGACAAGCACACACGAGAAGCTTGAGCTTCCACCTTCCATTAATTTCTTACTCAGATCAGATCTTAAAGTTCACTACAAGCTGAGCTCAATTTTCATCAGCTCCAACTCAAAAACACCATTTTTGCTCTCTTGGGCTGGTTCAGTTTTCAGAGTTCTCAAGGCCCTTTAGAGGTAAGAGCCTCACAAACACACTGCAATCACTCAAATCATGATCAAATGTTTGTTTGCATTGTTTCACTTCTTCCATCAAACTCTGTTTTTGCAAGATTTTAAGTTCTCTTATACGTACCAACTTAAGCTGATATGATTCTGTGTAAAATAATTAGTTTTATTTACTTATTAATCTGCAGTTGTATTTGTTTAAGAGAATCAACACAGCAGAATAAAGAATAATAAGTAGCATTGGTTCTTGGAGGCCTCAAAATGCCACAAGAAAGCAACTCAAATAATTCAATCTTCAGCTCATCACCTTGCAAGAACATGAGAGGGCTCAAGGCTTTGGTCTCTAACAATGAAGCTCCATTTGCAAACGCTGAGGAATTCATCAATGACTATGAGTTGGCTCAAAGAAAAGCTGAAGAAGCAGGTACAACTACCATGGGAAGTGTCTGCATTAGTTTTTTTTTTTTAATTTTCATTCTAACCCAATATATATTTAAAAACCAGTAGACTCTTCTTCCAAGATTTTAGTTCTGAATATTTATTTCCAGGAGATGGCATTTTCTGGTTTTAAATTTGCCTAAATTCTCTGACAAAACATTTTGTCTTTGAATAAAAAGAAAATTTGTCTTAATTCATACGTGTTTTGGGGAAAGTGATTTGGAATCTTTGTATACTTTGGCTCATTGGGGGGGAGCTTAGATAATAAAATAATGTTAGATGAAGATCCAACGGTGAATATAGTGTCAGCCCTACATGTGATAACATAATACACATATTCATATAAAACAATAATTTACTTTTTAAAAGATTTGTAGAACTCTTCGAACAAATATAAAGTATTTTCTAGATAATGATTTTAGTTGGAAAAAAATATATATATATATATGAAATGAAAAAGTTATGTAGCACGTCATAATGTTGCGCAGTATGCTAATGGGGTGTGGTAATCGATCAGTTATGATGATTTGGACCTACCAATAAAGGGTGGGTCCAAAATAACCCATCTAAAATCTAATATTTGTGTTTCTACACTACAATATTCATCATATTAATTCGCCGAAAGAAGGGTTTTGGATTAGATTAAGTTTTCATAATTACTCTTTGATCCTTGATTGTGACGGTTAAGGTGCCATCATCACTGTTTTTGGTAGTGTAATTAAGCACTGCAACCACTGGTGCACTGATAGCTATAGTGCCAACTTGTTTAAACTTTGGAGTTTGAATTTCAAGAAATGACTGAGATGACTCCGGATGAATTTATTTAAGTCCCCCAGAGTTATGCAGTATTCTAAGCCAATCACACAAGGTCGTGCGTTTTAACTATTTTATATGACAGTACTTGATTGGCTTGGAATGCCGTCACAATGACATCTCTTCGCATGAAAGTTAGTGATGAAATGCTATAGCTAAAAATGGCAAGAAAAAAAATGGGCATATTAGTTTTTGGAAAATGAGATTGCCATCCTCATATGAAGTTTAAACCCAAATTTCAATAAATAAAGTTTGGTTCTTCAATTTGGTGTGATTGTGTGTTGATAATGGTGATTGTGTTATTTAAGCTTCAAGGAGATACCAAGCAGCAGAATGGCTGCGGAAGATGGACTATGGGGCATCAGAAACCCTGTCCAAAGAGCCTTCTGAAGAAGAGTTCCGCCTTGCACTCCGCAACGGTCTTATTCTCTGCAATGTCCTCAACAAAGTCAATCCTGGAGCTGTTCTCAAGGTTACAATATATTCATATTATTAGAGTCTTTATCTTATGTACATATGAATTCCCAGTTGTTTTTTCATATTTTTTATAATTTATTTATGGAAATTCCCAGTTGTTTTGATAACAAGGAATGTGCTACAAAATTTCTGGGTTTAAATCTAAATAGGTGGTGGAAAATCCCATTATTGCGGTTCAGTCGACAGAGGGGGCAGCACAGTCTGCAATTCAGTATTTTGAGAACATGAGGAATTTCCTGGAGGCCGTTAATGACATGAAGCTCTTGACATTTGAAGCTTCTGATCTGGAAAAGGTTTGAATTTATTTTTTTTGAAAATTTGAAAGAGGGTTGGATTATCTGTCAAAGTTTGCACACATTTGCAATAAGACATGCAGGTCAGTTGTTGTTACTGCATTTGAATTCAGCATGAAAATAAACCTACTTTTATAAAAGATGCTTGTTAAGGTTTTTGTGTGGTTCCATCTGTCCTGCATTTGTAGTACCTTTTATATGTTTTCTGCTATTGTCCCTTTCTGGATTTTGAGAGATTTTGATTTGCAGGGAGGCTCATCGAGTAAAGTTGTAGACTGCATTCTATGTCTCAAAGGATATTATGAATGGAAGCAAGCAGGTGGAATTGGAGTTTGGAGGTATGGAGGGACTGTGAGGATCACATCCTTCCCAAAAGGGTCACTATCCTCCTTAGGTAGTGAAAGCGCTGACGAGTCCATAGATGAATCCGAGTCATCTCAGTTTGAGCAACTTATGGAATTTCTTCATCTTTCTAGTGAGGTCTCAACTGAAGAATCCAGAGCTGCCAACGCTCTGGCTTTCCTTTTCGATCGTTTTGGACTTGGACTTATACAAGCTTACCTTCGAGAGACTAATGGGATTGAAGAGTTGCCCTTTAATGCAATGGTAGGTAAGATTCTTACTTTTAGTATGATTCTATGCTCATAAATTATAGAACACAGGAAAACTGTATAATTATTTTATACTTGCTGAATGAAAGGTTCTATTGTCTTATGGATTCTGATTTAGTTTAGTGGCAAAAATGTATAGATAATAGATACTTTGCTCAGTAAGGTAGTCAAGGATTTCTCAGCACTGCTTGTTTCTCAAGGCACTCAGGTATGAAAAAAATCTTCACTCGCAGTGTTTCTTGTTATTGTGTTGAAGTAAATCCATGGGATCAATTTTTTGGCTTAAGCAGGATCATCGTTACCGCCTGGAAATAATCTAAGATCTCTTTTTTACAACTTTATGCAGCTTGGCCTTTTTCTAAAGAAACTACTTAGAGGAGATATTGGTGTTCTATCAAAATCTGAATTTGTGGAAGCTATTTCACAATATCTTGGCCAAAGAAGTGGTTTGGTGTCAAATGACCTATCCAAATTCTGTATTTGTGGTGGGAGAGGTGAGGCTGTTCAGCATAATACGAGTCACTCATCTGTTCATGAAGAACTAATTGACATTCAACAGAAACAGCTGGAGGTCAGTACGCAATGTTCCATTTCCTGCACATAGGTTTTCTTCCCCCTCTCTCTTTTTTGGCAGAATGCAAGAAATTAATTTCCTATTTTCATTCCATGGATATCTTACTATCCTGTACTTTTTTTTGTCTGTTTTCGATATCTGTAGGAGCTAAAGTCATCTTTCCAAGAGACGAGATTTGAAGTCAAACAAGTTCATTCAAACTGGGAGGGGGAGCTTAGAAGGCTTGGTAATATTCTGAAGATTTTATCTGCCTTGAGCAGTACTTGTAAGGATTCTTACACTTTACTTTCTTTTCGGTCTCAGAGCATCATGTTAAAGGCCTTGAAGTGGCATCCTCTTCCTACCAAAAAGTTATAGAAGAGAACCGAGCTCTCTACAATCAAGTCCAAGATCTCAAAGGTGTCCACCTTATCCCAAATGACTTGTCTAGTGTTCTAGGATATGGAGCTTACTTAAAGAATTTGCTTTCTTGCAGGATCAATTAGAGTATATTGCAGAGTCAGGCCCTTCTTACCATGGCAATCAAATAGCCAGTCCACTGTGGATTATATTGGAGAAAATGGAACTATTATGATTGTCAACCCCCTTAAACAGGGCAAAGATGCAAGAAGGGTATTTACATTTAACAAGGTGTTCAGAACAAATGTCACACAAGGTATTCTATTGTAACCCAGAGTAGGGCTTTTCAATTGGAGTTTCTCATTTTTCAAAATTTGACATAGCTCAAATTCGAGTAATCGAAGTTCAAACATCTGTCTTAAAATGATTTTGAAACTTTGAGTAAATGTTATTTGAAATAAAATGAAGATATGCTACTACACTACTACTATTGTCTTGGAAAGACACAAATATGTAGTTTGTAAGATCAGCCATGAATGAGAATGTAACATTCTTTTTTAGTTTGTATGTCTGAATGTTGCTTGCCTAAGAAATTATTCATGATATCTCTTCGATGTTCTGTGCAGAGCATATATATGCTGACACTCAGCCACTGGTCAGGTCTGTTTTAGATGGTTATAATGCATGCATATTCGCATACGGGCAGACTGGTTCGGGGAAAACATACACAATGGTAGTGCCAGCCTATTTGAGTTGTGAAAATAGATGTGAGCGTTCTTTCCTGCACAAAATCTAAATTAAATGTTTCCCTTATACAGAGTGGCCCTGATTTGACAACTGAAGAGTCATGGGGTGTGAACTATAGAGCCCTGCGGGACTTATTTCAAATGTCGAAGGCCAGGGTTGACATAGTAAGATATGAAGTTGCAGTACAGATGATAGAAATATACAACGAACAAGTGAGAGACCTTTTAGTCAGTGATGGCTCTAACAGAAGATATCCTTACTATTCCTATATTGTTTCTCCAATTTGAGTCTGAACTCAGGTGTTACAAATCCTTAAGCTATATACTGTTCTGCTACTTTGTTTCCTTAACTACTTGTACGTTAGATATAAGAAACAAGTCTCAATTGAACGGCCTAAATGTACCTGATGCAAGTTTGGTTCCAGTGACCTGTACTCAAGATGTTCTTGAGTTGATGAAAATCGGCCAAAAGAATCGCGCTGTTGGTGCTACAGCTCTAAATGAGAGGAGCAGCCGGTCTCATAGGTAGAAGTTTTTTTTATATATCTTTTCTTGAGGTTTAAGCTTCATTTTTCTGAAACGGGGGTGTAAGTGGCATTTTTCTATTATAAATTCATTCTAATTAGTGAATATTTTTGGATTGGCTATATCTTCTGCAGTGTTTTAACAGTTCATATATATGGAAAGGAGTTGGCTACAGGATCTATTCTAAGGGGCTGCCTCCATCTTGTGGATTTGGCTGGGAGTGAGAGGGTTGATAAGTCTGAGGCCGTTGGTGAGAGACTAAAAGAAGCCCAGCATATAAATAGATCACTTTCTGCACTTGGAGATGTCATCTCTGCTCTTGCACAAAAGAGCACACATGTTCCCTACAGAAATAGCAAACTGACTCAAGTCTTGCAAGATTCTTTAGGTAAAGTTAAACATATTCTTAATATTTCTAAGTTTATGTATAAAATATATTTATTGAATATAAGTTTCGTGTATGCGTAGGTGGAGCTGCCAAAACAATGATGTTTGTACATATAAATCCTGAACTCAATGCTCTTGGGGAGACAATCAGTACACTCAAGTTTGCTGAGAGGGTTGCGTCCATTGAACTTGGGGCAGCTAGATCGAATAAAGAAACGGGTGAAATCCGGGAACTTAAAGAAGAGGTTTATCTCTCTTTTCTGCTGTTCTACCTTCAAGTTTCAACTACAATTTATTATAGTGCTTAAAACCAAATGTGCATCTGTGTAGATATCAAATCTTAAACTGGCATTGGAGAGAAAGGAAGCTGAGTTAGAGCAAGTCAAAGGTGGTTCACGAAACACCATAGATTCCCAAAAGCCAAGAGCCGTTTCACCTTTTCGTCTTCCAAGAAATGGTATTAACAACATTTCAAGGCCTGAAACCTGTCAGCGACCCTTGGACGATACTAAGATTTCTGAGGTAATTCCTAAAACAATATCTTCTCACTCTAATCTGTATTTGATGGCATATTAAAGTATAAAATCCTTAGTTCATATAAAAGCTAATTGATTGAGAAAAAGGAGAAATGCACATGTGCTATATCATGAAAATGAAATTAGTTGAAACTTGAAACTATATTTTTCTTGAGAAGTAATGGTACCATCAGACTTGGGAGGTTAGCTAATGCAAACAGATGTAAATGTAACATGTCAATAGGAAGATAGCAGATGATAAAAATTCATCTCTTTTATGCCCAAATTTGGTAGGCAAGAAGTTGTTCTTCGGGCAAGCAGAGGAGGTCGAGGTTTCCCTCAGCATTCGCTGAGAAAGATATTACACCAAAGATGCCGTTACTAGGTGAAGAAAGATTGGTGATCTCTGGAAAGCCCAGATCACCATCCCCTCCAGTTAGGAGATCAATATCTACTGATAGAGGGGCCTTCATTAAAAGCAGAGTCAAGGCTGAGACAACCGAAAACCAACCAATTGCGAAACTACCATTTCCAGCTAGAGTACCTGTCAATAAATCACTTGCGACTATGCCAGTGATCCCATCAACTGACAACAACTTGAGGTTTTCACAAGAACCACCAAATCATGAGGATATATCTGATGCATTAAACAGCTTCCAGAAGGCCAACTTCAAGAAAGTTTGTCCAGAACAAGAAGATGAGCAGTTTAAGCAAGCTCTTAATGTAAGACAAGGCGGTATTAGAAAAATCAAGAACGAGAGCAAGGCTAAGGCCAAGCAGAACCGAATACCAGCTAGAATTCAAAAGTCTGATGCAGTGACAACAATGTTTTCTGACTTGGATAGCGGTGAAAAGGTGGAAGAAGCTCGAAAGAGTGACTTCTCTGAGCCAGAAAATGAGCATATCCCCATTGGTTCACCCATGCATAATTCTTTGATGGAGAAAAAGCTGCGTCACAACTTGCCAAGGAACTATATAAACCTGGAACCACGGTATGATTATCAACTTTCCCCTTGGGTGTCCAAGTATTGGATACTTTGATCACACACTTTTTCAAACCATTGTTTTAAGTGTAAAAGGAATGGCCTTTCTTTTCATATTTTTTTCTTTAATGCTCATTCCTTTTACATGCAGAGGCGTAGTGCAAGCAGCAGAACCCTTATTGGCTGGGAAAACTGAAAACAAGCTTCCAAATGGTGGAACACGGAATCAAAAAGAAGGCAGTAACATGTCCATGCCTGAATTCAGAAGAAGCCGGTCTACACCTCGTGGGAAATTTTTAATGCTACCTTGAGCAGTTTCAATGTATCTTTTGTATAGTTGCTATTTATGTTGGAGTTCCAGTTTGCATACAATTGTATCTGGACTCAGAGGATTTTACTGGAGGTGATATCCGTAAACCTATTCTATTCTCTTATACCAGACAATGAGCTCTGTAATTCGATTTTAAAGTAATTACTATGTATTTTTGGGATCACTCTTTTTGTAAATCAAAAACACAAAGTTATATATAGTGCTCGAGTTTTTCCTTATATTGGAAGCTAATTTTAGCTATTACAAATATCATATCTCTTTTGCATTGCATGTATAAGATTGCATATCTACATGTATAAGATTGTGTAAAAGAGGAAAAAGAAAATTTGGGTACCTTTGTGATGTTGGATTTAAAATGATGATGGAGAATTAGTGTTTTCTTTTGTGTACATGTCAGAAAAAACCCTGAGGTGAACCTTTTTAAGTAGACCATTTCTCTTTGGATGAATGTTCTTTTGGTACAAACTGCAGATGAATATGAATATGAATATGTTGCTTACGGATAATAGCTGCTAAAATTAGCAAAGAAGAAAAAGAAGGCGATTCTTCTAGTGCCAATAATATAGCCATGCAACTAGCCTGGAAGTTAAGATCAGACACCATATATAGCAAAATAGAATAGAAAGAATGACATTCTGTTAATCCAGACACCTCATTGACAGCTTCAGCAATGACGTTCTTCCTCAAAGCAACTATTAAGATCAGCTCTCTCAAAAGCTCCATACTGTAGTTTGGTAATGTCTCCAGAATTTGAAATCTTGGCTTCGTATTACATATTTTGTTCGTTCTGTCGAATTTTGGATCCAAGATAGCATGTAAGTCTTTTTGTTGATCTCATGCCTGCAGCCTATATCTCCAAGAGATTATGGTGCATGCTTACGTGATTTGGACAAGGTAGATAATGAAGCCTCTCTTTTCACCGTGACAAATGTCTCATCAACTTGTTGAAGCCACACCCTTTTCAATCCCAAAATCACCATCTGCCGAGAGAGTGTGCCAGGAACAGGAAACAGATAAAGCAGCTCTACAAAGCGCCATCACCTATGTCTATGAAGCCAAACTAGCAGAATTGTACTGCAATGTCACAGCAACATGGTGCAAAAACCACACCAGCCATTCCCTCTGCATCACAATGGAAAAGCCATGTCAAAATAATCAGTGCTGCACTTGCAAGATTGACTTAAACTCTTGTCAATTTTGGGGCAAGAAAGGTCTCAAATCCTTCGAGGTAGATGGAAGACGAGTAGATGTGTACTGGGATTTTCGACAGGCAAAATTCTCCAGCACCCCAGAGCCATGCTCAGATTATTATGTCGCGCTGGTGTCCAAACAAGAGGTGGTCTTACTGCTAGGGGATTTAATGGAAGATGCTTATAAGAGGACCAGATCAAGAGCATCATCAGAAAAGGCTAAGTTGATGTACAAGAAGGAAAATGTGAGTGGGAAAAGATTGTTCTGCACCAAAGCCATGTTGGAGGAAGGGAAAAAAGAACATGACATAGTCATTGAGACATCATTATCCGGGCCTGATGAGCCTGAAATATGGATTAGCATAGACGGGACGGTGGCCATTCGGATTCTGAACTTGCATTGGAGGTTTAGAGGGAATGAAACTGTGATGCTGAATGATGTCCCAGTTGAAATTTTCTGGGATGTGCATGATTGGTTGTTTAGTAGTTTAGGCACAAGCCATGGCTTTTTTATCTTCAAGCCATCCAGACTAGATGGAGACTACAGCAGTGGCAGCCCCAGCCAATATAACTCACCAAAAGGGAGCTCATCATCAACCACAGGGTTTTGCCATTTTCTTTATGCTTGGAAAACTGAGTGAGACTTGTTGAGTAAGTTAATGTTAATTCATCTTTCCAATTCGTTGTTCATGGCTCCATGGCACTTCTTTTCTTTATATGTTTTGTTACTTTAGAGCATCTCCAAGGGAGATGTCAAATATCAAACATCAAATTTAAATTTGATGGCTGATGTGGCAATTTAACATTTACACAACTTTACACTCCACCCGATATGTCAAATGAATAATTATTGTAACAGTCAAACCATTTAAGATAAAGAAGAAAAAAAATAAATAATGAAAATAATAAATGAAAGTAACAGCCAACTATCTTTTAAAAATAATAAAATATTCATTTGACATCTTGCTTTTGGAATGTCAAAAATAACATCTCAACCTCCAGCCTTTATTCTACATCAGCTTTGACACATCGGTTGGAGTGATGTGAGATGTTATGAACTTGTAATTTAGCAAGCTGAATCCGGAATGCAAATTAACAACAACAAAAAAAAAAAAAAAAAGAACAAAAAGGCTTCATAGTTGGTAGAAAAGAATGCCTTTTTTTTATATGATGAAATTAAAAAAATCGATATTCAATTTTTGATGAAACAGGGGGGAAAACCCAAAACTCATCGCTATTCAATTTTGATTTGCTATTACATTGCATTATGCGCTTGTTATATACAAGTGTGTATTTGCTAAGAAATGTGGCATATAATATGGACATGCCACATCATGTGGTATAGAAATGTGGGATAAAAATGTGGTAAATGTAGCATTACTCATTAGATATTATACATAAGAGTAATGCTACACTTACTACATTTTTATCCTACATTTCTATACCACATGATGTGGCATGTCTATATTATATGCCACATCAATTAAATCAATAAAGTGTATTTTAATTAAGACAATTAGAAAAACAAATACTGGAATAAATCATAAAAGAAAAAAAAATTAAATAATTTTAATTGATGTGGCTGTCCACCTCAGTTGCCATATAAGATGGTATAAGAATGTGGTATACAAATGTGGTACGAGTAGCATTATTCATATCTAATTTCCCATGAACTATACAAAATTGGTATGTCTATCGTTTCCGTCAGATTCCTAAGATTTCCATTCAAGATGCCGTCAAATAAAATTACGAATTCAACGTGTAACTCACTTTTGAGGGCCTCTTGGTCATTTCGCGTCATATTCTTTATAAAAAGTGACCCTTATATGTCATTTTGGAAAGCCATGTGCTCAACACTTTGACTCCGGGATCATGTGTCCCTAGTCTTGGGTCTTGGGTCCCCTGTTTGGGTTTTGATTCTCTAGTCCGGCAAAAAAAAGGAACTTGATTTGGGCATAAACTAGTCACTATATATTTCGTTTGGACGGAAGTCGATCTTGGAATGAATCATTTAGGCTTGAGAGGTTTAATGAGAATTGAGACCACAAAGCAAACCCATCCAGTTGTTGTACCCTTTTCATCTACACTGTAAATCACGCACCAATGAAATCTAAAACCCTATGCCAACCAAATTGGGTTAAGTATACTGTGAGTAAAATGTTGAGTTAATTAGGCATGAGACTAAGATCATATATGAACATACAAGCTAAAAGTCCCTGAAAAGGTTTCGTTAGCAGAATGGACCGCATATTCGAGATCGAAGCCCAGGCCCAAGGAGGAGCTCTCATCTGTATATTGTGAAGCGGCATAGGAGTTCCAATCGGCTAAAAATAAAGACTTTTTGTTTTTTTTTTTTTTTTTTTTTTTTTTTCTGCGAGTCCTCTACCGTGTGGGAGAAAATAAATTCAGCACCGATCCACCATGTTGTGTAATTTGATTTAGATGCAACAGATGTGGGGGATGCGTATTAACCAAACACGAGTTCGGATGCACACAATCCAACGCAAGTTTGGATGCACATAAACTTAATGCGACTTTGCCGACTTTTCATTCAATTGCGCATATTTCCATGATCACATGAATTGCAAAACAAGAAAAACATGGATCCTAACCATTCCACACCAGCATAGGCAAAAGAGGTTTGCACTAGAGAGAAATCAGATCATCAATGACGAGATAGACAAACTTCATGAAGTTGGGTTCAGCCGTGACATGTGGTGCCCAACGTGGATTTCTAATGTGTTGGTTGTGACTGAGAAGCATGGAAAATGGCGAGTTTACGTTGACTACACCAACTTAAACAAACCCTGCCCAAAATACTGTTCCTCGCTAACCAAAATCGATCAGATGGAGGATGTCACAACCGGTTATGAACTTTTGATTTTTCTAGGTATAACAAAATTCCAATGGCAATTGAGGATAATGATAAAACTACTTTCATTATCCAACACAGCTTGTATTTTTATATGGTGATATTGTTTGATTTGAAGAATGTGGGTTCAACATATCTACGATTGGTGAATCGCATACAAGCTAAACGGGTTGAGACTGGTTAGTATATGACACGCCTTTGGAATGCAATTCATTAGAAGAAATATTATGTTTAAAGTCATCTACTTATCCATCATTCCACATTTATATCTATTAAATAAAATTCACACTTTCCATTTAAATGTTAATTCACGCAATTTGCTTAAATTTGTCGTGAACCTAGCTATGGTTGAGCCTAAACTCAACCAAATCTAATCAATTGGATTCATGATCATCCTAACACTACTATGAGGTTACCAATCCTCTAGGAGAAATAAGTCGGATCCATGCTGATCCCAACACTACCCTGAGGTTACCAATCTTCTAGGGACAATCAGTCGGATCCATATAGATCCCAACATCAACCAAAGGTTACTAATCCTCTAAAACAATCAGTCGGATCCATGTAGATCCCAACACTACCCTTAGGTTATCAATCCTATGGGACAATTAGTTGGATCCATGTCAATCCCAATATTAACCTGAGGTTACCAATCCTCTCTGGCAATCAATTAGATCCACACCGATCTCAACATCATCTTCGAGTTTACCAATCCTCTAGGAGCAATCAATAGAATCTAAGTACACTTAAACTTGCACACATTATGAGAAATCAAACGGGAAGCAGACTCCTTCCAACTTTATTCAAAATTTCGAAAGTACAAGAAATAAAAAAAATATCATACACTAAGGCTTTAGATCCATATGCAGCTTGTCACATCCTAGGATCAGCTCTACCGTAACACGATATTGTCTGCTTTGGGCCCACCTCTCTACCCTCACGGTTTTATATATAGGAACTCACAAGCAGCTTCCCAGTGGGTCACCAATCTTGGGATTGCTCTAGCCCAAACTCGCTTAACTTCAGAGTTCCTATGACTCCGAAGCCAGTGATCTCCCAAAAGGTCTCATATTAGATGAAGGTGGGCATGTACATATAAGGCACATCACCCACTTTCCATTGGTCGATGTGGGATTATAATCCACCCCCCTTAGGGACCCGACGTCCTTGTCGGCACACTCACACCACATGGCAGAGTGGCTCTGATACCAAATTGTCACATCACAGGATTGGTTCCGCCGTATCATGATATTGTTCGCTTTGAGCCCCCATCTCTACCCTTACGGTTTTATTTCTAGGAACTCACAAACAACTTCCTAGTGGTTCACCCATCCTAGGATTACTCTAGCCCAAACTCGCTTAACTTTGGAGTTCCCATGACTCCGAATCCAATGAGCTCCCAAAAGGCTTCGTATGGAGGTGGGCATTTACATATAAAACACATCATCCCCTCTCCGTTGGTCGATGTGGGATGTTACACGGCTCCTCTGTGGGAAGACTCAATGACTGAATTTGACAATTGGATGTCCAACTTTGAATGGGTGTCCGAGTAAAGTCTAACAAAATAACTGAGAAAAGTGGTAAGACTTCCATTTTATATATGAGGGTTTAGAGAGTTTTTGGGAGTTTAGGATTTAGGGACGAAAATGTGAGCTTTTTTTGGACGAAAATGGAGTTTATGTAACCAGTTGCGCTTGCCTGCTGGCTTCAAAATTTTGGATTCTAGTTTTTCTCTGGAAAATGTTGTCATTAGTTAGTTTCTTTGTTTTTGCTAAGAATTCCTTTTTCTCCAAATTGTTTCATTGATGCTCATGCATCTTTATTTTTCCTGTTTCATTTTTTTTAAAGGAGGGTTATATCTTTGATCCTTTATTCGATATTTATATAAACTTTTGTTTTGATCAGATGGGAAGGCACGTGTTGATGTGTAGAGGAGATATATTTTTGCATTCATTCAAGATACAGATCGACAAGATCACTACACTAATTGGAAGAATCTGTTTGGTTAGAGTATATAACTAACTATTTTTAGCCAATTTGTTCATTAATTGGGGTGTTAATCTCTCTCTCTCTCTCTCTCTCTCTCTCTCTCTCTCTCTCTCTCTCCCTCCCTTCCTTTATAAGTGTTAGTCTTGTTCTTAATTAGTTTTTCACTGCTTAGTAGCAAAAGAGACAAATGAAATGTCAACTTTCACAGCCAATCAACAAATGAATAAGCTGCTTTTGCTTTGTTACGAATGTAGTTGATACCTTTTTGGAAGCCGTCACGGATCTCCTGAAAGTGAGCAAGAGCCACAACATGGTCGAATCAACCAAATGCCTTTTGAGGCGATTCAGAGTTTCCCTAAGGGAGTCACACTCCCTCTTCATATGGTAATAACTTGTCCAGGGATCATCCCTGATTGAGTATGAAGGGCCAAAAACAAAATAAGCCACCAACCATAGCAGTTTGGGATAATTTGCTAATGAAGTACATAGTGACGTGGGGTTTTAGCTCTTTGTTGAACCGCATCAATTACATACTCTTGTTTTGCGGATTTACGGACAAGTCAGCTTATCGGTTTAGTCAAACTTAACAGAGGGGCAGGAAATTCGAGGGAATGTAGTAATTTATTTTTTCCTCTACTACTCATAGTTAGTGACGTGGCAAGAGGAAAAAATGGGGAAAGGTGGGAGCAAATAAATTTGGTATCGATCTGCCATGTCATGGTATTGGATTTAGGCACCATCGATGTGGGGGATGCGTATTAACCAAACACGAGTTTGGATGTGCACCGCCTAACATGAGTTCAAATACGCATTACCTCAATGCAGGTTTGGATGTGCACTACCAAACAACATAGGTTCGGATGTGCACAACCCAACGATATGGGTTCAGAAGTGCACAACCCAACAACATGGGTTTTGATATGCAAAGCCCAACAACTTGAATTCCGATGTGCACAACCCAAAAACATAGGTTGGGCTACGTCAAGGCCTACTAAATTAGACGAACATCATCATACATGGGATCTACCTAATGCGACTTCGCTGACAATTCATTTTATTGCCAATATTTCTACAACCACATGAATTGCAGAACAAGACAAACATAAACGGTTGATCCCGCATAACTCTCACTGACGGGAAAATGGTGAACATGGGCATATGATATGGAAAGTAGAGCTTGCATCCTAAGGCTTTTGCCAGTTATAAAAGGGAGGCTTTACATCTGGATCTAGGGATGCGATTTTGAATTAACTCGTACACTTAAATACATACAAAAACTGACTTAAGTGTTGGACTAACTTTTGCAAGTACCCCACCCTCTCTCATTCGATTTTGGAGGAGCGTTGTTTGGAGATTTGATTCACTTATTGTGCGTGCGAAGTAAAGCTGAGAACCTATGGAAGATATTCTTATTGTAAGAATTTATGCTCCAACATATCGCTTTGCGAAAACCATTCATGCATATTCTGCATTGTTTCCTTGCTTCATAAAACAGTCGCTGACTTTAAGCTTTCCGAGAATTTAAAATTTTGAAAATAAAAGGAAAAAGCATTTCTTTTTTTTTTTTTTTTTTTTTTATTTTTTTTTTTTAATAAAAAAAATATAATATGTTTATGGCCTTTTATTCTTACGCAATAATATATTTCTACTACCCAAAGATTCAAAAAATACACGAAGAGAAAATGAGAGAGAACGTGAGGAAATAAGGGTTTCGGGAATTTGGGAATTTCAATAAACGCAAAAGGAAAAAGAAGAAATTGAGACAATCAACTTATGTAGGCTGGAAAATCAATCAACACTTGTGCTTGTGCCATTTCTTAGAAGCTTTGTAAGATGCGCTTGGAGTTCCACCTATACGATTGCTGATGCTACCTATGGAAACCTCTATTTTTCATTCAAGTGTGCAATTTGGGATGGGGAATGCTAGCAACCTTCTCTCTAACCTTCTCCTTTGCACCTTCTCTCCTTTCCTCATGACATGTGTCATTATCCTTACACTTAAAACAATGTAATTAATGCATTACACAAGCTAATTTTTGTTTTCCAAATTTATCCTTATTGAATGTATTGGTTTTTTTACAACTTTATTACCACCTATTAAATAAAAAAAAAAAAAAAAAACAATTTTATTTTATTTATTTATTTAAAAGTGTCTTCTTCTTTTTTTTCAAAAAGAACGTTTGTTTTTTTTTCCCACAACAAAAATGACAATAAACATAAATATTAATAACAATAAACATATCAGAAGAAAAAAAACAAAACAGTAAAACATAAATAACAACAAACATAACATAAATATTATAAGAAGCAAAAGAAAAAAAAAAGAACAATAAACATAAATGAAAAGAAGCAAAAGAAGCAAAATATTAAACGGACATTAATAACAATAAACATATCAATAATAGAAACAAAACCTATTTTCTATAAGAAAAAAAAAGGGGACATTAAACACATTTAAAGTAAAAAAGGTGATAAGAAATGAAGTTTTAAAAAGACTAATTTCTTGTAAAAAAAAATTTCAATATATTTAATAAGAGTAAACTTGGAAAATAAAAATTAGTTTATGTGATACATTAATGAAATTGTTTTAAGTATAAAGAAAGTGACACATGTCATGAATTAAATGGAGAAGGTTAGAGAGAAGGTTGATAGCATTCGTCTTTATCTATTACCATCATAATAACTCCACGGGCCGATGATTTTAAAAAGGCTTTTTATCACAAATGGTCCTTCACGTTTACGAAATTATCACGAATAGTCTTTGAAGTTTTTTTGTGACACTAATAGTCATTAACGTTTGGGTTTTTTTTTATCACAAATGGTCCCTGCCGTTATTAATTTTGTTAAGTGTGACGTGGAAGAGAAGTGGAGCTCACCTGTCCAATTACATTGTGACATATGGATAAAAAAATAATTTTTTAATTTTTTAATGAAAATTCTTTTTGTTTTATTTATGCAACTTTTCATCCCATTTCCTTACTCCGTCTCTCTCCCCCTCTGCCCTCGCTCTCCACCCTTTGCTCTCCATCTCTTCTCCCTGTCCTCTCCTTCTCCCTCTGTTTTTTTCCTTTCCCACAGCCACTTGCAAGAAAAAAAAAAGATATACAGTCGCTTTCCACCCTTTGCTCTCCATCTCTTCTCCCTGTCTCCTTCTCCTTCTCCCTCTGTTTTTTTCTTTCCCCTGCGCGCCTCCCTCTTTTCGCCAACCATTCTATTTCTCCCTCAGTCGCTGGTAGTAACGAATATGTTCATTCCCTATGCCAATTCTACCGCGACTACATAATCGAAGGCACGATTGATTTCATTTTCGGAAATGCAACTGCAGTCTTCCAAAACTGCACAGTAATTGTTCGAAAACCGATTCCCGGTCAGAAATTGATGATCACTGCTCAAGGGAAAACAGACCTAAATCAAAACACTGGCATTTCGTTGCAGAATTGTACCACTGTGGCTGCACCAGATTTCAACAAGACCGAGAGGCAAAATTTCACAACTTTTTTGGGTAGGCCTTGGAGAAACTATTCAAGGACTATAGTCATGAAGAGCTACTTGGGGGACATGATAAATCCACAAGAGTGGTCAAAGTGGGATGACTATAGAACTGTGGAAACTGTGGAGTATATAGAGTACTTGAATTTTCGACCTGGATCAGATACAAGGCACATGGTCAAATGGGGAGGCTATAAAAAGAATTGCAGTGAAGAGATTGTGATGCAGTTTACAGTTGGTTTGTTCTTACCTGGAGCAGGTCATTGGCTAAAGACAACATGCATTCCACTTTCTTATGGTTCATAAGGAGAAGGAGACAGGGAGATGGAGAGCAAAGGGTGGAGAGCGAGGGCACAAGGAGAGAGAGACGGAGTAAGGAAGGGGGATGAAAAGTTGCAGAAAAAATATAAATATGGAATTTTCATTAAAAAAATTATTTAATTATTTTTTTTATCCATATGTCACAATGTGATTGGACAGATGGGCTCCACTTATCTTCCACGTCACACTGAACAGAATTTTTAACGACATGGACCATTTGTAATAAAAAGCCCAAACGTAAAGGACTATTAGTGTCACAAAAAAACCTCAAGGACCATTCGTGATAATTTTGTAAATGTGAAGCACCATTTGTGATAAAAAGCCTTTTAAAAATTATTTACAAATAATCTTCATGCACTTCTCTTCAATAGGAATGTAGAGGAAAAAAATGATTAAAGAATAACTATTTTGAATTTTTTATTATAAAAATAATTATTCGAAATTGATTATAAAATAAAAAGAAAATGTGGGACAAATGTCAAGACAATAGTGCGTTAGCCCAAATGCAACCTTTGATGTGAGTGAGTGAGTTGCTAAATATTTATAATAAATTATAATAAAAATTAAAGCCGCTAGCGGATTAGGCGCTAGATTTGACGACCACGTGTTTTCTGCTCCAAATAACATTCACCGTACCTGACCCAAACAAAAAAACATTTTTTTAAAAATAATCTCAACATACCTACTATACCAAGCAACATACTTAAAGTAATTTTTATTTATATTTTTGGTAAAAAAATAATACCTCTTCACCAACCAGGTTACTTAGCATTAAATCCCCTTTATATCCTCCAAACAAAAGACAACAAATTATTTTTAAAATAAGTTTAAAAAGTAATTTTAAAATAAAAAGCGCTTTTAGGTTGTCATCAATCTTATCTTCGCCATCAATCACCATGCTCCTCATCTTCTTCCACCAAATCCCACTCTCCAATTTTCACAAAAAATACTAGTCACTATCTATCTCTCTCTCTCTCAACCACAAAACCATGCTCTCCTCAACACCATTTTCTCTCATATGCGCCATTCTTCTCTATTTGCCTCTCACCATAATCTTCACCATCACAAGCCCAACCGTCACCATAACCACCACCATCCCCACCCAAATCTCCGAATCCCCAAAACTCACCAAAACCTACCAAAAAATCAACCTAATTTCACCACCAAAATCCCTCCCATTAGATGACGACTCGCTTTTCCACCTCGCCGCCCATGTCAAGTCCTGCCTGCCCTGCTCCGATCGTCCCAAAATCGCTTTCCTCTTCCTAACCACCACCCCTCTTCCCTTCTCCCCTATCTGGGAACGCTTCTTCAACCAAACCCCCAAAACCTATTTCTCTATCTATGTCCACGCCGACCCGAGATTCCCCTATTACCTGCCGTTTTCTGGCATCTTCGCCCACTGGGTCATCCCCTCCCGACCTACCCAGCTATTCACCCCTACTCTCATCTCTGCGACTCGTCGTTTGCTCGCCCACGCCTTCCTCGATGACCCCAAGAATGCCATGTTCGCCCTTCTCTCTCCTTCCTACATCCCCATCCGGTCCTTCAACTTCACGTATCATTTATCTATAGTGCAATTGGTCTTTCCCTTGCTTGCTCTTTGATTTATTTTTTTAGATTGCTTAATCCTCTTAATTCAGCAATTTTAGGGGTTTTAGTCTAGCTCCTAGGTTTTTTAATCTCAAGCTCTCAAGATTTACCTTTTTGAATCATCTTTCTCACACGCATTGGTTTTTCCTACTTAATGCTAATCATTACTCTTAGCTGTACTAGCCTATGTATTTGGATTGCTTGAACTTTTCTGGTACCAATGCTAAGTATCTTATGCTTACTACTAATGCTTAGTCTTACTGTATATTTGTTCCCAAAATAAGTGCTCAATTGTTTGCCAATGCGTCCAAAGGGAAAGTGAGCTCCTCCCACTCTCCTTCTGTGTTAACAAAGGGAGGTTTATGTTTAGAATGGAAAATTTTGAGACTCGGATCACTGCAACTGCTCTTGCTTCTAGTATCCAAGGGCATTAAAAGAATTTTTGCCTTGTGGGGAAGGTGTTTAGGAAGTATGTCCCAGTAGAATTATTCGAAATAGGTTTAGAAATGATTAGAAGAGAATGCAAGGAGATTTCTCTATTGACCACATGGGTAGAGTGGTTTAAAGTTGAGTTTACAGATGAGGTGGAAATTGAGTATGTTCTTGAGATTCGTCCGTGGTTTGTTTAGGGCTTAATCTTTGCCCTGAAGAGATGGACCCTTGAGTTCTCACCCTTTTATGCCACTGTGGACTCCATTGTGTGCTGGGTAAGAATTCCATTTCTTCCCCTTCAATTTAGAGATGAAGCAGTCTTACATTATTGGTGACCCTCTCGGGGTTGACCATAATCTTCTTACTCGAAGCCATGGGATGTTTGTTAGAGTCTGTGTGACACTTGACTTGACCAAACCCTTGAAAAGAGTCTTGGTGTTTAGGGAAGAGAATGATGAGATAAGGAGCCTCATTATCTATGAAACCTTATTTTGCTAAAATATGAAAACTATAAGAGAATATTTGTTTATGGAAATTTACTGTGTATTCTTCTCCTTGTAGGAGGTTATATTTATAATACAACGAAACCTAAATGGGCAAGTAAATAATAAATTCCTAAATCTATTTACAGTAGGAAATCAATAATTAAAATAAATCAATACAATTATAATAGGAATTCTTGGTGTGTAAGGAAAGTAAGTCAATATCAATAAGTTACGCCAACACTCCCCCCCACGTTGGTGCATAGATATCGCCAATGCTCAACTGATTCAGTGAATTGTGGAATGCTTTACTAGATATCGCCTTTGTCAAATATCCGCCAATTAATCCTCAGATTTCACAAAAGGAAACTGAAACACTTTAGCCTCAAGCTTTTGTTTGATGAAGTGTCGATCCACCTCAACATGTTTAGTACAATCATGCTAAACTAGATTCTGTGCAATGGCTATAGCAGTCTTGTTGTCATAAAAGAGATTCATTCTGGATGTAGGTTTATACCCAAGTTTAGTAAGCAACTTTCGTAACCAAAGAAATTTCACAAATCCTTTTAGTCATGCCTCTGAACTCGGCTTCTGCACTGGATAAAGCTATTACATTCTCTTTCTTGCTTCTCCATGTCACGAAATTACCTCCCACGAATGTAAAGTAATCCAATGTGGATTTTCTATCTGTTACATTACCTGCACAATCTGCATCTAAATAACCATCAATATTTAGATGACCATGCTTTGAGAACATAAGTCCTTTTCCAGGTGCAAACTTCAAATATCTAAGTATCCGAAGAACTGCATTCAAGTGGTCTTCACTTGGAGAGTGCATAAATTGACTGACAACGCTCACTGCATAAGCAATGTCTGGTCGAGTATATGACAAATAGATCAATCTTCCCACTAACCTTTGGTATCTTTATTTGTTAGTTGGAACTTGATCCTGATGTTCTCCAAGATGATGATTCTGAACAATAGGAGTGTCCGCAGGTTTGCAATCTAGCATTCTTGTGTGTGTCAACAAGTCCAAGACATATTTCCTTTGAGAGAGAAATATGCCTTGTTGTGATTGAGCCACCTTAATTCCCAAGAAATACTTAATTCCACCTAAATCCTTCATCTCAAACTCAGTAGCCAAATAGTATTGTAGCTGTGATATTTCCTGTTTATCATTCCCAATAATAATCATATCATCAGCATAGATTATTAATGCTGTTACCTTCCCTTTCCGATGTTTTAATAACAAAGTATGATGTAAGTTGCACTGTTTGAAACCATTGTTCTTCATTGCCATGGTGAATCGTCCAAACCATGCACATGGTGACTGTTTCAATTCATACAATGCTTTTCGTAACCTGCAAACTGTTCTAGTCTAAGTAGTTTTATATTCATGAGGAATGTCCATATACACCTCCTCCGTGAGTTCGCCATATAGAAAAGCATTTTTTACATCAAACTGGTGTAGTGGCCAATTCAAATTAGTTGCAAGGGACAATAAGACTCTGACGGTATTTAACTTTGCAACTGGAGTAAAGGTTTCTTCATAGTATATACCATAGGTCTGTGTGTACCATTTTGCCACAAGTCTTGCCTTGTATCGCTCGATAGATCCATATGCATTGTGTTTTATAGTAAACACTCATCTACATCCGATAATATTTTTTCCTCGTGGTATATAGTCTCCAATGTCCAAGTCTAATTTTTCTCAAGAGCTTTCATCTCATCTTTTATAGCTTTGACCCACTTAGGATCTTTCAATGCTTCAGAGACCTTGGTTGGAATATGGATAGCAGACAACTGATGCACAAAAGCCCTGAGTGGTTCAGACAACTTCTCAGTGGATACATGATTTGCAATTTGATACTTAGATGTCTTGCCAATATCAGGTGAATAACGGTTTGGTGGCTTCCCAAGATTTTGCCTAAAAGGTAATTGATATCCAATTGTTTTATCCTCTAAATGTACAAGTCTAGTAGAAGTAGTTACCTCAAGGATATTATCAGGAGATTGGTCTGTTGGTACTGTTGAGTTAGAGGGGGGTCTTCATCTTGTTGTTTTGTATTGTCTGTAGGTGTAAGACTCGGATCAGAACTATCTTCGCATGGATCAGGTGGGTCAGGCAATTGATCGCTTTTCGATAGAGAGTAATCTCGTGCTCCAGACTCAGGACGATCGATCATTTCTGTACAAAGGAGAATTTCTTCATTTTCCAAGTTGCTCCAATTCTACTCTTCACTTCGTATCTCCCCCTGAAGCGTAGAATTGGATGAAGGGTCATGGAAGAACAACTTAGATTCCAGAAAAGTCACATCCAAAGTGACATAGGTACATCGGGTAAGAAGGTGATAACAGCGGTAGCCGTTCTGATAAGTGGCATAACCCACAAAAACAAAACGAAGCGCACAGGGATCAAGTTTGCTACGTTGATTTTTATGGAGATGAACAAAAGCCATACATCCAAAGATTCGGGGTATAAGTACCAAAATAGAGGGCAGAATTCTGTGTTGCGCAAGCACCTGTAAAGGAGTTTTAAAGGTCAATACACCAGAAGGCATATGGTTGATCAGGTGAACTGTGGTGACAATAGCATCATCCCAGTGATGGTGAGGAACATGAGCATCAATTATAAGTGCTCGAGCGGTTTCAAGAAGATGTCGATTCTTTCTTTCAGTAACACCATTTTGTTACGGTGTCTGAGGACAAGTCATCTCATGGATAATTCCATATTGTTGGAAGTAAGTCTGAAAGTTATGATTGACAAATTCTGTACCATTGTCTGAGCAAAGAATCTGGATATGAGCATTAAACTGAGTTTTCATCTGTTTATGGAAGGACTGAAAATGGGGAAAACACTTCGTTTTTATTCTTCAGCAAATAAAGTCATGTCATCCATCTACAATCATCTATGAATGTGACAAACCATCGAACACCAGAAGGAGCAGTGATAGGTGAAGGTCCCCAGACATCATAGTGAATTAACGTAAATGAAGTAGTACACTTGTTCATACTCAATGGGTAGGGCACATGGTGACTCTTGGCCAAAATACAAGTATCACATGTGAAGTCGAAGTCCTTGAAACCTGTGAATAAATCTGGGATAAGATGCTTCATATAACTAAAAGATAGATGTCCCAATCGACAGTGCCACAACCAGATTTGCTTTTGTTTGCTATCAAAGGGATGCGTCACACTGTTAGCCACGCCGGGACTGAAGTCATCGACATAATATAGTCCCCCTTTCTTAGGTGATCAAAAGGTGAAGAGCATATTTGTCATCTTTAGGTGATCAATATGAATTTCCTACAAATGGAGAGACTCCCTCATGACCCCAACTTCTTCCCTGCTGACTTGGTGATTGATGAGGAGGTCCAGAGTCAGTTGAGGGATGATGTTATCTTGGTGTTCCCCCAACCCAATGCAACTACTGGAGTGGATAATGCTACTAAGAAGGAGGCCTCTGTTATGAATCAAGAGGAAGAGTATGAACCTGAGTGGAATGTGGTGAGAAATAGGAAAGCGAAAGCTAAAGCTGGCATAAGAGATGGGAAAACTTTCAAGGAGACTGCTAAAGGTGTTAAAATTGGAGGTATGAGTGAAGGGTCTGTGAGGCATGCTGCTGCTATGGATGTTCATTCTCTAAATGCAAGGGGGAAAGATGTGCTTGAGAAGACTAGTCTGAGTCAAGATGCTGCTAGTAAGAATCAACTTATGGCTTATAAGAGCCCTAAGAAAAGAACTCTAGAAGAAGTTGAGGAGCATGAAGAAGAATCTGATTCCACTTCTTTTCTTTATATGCAATTCAGCAAGTTATTTTATTAACTTGTAATTCAGCAAGCCGAATTCGGAATGCAAATTAACACACACACACACACAAAAGAGTCCATAGCTTCAATTGGTAAAAAAGAAAGCCTTTTCTAAATGATGAAATGATTTTCTTTTTCTTTTTTTTTTGGTGAAAAAAATGGATATTCAATTTTAATTGCCTATTACGTTGCATTATGCGCTTGTTATATACAGGTGTGTATTTGCTATTATGTATAAAATCTAATTTCCCCATGAACTATACGAAATTGGTCTATGTATCATCACAGTCATATTCTTAAGATTTCCATTCAAGATTCCGTCAAATAAAGTCATGAATTCAACGCCTAGCTCATTTTTTATGGCCTCTTGGTCATTTCACATCATATTCTTTATAAAAAGTGGCCCATAAATATCATTTTGAAAAGTCACGTGCTCAACTCTTGACTCAATTATGAGTCGGGGATCCTGTGTCCCTAGTCTTGTGTCTTCGGTCTCAGGTATGGGTTCCGGTTCCATAGTCCGGCAAGAAAATGGAACTTGAGTTGGGCCTAAATTAGTCACTATAAATTACGTTTGGACTGAAGTCGATCTTGGAACGGGTCATTTGGGTTTCAGAGGTATAGTGAGAATTGAGTCCACAAAGCAAACCCCATCCAGCAGTCCGGCCCGTTTCATCTATACTGTAAATCACGCGCCAATGAAATCTAAAACCCTATGTCATACAAATTGGGATTTTTCTTCCTCGCAGAAAATTAACAGATATGGCAATTCACGCTGGAATTCTCTGCTTGAAAACCCAATTTCAGTTACCCTGTCGAGTGTTCGTCATGTCCTGGTGAGAAATTCTCGCACTTTATAATGTTTCTATCTTTAGTATGGTTCCCGAGAAAATGAAGGAAAAAAAAAGTTACTTTCTTTTTACCGTTAATTTTGAAATTTTAAATAACAAAACCCCAAATTTGTTAACAAGTTGAGCGACTGCGACTCTTGATTCTCATGATTCAAACACTGAATGATTGAATTATCCACTTTTCTTCTATTTCCTATGTTTTCTCAGGAACCAAACAGAAAATTCAGCTCAGAAACTGAGTTACTGATCGTTCAAAGTTCTTGGTGATTAGTTACCTTGTCGTACTTAATACGAAATCTGTCATTTGTAGGGCTAGGGAGAAAATTGCAATCAAGTGCTTGAAAAGCAGAGAATACAGTTCATCGGTTCCCGTTAGGTACATTCCCAAGAAATCTTCTCAAGTTAAAAAGTCGGAGAATTATCAGCAGACAAAGGTTTCTGAACAAAAGAAGTCCCGTGAATTTCCAGATGCGGGTGCATTGAAGAGTGAGGTTAAACAATGTGGAAGAGGTGTGCAGAAAAATAGGGGCTTCGATGAGAAGCCTCAGAATCAAAATCACGTTTTCTACAAGAACTACTTGTTTAATGATGTTGAGAAAGGTATTCTAAGTTTACTTGAATAAATAAAAAAACAAATTGATTGTGTAACATACAAACATAGCTTTAATTACATGATTGCACTTAATCCTGGCAATTGTAGCTTCTTGTTATCGTGTTTGTTTAGTTGTGGAGTTTTATTTTAGGCTTTGTTTATACACAAAACTGAAGCCATTTTCTTGAAAACATTATAGCATCTCCAGAGTTGGAAGATCAGATTGATCATCTTTCGGGGGATGTAGGCTATGAACTCATGGAAGAACCTGAGGAGGTTTTTGAAGAGTTAAATACTCATCAAGTGAAAAAATGTTATGAAAAGGATGTATTGCATGATGCTGAGAAAGTGGCAATAAAATTACTTGGAACCAGGTTAGAATTACCATAACTTCATAGAACTGCTTGGTGTAGTGCTGCTAGAATGTCTAAGGGCAGGAATTCTTCTGAGGTACATGATTTTGCCAAGATACCTTTGGATAGCAGTTTGAGGGTTTGAGTGTGTGTGTTGCTGGAGCGAAGATGCTATAGACGTTTGAAAATAAGGATGTTTACCTGTGAATAAAGAAGAAAAAATTTGTTTAAGAAGTTCTTTTTCTTTGTAGGGCTTTCACAGCAGTTGAACTGAGAAAGAAATTACACGGAAAGAACTTTTCTCTAGATACCGTTGAGGCAGTAATAAATGACTTCATTAGCAGGTACATTTCTAGTCGTGAGAATGTCTTGTGTTGAGAGTGCTCATCAGCCAATTATCTGGAAATAACCATGTTTGAAAACTCCACATGCTTGGGTAATTATGTCTCAATGATCTTAGAAACTGGTTCTACATGCACGTTGTAAGACTGATTCAGTTACCACTCAAAAAGCACAAGAAAAATGGATTACAGAGATCTGGAAGTATTATTTACAATTCTATAAAAAATTTGTGGCTCTAAACTTAAAGTCTGGTAGACCATAGTGAATTAGTTTTGCTGGCTAACAATCATGTCAATGGTTATTATCAATTTTCATATCTCATTAGCAAGAGGTTGAAACTTTTCAAGTGTAACACCACAAGGGATTTCTCAGTACCTGAATATCCCTTCCTATTCTTTTCTTTTCTTAGGTCTTTCAAAGCACCCGAGTAACACCTTTTTTCTTTTTTTGGATCAGTCATTATTAAATGTTTGGTATTGTGTTCTTTTGTGCGCATGTGAACTGATCTCCAACTATTTCTTTACTTTTTAACTGTAGTTATATTGTCATTTTCAGAAGTGAATTCCAAAGTTTCATACCATATTATATATGATATGACCTCTTTTGTGACCCTTTAAGTTTATTGTAGAGGCCTAATCAATGATAGCTTGTATGCGGAAGCATTTTCTCGTTCTAGATGGTCTTCCTCAAGTTGGGGACCAAGGCGGATAAAGCAAGTAAGCCATATGATTTTTCAGCATAATAGAAATTTGGTAGATTGAGATGACTATTATTAGATTGAAATGTTAAAGGACTGAGATTGTCATGTTAATCCTTGTTTTTCCACAGTGCACCCTGATTTAAGAAAGAGTAGCCGTGTTGATATTACACTAGGTAGTCAGCTCTTGTTGGAGTCTTTATTTGTTTTTAAAATCTGATCTAGAGCTATAAGAAAGAATGAAACAAGTCAAGATAAATGTTAGTATCGATTATCCAAATTAGCAAGGGTGAAATGTCTGTTTTTATGTAATGAAGCATTGTTGTTGGATCAGGCACTTTTCAGCAAGGGAGTGAGTAAACTTGATGCTGAGAATGCAATTAAATTGGTTTTTGAGGAGGGAGAATCAGATAATGATCAGAAGTTAGTTCATGGCCTGTCAAAGCTCTCAATGGATAATTTACTTGTTCAGGCCTCAAAGCAGTGGCTTCGAGGTCAAGAAGTGCCTAAAGAGACAAGGAAATCAAGGATTGTTCGTTGGCTTCAGTATCGTGGATTCAGCTGGGATGTTATTGGCTTCGTATTAAAGAAGTTAGAATCTCAGTACCCACCCTAGTCCATAACCATCAACTGAAATGTTGTGTAGTCTGGACAGGGTTTGGGTCTATAACGTAACTTGCTGCTGTGGCTAGAAAATTACTAACTTTAGCCCTTACCAGTACCGGACATAATGTTGCATTTGGCTACCATGCCACCACCTAGTTTAGGTGGGGCGAAGTCTACTTTAATGACAACATAGCTAGAAGACGAGCAAGAAGTGGCACCATTTAGCTGTTTTTGATAGGAAACACCATTTTGTGGCTGAAAATTGACTCTTTTGTATTCATGTACTGTTTATATTTACCTCAATGAAATTTTGTTGTTTGTGTTGCTGTATTTGAAAATAATTACCTCTAATCAACCTGCGATAGTAAGATCACAAGCTCCACTTTGCATGTATTTGTTTGTATTGTCCATACTCACTGTAAGAACCGTTAGATTTGTTTCAATATTTTTGGGTGTTTTTGGACCTCTTAAGAAAGTATCTCCGCAGTATGCTCATAAAGTGGATGCAAATCCATGTGCAGCTGTAATGTTATGGAACAGTTTACTTGGTTTGTGTATTACATATCTGTACAGGTATAAATAATGATCCTGCTTTTCTACATGTGCTTTCTGATCATGAAAGATGAAGTCTTCTAATCCAAGATTAGTATTTCTTTGCTGGAAAGTCTTGCTCAGTAAAGCACATGGACATGTGATGTGGAGTTGGGGGGACCATGTGAGCATTGCTGGAAAGAAAAGATGTCATGGAATGGAATCTCATTCCCTCACATTAAATTCTAATTACATAAATCCAAAAATACCAATCATTGTTTAACACTTCTACTACATACCCTGCATTTACTCTCACTCCTCCAGAAGACAGTTAAGCCATCACCTATTCCCCCAAAGACCATTCTTTCTTAGTGGGGAGGCATTGATTATTTCAATCTACAAGAACCACATAAAATTAAAATCTCAATTTACACTAATATTCTTCCTTGCTCTATGGGATTTTGATTCTCCCAAGATAATATGCACAATGGATGAAAGTTCATAACTTCTCATTGCATTGAATCTTCAGAGAAAGCAAAGGAGCAGTTAGAAGAGCCTTGTAAAACTGCTTTCCTAGCGGGAGGGGATGCCAAAATTGATTGCAACCCTCCTCCCTTTAACAATTCTGGTTCTCCCCTTGCAGTCTCAACATGTCGAATTTCTGTAAGCATTGCTACAACATCTTTCATCATAGGGCGATCATCAGCACGAGTGCTGACACAAAGGAATGCCACAGCTAGTGTTTGCAGCATTTCGTGCATTGTAGGATCAGCTCTTCCCCTAAGCTTCTGATCAAGGATGTCGACCGGATCTCGCTTCCTTGCCAAGTGCTCACGGATCCATTGAACTAAATGTGCACCCCCTGGCAAAGTTGGGTCTAATGGATGCCTCCCTGTTAATACCTCTAAAAGAACCACACCAAAACTGTAGACATCACTCTTCTCAGTGATACGCTGCATTGATGCATGCTCTGTAGTCACACAAAAAGAAAACATGAAACAAGTTAGGAACCAACTAAATTTAGTGATTTTTGGAAAAAAAAAAATATGGTAAGAAAATTAGGAACTAACTAAAATTATGGAAAGGAAGATTACCTGGAGCCATGTATCCATAAGAACCAGCTAATTGAGGCCTTTGGCTTGTTTTAGAAAAGTCATCATCACCAATGCTATTCACAATCCTAGCTAATCCAAAGTCAGCAAGATAAGGCTCATAGCCAGGACCCAACAACACGTTCATAGCTTTGACATCACCATGCAAAATAGCAGGCACACAGTCGTGGTGCAAGTAGGCAAGCGCATGAGCCACGCCTAAGACAACATCATATCTAGCCTCCCAATCTGCTCCTCCCTTCCCAGCACCATGTAGCAGTGAGCTCAAGCTTCCATTGGGAAGGTAATCGTAGAACAGAAGTTTCAGGCTTCGGTTCGAACCCCAACCCAAGAGCCTGATGATGTTCTTGTGCCTGATTGAACCCAGTGTCTGAATTTCAGTGTTGAATGCTCCTGACTCTTCTGATGACCACATCTTCTTCACTGCTAGTGTTTCGCCATTTGGAATTGCCACCCTGTATACAACTCCAGAGCTTCCAGTGCCAATCACATTAGATGACGTCAAATTCTTGACTATGTCATCTACGGAGAATTCAAGCTTCTGGTACAAGGTCATTTCCCAGTTATCATCTTCCCTGAGAATGTTGCTGGCTATCTGAGCACGGACTAGTGTATAGACAGCAAGCAGGAGAAGTACTCCACTGATACTAATGAGAATGGACGTGATTAGCTTCATAACTGATCTGTTGTGGCTTGATCGTATCCTATCAGCCGGGGTTACAACTCCGCCAGAGATGTAGAGACCTTTATTTGCAGTAAGGTCACTAAGCGGGAGTTGCCGAAAGAATGGGGTGTTAGGCAATTCACCAGATAAGTCATTGAAAGAGACATTGAGGGAAACAAGGTTTTCAAGGTTTTTGAGAGTGTTTAAGTTTCCAGAGAGCTTATTGTGGGAGAGGTCAAGAATTCCTAGCTTGCTAAGGCCAGAGAATTGGGATGGGATTTCACCAGAAAACAGGTTACAGCTTAGATTGAGAGATATTTCAAGTGAAGGAATTTGACCAAGTTGCTTTGGAATTTCACCTGAGAAGCCATTGTTGCCAAGATCTAGCAATTGAAGCTTACTGCAAGAAAGGATCTCGGCTGGTATGCTGCCAGAGAGCTGATTCTTCCCCAAGTTGAGTTTTGTTAACTCCGTTAATGACCCAATGCTATGAGGAAGCTGACCAGTAAGCCTATTGTCTGAGATGTCAACAAACTGCAGGCTTGTAGGCAGAGTATCAGGGACAGAACCAGTGATCCCATTTGAATGAAGATCAAGAAACTCAAGGTTCTGACATCCTGATATTGATGGAGGGACTGCTCCAACAAGACGGTTATTGCTCAAATCAACAAAGTTCAAGCTCTTCAAGTTGCCAATCTCCGATGGAACAGTACCTGCCAGCCTGTTGTGATTTAACCTTAACCTGTACAGGCTTGTGCAGTTTCCTATATCCGGCGGTATAAAACCAGATAAATCATTGGAAAGTAGCAGCAGCTTGGTGAGATTTCTCAATCCAAAAATATTTCTTGGTATTGAACCAAATAAATTGTTGTAAGAAAGATCAACAGCCTGAAGCTCTTGACAGTCTGAGAGACTCTCAGGAATATTGCCCGTAAGCCTATTTTGCCAGGCAAAAAATAGAGTTAAGCTCTTAAGGTTGCCAATGAGAACAGGAATCTCCCCCGAAATGTCGTTGTTGTCCACTTCCAAATGAGTCAGATCCATGCAATTTGAAATTTCAGAAGGTATAGTACCTGATAACTGATTGACACTCAGCTGAAGCTCTTGAAGCTTGGAAAGCTCACCAAAACTTTTAGGTATCTTGCCTGTCAGAAGATTTTCTGATAAGTCCATGACTGTGAGCTCCCTGCAGCTTCGAAGCTCATCTGGAATTGATCCCACTAAGCTGTTCTGCCACAGCAGTAGACTCTGAAGCTTGCTGAGCTCCCCAATTCTCCTTGGGATTGAACCAGTGATGGAATTCTGGTACAAGTACAAGTTCTGCAACTCGCTGCAGTTTCCAATTTCTTCAGGGATTGGACCAGACAACAGAGATGTATATAAGACAATGGTTTGGATTCTTTTAAGCATTCCAATCGATGAGGGAAGACTTCCGGTAATGCTGGTTTCAGCAAGGCCTAACATGACCAAGTTGGTGCAGTTTCCAATCTCCCAAGGCAGCTCACCATTAAGATTTTTGTTCCCTCCTGCTCTGAAAATTTCTAGCTTTATTAGTGATCCAATACTCTTTGGAATTTCACCACTGAGTTGGTTGTCATAGAGAGTCAGATACACAAGACTTGAGAGATTTCCAATGCCTGAAGGGATTTTCCCTTCGAGAAAATTTGTATTGAGAGATAAAGTTTGCAGTTTGTTTAGCCTGCATAATTCTTCTGGGATTTCACCAGAGAGAGAATTGCCACTGACATCAACGAAACTGAGCTCACGATACTGTCCAAACTCTTTGGGAATTGTGCCAGTGAGATTCGAGGAAGAGAGGATAAGGGTCTTTAAGGACTTGAGAGACTGAAAATTTGAAGGCAATGGACCTTGAAAATCTAATTCTTTCAAGGTTATCTCGACCACTTCTCCATTGGAGCTGCAGCGGACCCCGAACCAGTTGCATGGACTTGTGTCTAAAGGATTCCATGATTTCAATGCATCTGTGGAACCATTTAAGCTGTTCTTCCATGCTAGAAGAGCTTGGCCTTGTTCATCAATTGAGTAACAAGAAAAGAAAAGAGAGTTTATTGAAAGAAGTAAGGTGATGGAGAAGATATTGGGAGAAAGCAAGAGATTCCTTAGAGTAGCAGGCATTGCTGAGAGAAGAGAGCAGGTGATCTGTTTTGGGATTGTAGAGGGAGGAACCCCATGTTTTGTTTATAGAAGAAAAGCAGAAGATCTGGATCCAAGAGCAACTTCTTTATTCTATTAATTAATAATATTGTAATTGGGTATTGTTGTTAATTTAGAGATGGTGATGCAGATGGGTTTTGGTTTTATTTATCTAAGTGGGTTTATTTTTTCAAATGGACTCTTTGTTCATTCTGAGTCAATTAATTGGCAGAAAGTTTTTGGTTTTTGCTCTCTTTGTTATTTTGTGTAAACAAGTTAGTGAATCATTTTTTTCTCTCTTCTTTTTAACCAGGTGTGTAAAACATTCGGAAGTTACATTAATGCTCTGCTGAATGTCATGAAAGAACCTTTCCTTTCCCTTTTTTATTGCTCATTTTGACAGTTAAACTATCTTGTTTCCTCTTTTTAGGCATATGTTTTCATCCCATCTATCCAGTTATAATGGTTGGAGAAGAAACACTGACATGTTTTTATAGTGGGATTTGAATGATATACTGAAGAGTAAAATCAGCCTCATCATCCCTTATCAAGCTCAGTTTAATGGATTAGCTCTCAGACAGTGATAGCTTAGTTACCAAACCAACCAGAAACAGCAACAACTTATTCAATGGATTTAGCTCTGGAACTGTTAATCAAGAGGGCAGCATCTTCTTAAATAAGGCAGGGCAGGAGGCCCCAAATTGTGGTCCATAAATTTTTGTGGCCAGTAACATTTGCTGAGCGAGCCATATCTTTGATAGCTGCTGCTGCACTGCAGCAAAGTCTGTGGTGCTTCTAGCTAGTACCATGTGCCTGTGCAATTGAGGAAAACACATTCTGTTCAATTAATAACTTCATGACATATGCAGCAGCAGTAAAATAAAAATTAAAAAATCAAGAATGTGATCTGAATATTGAACAATTTTAAAAAAGGTCAACTGGGTTTTGGTTAATTAAGAATAAGGTGAAATAAAATGGATATTTTTATTTATTTAATGCAAATTTATATGAATTTGAGGGATCTGGAGTGGTTATTATTATTCTGTACAGGCAGCATGGGGATGTATAGTAATTTTTTTACAATAAAATTAAACTTGTAGAATCTGCTGGAGAAGTGAAGTGCACATGGAAGTGAAGTGAGGAATATGTGAAAATAAAAATGTAAAAATGTTTAAATTAATTAAACTTCATGCTGTCGGGCGGTCTTTGCTGTGAAGGATTAAAAGAAAAGGAAGAAAGGAATGGTGGCCTCATCTGGAAGGAACAAAGTCACACCAACTAAGAGTTGTTAATTAGTATTATAATTAGTCACAAATCAAAACAAAATTACCTCCACAAAACAAAACAAAACAAAGACAGCTTTGTTTAAAATATTGCAGATGGGTTTAGGCCCTCTTGCCAACCTTGCAATTAGCATTATCATGTCACGGGCTCCTTTGGAGTTTAATAAAATTATTGGCTTTTGCATGTTTGTTTGTTGGGACTTGGGATTAATGTGTGGTGGTGGTAATATGCTTCCTTTGTCTCTCTGCTTTCATTAAGACTAACTCCAAGATGATTATGACTTCTTTTTTTTGACAGAAATTGAGCACAGTTGAAAAATGCAGTTAAACAAACACCATCACCATCACCATGCATGGTCCATAAAAATATTTACTGATAAAGACCACTCAGGGTTTTGAACAATACCTTTGATTTGATTAAAAGATCCTTACCAAATTTCAACTGTAAATTATCTTTCACTTTCTCTTGGTTATTCTACACCCTACATTTCATAACTAAATCATCTCTAATAAATATATGGAGCCCATGAGGTTCATTTGTAGGAAGATACTCATGGGAAACTTTCAATCTTCTCCCCTTGTGTTTCTTTCATTCTTTCTTTTGGTAAATACCACGAGATGTTCCCACACCCAAAGGGTGGGATTAATTCCCGCTTGGGGTTCGGCTTGCCCTTAGCTACAAAGTGCTTCCAACGGATTTCGAACTTTTGCCATTGAGGCACCAAGTAGCTCACCATCTGAAGGTGGCAGTTTGCCAACCGCATCTCACCTTGTGGTTGGTTCCTTCATTCTTTCATAGATGAATATTAAGTTTTACCAATTTTTTATAAAAAATTTATATATGAAAGAATAACATTTGATAATAAAAAGTGTAAAAGGAGAAAGATCTCTAGAAATATAAAGGTGCACCAACAAGTAACATCAAAAGAAGGGAGAAGGACATCATCTATAATGTTATATATAGATATAGGCAAGAAAAACATTAACTGAAATGGTCCCTTTCCAACCCCACTTCTTCTTCTTCTTCTTTTAATAATAATAATTTTCTTTTGTGAAAAGGCAGCTGATAAAGGCTTTCTGTCCTAGAAGCCAAAAACTATAAAGATTATTTGGTATGCACGAATGGATGTGATGTCACTTTTTTCACTTGGCAGTAATTCGTATAGTCATATTTTGTCCTTTTTTTCCTTGTGCAAAATTATTGATAATTTGCATGTTGTTCATGTCAATTATTACACCACACTATAGCTAGGTTATGAAAATATGAGGAAAGTGGTTTGGATCTGAATCACAATCTCTTTTAGATTTCAGATCCCATCCCGTATATGATATATTCACAACCAATCGTTGTAGGAATCTGAGATCGATCTTTGACCCTCCCTACTGGCTTTGCTCATGGCACTGGGAATATAGTTCTTCTACTGGCTGCTTGCTGCATGATGCAAAAGAGTAGAAATTATAATATATTTATGTTTGTTGTGGTCTTAGTTTATGAACATCATGCTTTTCTGGTTTGTTAGTGCCATGTTACAACCTCCCTTGGTGCATTTTATTAATTTATCTTGTCAGTTCTGGTTTTGGCATGAGAGTTGCACATGTGTGTTTGAGAGAGAGTGGAAGAAGGGTGGGGGGTAAGCAAATATTGAACTTCAATGCTAGGTTTGTAGCTCAATTGGTTAATAGCATTTATTTTCAAGTCGGAGATTCAGTGTTCGGTTCGTCCCTCTTCTAATATCGCTAATATAAATGAAAATAAAAATGAAATTTTGAACATAAAAAATGGCTTCCCATCCCATCCTATGCTGCATTGCTGATGGTGAATATAAGTGTGAGAGAGTTTCTTCGGAATTGTAGAAGTGGACCCTAGAATGGTCTACCATAGTAGTACCAATCATAGAGAGACTTTTTGTCATTGGCTCTTGGCACACGTGCTATGGAGTTGGCCAATTGGATAGAACCCTAAACTTTTTCAATCTAAACATAACAAAAAAGTCTATCATATCAATCCAACAAGATTTGTCATGCCTATAGACTATAGTTATAGTATAGGTGATCCCATCTACCAATTCTATACGGTCTAGAAAAATCTTTATATAGATTGTTATATCATGATCATATGGTTCTCAGTCTAAACTTTTTTTAATCTCAAAATAACAATAAGGTCTATTATCGATCCAACAAGATTTGTCATGCCTAGCAAAATCTATTATATACAGTCTACGGCCGTCTAAAACAAGAAAAATATTGTTATACCATATTATCGTTGGCTTAGTAAGTCTAATCATTAAACTGAAAACTAATGTGATTGTCCATAAAATTTCAATTTTTACTTTTCAATTGCAAGAAAATCTTGTATTTGATCATGACACACTGACTTGTGTTACTATAGACTCGATTACGATGACTCTTGTTAGAACACTTGGCTATTGACATATTGCAAAAGATAAATCTGCCTCTCAATAATATCATTGACCAATTTACTCAAATCATAAAAAGTGAGGGACGACGAATTTATATTTTAAAATGTAGCATTAATAAATATATATACGGGTTATAACATGAATGAATTGATAACGCTATATGTATATGTTAAAATCACACTGAAAAATTACTCATCAATTCCAATACATGATGTCTATTGTAAGTGACTAGTTACCACACGCATACAGAAACTTTTTTGGTTCAAAACAAACTTCGGACTCCATGAACCATAAATCGCATGGTAGTTCAGCCAAAAATAGTTTTCTTCTTACCCAATGTCTGCAGAAGGAGACTCTTATCATGTACCAAACCCATGTCTATTTTGGCAATTAAAATGGTATAAATCTGAATTATTATTTATCCTAAAAGGCCCACACATCCTTTGTAGCTTTCAACAGTCAAGTCAATTGGAATGCATGATTGGGGTAGCAATTTGCATTTGAACACTGATAGAACTTGACTGCATGAAGAACCAAAGCATCTTTTAGGTCACTTTTAATTAAGATCTAATCCACCATCCAATCTCTGATATGATAATAATGCTTTAGCAATCAGTGACTGGCTTATTGATAGACCAAATATTATTATTGTCTTCACATTTATTTCCTTTAACCTAGTCAGATTGGCTGCCCAAGAAAGATTGAAATGCTTAATTAAGATTCACCATTGAAATGCTTATTGGGTTTTGCTTAATTTAATCTCATGATGCCATTTGATCTTTAAAACCCATCACTTTGCCTCTTTGTTTTTTGCTTTGTTTTTGCTTAGTGTTAGTGGAGAAGAAGATGGCCCTTCTTTCTTCCTTCTCGTTTCTCAATAATTTTTTCATTACAAAAACAAAGGCTTTAACATATACAATGCATTCTCTTGCATAAGCTCCATATCAAAGGTCAAATCCTTGTCGCCAAGTAATAATCTTGCTGTCCTCATCTTTCCATGATTCCTGGGTTTTGGTGTTTGCACCCTACTTTAAACATTTTATATCGTTGTCACTAGCCTCACCACTAATAAAGATTGAGAGTGATAATGGGTGTGAGGTAGAGGATGATCTTGGGACTTATAGTATTGCTTATTAAACTTGTTCCTTTACCTAAAGCGCAACTTGTAGCCATTCTAAATCAACTTTCAATAGTCAAAATTTGTAGACTAAGCGTTGGAACGCTTTGTGCTTTTGTATTTTTTAGAAGATGATAAAACAATTTTTTGATAAACTAATTGCACTATATTTACTAATCATATCTCTCGCACAAGTGTCCACACGGAACTTACTTTCCTAGTGTGCGATATGTAAAAGATGCGGTGAGCAATCTGATTAGTACATAGAATTACTTAAATGAGACCCTATAAACTACGCTTACTTAAATGAGACCCTATAAACTAACGCTCTAAGTGACAGATGTACTTATATGTAAGGTTTTTGAAAAATAAAATAAAAATTGTGTATGAGTTTGTAGAGTCTTCAAAGATTATGTACCAATTTGAAATTAACCATAGAATTTATGGAGATTTATGTGATTAGGCCATTATGTCTCTATTACCATGAATGGCTGAATGGGCGAGCCCAATTGCCAAATAAGTTGGGTTAAAACAGGAGGAATATATGATCTTAGTTTGGGCCCAGGTGAAAAACCCAGAAACCCCAGAAAATGGTGTATTCGCCTAGTCTATGTTAGCTTTAAAACGAGGGAGCCTCTCAACAAATGATACTAAGGTGGATCTCAGAGGGCTTGCATCTTCAAGCATCAGCTCTGTTTTCCCAAATAGAATCTCAGAATTCAGCATACAACACAATCCTCCCCAAAGGCTTAATCACACATGATATCATTTTGGTTTTCACTTGTATTCTTGTTACCACTCACCAGCATTTTATGTCCCCTCATCTTCAAAGGGAAAATAGATAGCAATTCAAAAACTACAAATCTTGCCAGTTTTCTCTCCAATTGATCTAAAATCGATGTTTATCAAAACCAAATAAATCTGGGCAAATAAAGGTGCACTTTCAACTTTCCACATGCATCTTCAGGGTAAAAAGAAACAAGAAATAAACTCTTAAAACTTTAACATGATAGCTTCAACTCGGAAATGTGTCTCAGATCATCCCAAACTTCAACTAGACTGACAAAAAATCGTAAGAAATATACAAGGCAACAAACATAAAAATAGAAGAGGTCAATGTCACCTCCCAAAACATCTCATGACTGAAGACGTAAGAGCAGAAGATAGGAACTTCAAACCCGCAGATCCACCGGGAAAGTATGAAACAGCATAGTATGCAAGTGCCAGAACCTGATAGTTTCATTTAGACATGCGTTTCAGTGTCACATAGAATAATTAACTATCTTTATTAACAAATATATATATATATTTTAAATTTCCTGATTAATATAACAATTAGAGATATCAAAACAGATTAAAAAGCAGGGATCATCAACCAGGAGAAAAAAAATTCAAATAGTCAGAAGGATGGAAAAGAATTTGATACCTGTATCACAGAGAAGAGCACAGAGAGAATGTAGCTGTGGAGCACCATGGATACATATATGGTGCCCACCATACTGCCTAAAAATCCAAATGTAAACGGAAGTCTCTGCATAAATTGTGGAAAAGAAAACAATAAGTATATTATTAGATGTGCGATGCTTGGGACAGGTTACACAAACAGAATAGGTACATGTATGATAAAGTTACCTCTCTTGAAGACATGTGAGCAAGCTGATTCTTTGGGCCTTTGAGCGCAAAGAATGATGCAATAATAAAGGCACACCCAAGTGTAAAGCAGATAGCAAACTTCTGAGGCATCAACACCATGACAGGAAGGAACATGGTAAATGCGATAAAAACAAAGAACACCCCAGTTGCTAGAAACAAGCCAAAATACATGAGAGCTTTTCCTGAAGGGACAGTACTAGTGGCAGATTGGAGGTTCCCAGGTAGATCTCTCACTCCTTTGGAAACCCTAATCAAGTATCAATAAAATCACACAAAGACTCCATCAAGTATGAGATAAAACCCAGAAATGAATAAACATTTACTTTCATCTCAAACTTGTTCTTTCAATAGGGGTAGGGAAATTATACAACACTAAGGTAGGGGTAGAACAACAGAATACAGGTGATTAAGCAAATTACAGTCCACCACCCCACCCTTTTTTTTCCCTAACTCCTGATTCTTGTTTATAAGCCCTATTGGCAGGATAACCTTTCTGCCCATCATCCACGAACAACATAATTATTGAAATAATTGTTGGTTTTGAGTCTTGCTTAGTTTTGATTTCGGAAGAATGACAATTAAGAGATAAAAGCCCAGGTTTCCACTTAAAATCCAGTGTGAATTTTGCAGATTCCTTCTAATCCTTTAAAGCGGCAGCACACATATTCAGTTTATAAATTCAACTAACTTAAATTTGCTCCACTTTCAGCAAATTTTCTCATTGTTTATATACGTCGACCAGGACCCTCCACAACTCCTATAACTTATAGCAGACACAATATGAACCTTCATTGTATAAGTCAATTCTTCAATTCGCTAAAGTCCAATCATACAATCAGAAACAAATGCATAGACCCTACATAGCCAATGAAGCAACATAAGCATTATGATGTATTCAATCAAATACTAATCACAGATTCAAGCACAAAAATCAAAACGTCCATCATCAAAATCCGTAGCATACATAATCCCTGTCACAAATTTTACAAAATGGGTCAAACGAAACAGCTTATTCTACAAATCCACCAGTTCCTAAACCCCTTAAAACCAAAATCTCCATATCAGATTCACCTTAATATATACACATACAAAAACCCAATATCAGATTCACCTAGTCATACAACAATTTCAAAAACTCACTATCAAATTCACCTAAATATGCACATACAAAAACCCAATATCAGATTCACCTAGTTATACAACAATTTCAAAAACTCACTATCAAATTCACCTAAATATGCACAACTATCATTAATCCTAACGTCAAATTCACTTATATATGGGCAGGGATCAAAATCCATAATCAAGTTCAACTAAATATGCACAATATCAAAACCCAATTATCAGATTCACTTAAAAATACACAAAATCAAAAACCCATTACCAAATTCGCCCATAAATAAGTACACCGTAAGTAAAATGCTGAGTTAATTTGGCAGGAGACTAAGATCAGATATGAACATACACGCTGAAAGTCCCTGAAACGGTATCGTTAGCAGAACGGACCGCAGATTCGAGATCGAAGCCCAGGCCCAAGGAGGAGCTCTCATCTGTAGATTGTGAAGCGGCATAGGAGTTCCAATCGGCTAACAAGGAAGACGAGGTATTCTGCGAGTCGTCAGCGCCGCTACCGCTCTGCGAAAACCATTCCTGTGCCATCTTTTGCATTGTTTCCTTGCTTCACCAAACAGTCGCTGGCTTTAAGCTTTCTGAGAATTTAAAATTTTGAAAATAAAAGAAAAAACACGTTTCTGTTTTTTTTGCTTTTGATTGTGAGATTCTTTGTCGAAACGTCTTTTAGGTTGACATATATGGCGATGCGGTTGGTCTGTGACTCTCTCTGTTTCGGAATAACTGTGGCCGTAGAGGCTTATGAAGTAAGCAAGGCTTGGCTGCTGCTGGTGGTTTTGTTTTGTTTTTAATATTTTGTATTTTCTCTGTTTTTATGTAAATTTTTCTGAGATGGGATGGGAGTCATTGGGATTTTTTTTTAGGGACATTTTGAAAAAAGCAAAAGGAGAGAGAAAAATTTTAAAAGAAGCAAAAATGGACAAAAATGCCCTTATTTATTTTTAGATTTCCTAAGGAATCCAATACATTTGCATGTCTTTGATGTGAAAGTTGAGCGGTTTTTTTGTCTTTTTTGAAAAAGCTTTGGCTTTTTCCAAAAGTGAAAATTTTTTTATGTCTAAAACCTAAAAAACCTTTTTTTTTATAACAAATTTATAAATAAACTCAATCCTAGATATGAATTTATAAAAAAATTCAAACACTATTTAAAACATAGAAACACACCCAAAATCAACTTAAAAATCAACAATTGTATATTTTTTGGATGTGTTTATAAATGGGTTTTGAGTCTGTTTAATAAATGGGTTTTGAGTCTGTTTAATAAAGTGTTTTTCATGTTTGGTTTTTTTATAATTTCAGCCCTTATTTTTGGTGTATTAGTGAAACTCCCTTTTTTTTCCCCTCTCTCTCTCTCCTTTTTGGGGGTTCCTAATTCCTATTTATAAAAAAATAAAATAAAATAAAAATAGGTAGAGGCAATTATTTATAATAAAAAAAAGAAAAAAAGAAAAGAAAAACAGAGGGAAAGAGTAATTTGGATTTGCATGTTTAATGTGAAAAAGCTTGAAGCTTGAATCAAAGATAGGATTTTGTATGCTTTTTCCTTATTTAAACTCACCATCAACTTGCTTTTAAAATAAAACATGAGCTAACAGAGTTTAACTATTTTTCTTTTATCAACACAAGTATGCGATTTCAACTCAGAACCTCTCTCCATAGTTTCTATTGAATGTTGTAATGCTAAGTAAGTCATTTGGCCCTTTAAGTTGAACTCTTTAACCATGCATAGTTCTAAGAGAAAGTCATCCAAAAACCACATGAATAATAGAGAGAGGAGATTACTCAAGGAGGGAAACTCCAAGATGAAGATTGAATTCTGAGTTTACCCAAGCTATCAGCTGTCATGGCCTTAAAAATGGTGTATTGTAACTCATGCAAGTTTCTTATGTACCCTCCTGTTAAGGTTGCTTTCACGCTCAATGCATGTTAGATATATGTAAGTCTCATTATGAATTCTATATGCATCGACAACTAACATGAACACTCAATGCATGTTGATATATGTGTGTGAGTCTCATTGAGCCGCAGATGAAGGCAAACATCTAGCAACATCTCAAAATGTCATTTTTCAAGTATTTCTTTAAAATAGTTTGAAATTGGAAATTTTTATGCCGATCCACTTGCAATGCATTGTAAATATTAAAGACTGCAGTATTTATGCAACTTCTGCAAGAATCTGTCAAGGTCATGAAAAATATAATGTATATTCAAGGTAATCTTGGGATCAAAGGTCCCAAGTAGTTATAAATCATTCAGGTGCAAAAACTTAGAACAAAGAATGTTGGTACAAGTGTTTTGAATGTACATGTTACAAAGATAAACTCATAGCACTTTCAAGAGCTGCACCTCAAATATCAAAGGCTCGTTTACATGAGACAAAAGGCTGCTTCTAGGGCCAAACTGCAACTAAAACTTGTAATTTCTCTCTTTTCCAAATGCTCACTCTTGGTAGTTGTTACATATTCTACAATGTTTTATGTTATGAATACTTAACTCAATTGTATTCTCAAACACTCATCTATTGTATGAGGCTTGTAGCTTAAGTGGTTAAGAATATCCACTTATAGAGTTCCTACATATATACGTTAGAAGAGAATTACATATATACGTTAGAAAATAATGCTACATATACACGTTAGTATGAGGCTTCGAAGAGAATGCCAAGAGAATGAATGAATTTCGACCAAAACATGAACGATTAGGTATTATGGAGAAGCTTTGTGGTCAAAACAACATATATACCCATAAAATTAGCCATTTTACAGTTGTTAGGTTAACTATGTCATCTCAACTAATTAAAAAAACATGAACACAAGGACTGAGATAAATCTAAGTTTTGGATACTAACATAGTAGATGACATGATCTTGAGTGATTGTGCATACTCTTATGATGCAACAAGTGATTATGCACCAAACTTCCCAGCATAAGAGAGGCTTACCTATCAAACGTCTATGGTGACATTTTTCATTATAGGAAGCAAAAGAGAATGCGCGGTCTCTGAAAAGGGTCTTCAACAATCAATATGAAACAATTATTATTATTATTATTAATTTTTTTATATATTTTGTATTTTGTCATAACACGGGACAATTGATTTAGGGTCAAATATTGTCGAATCGAGATTAGATCACATTAATTATTGTTTAGTCCTTATCTTGCCTTATTTTTATCTCTCTCATCTCATGTGACATAGTCAAGTATGTATACATAATATGATCGTTCTCCTACAAAAGAATTATTGATGGTAACTGTAGGATTGGATGTGGCTCCTACAAAAAAGTTAATGTAGGATTTGGTAGCTGTATAATCATCAATGTATGTAATGTATGATCCTTAATGTAGTATATATGTGTATGTGTGTCTATGCTTATGTATATATAATTAGAGATAGCCAAAATCACATTAATTTTATTTTAATGATCATGAAAACTACAAGTATAGTTTCGATTTTTATTTATTTATTTATTTGTATTAATGATATTGGGAGGTAGGTATCGAACAACATTTAAGTAGGTTGATTAGAAACTGACTAATATAATAAAATTGTATAGATGAATTATAGAGAGAGTACAAATATACACACGCCTAACCCTAGGATTACAAGGAGAAAAATACACAATTGGGATAGGATTAGGAATCCTAATAAACTAGGCATCAGCAGTAAGGGGTTGTCCTTGAGTCTGGAGTCTCAGAGAGGAGACACTACTACATTTTAGGCTTTGCGCGACGAAGGGGTCTTCGTCGCGCAAAAATGATTTAGTCGCACATAATTATGCGCGACAGAAGTTTCGTCGCGCACAGTCCGTCGCGCAAAGTTCGTGAAGAAAGGATTTGCGCGACGAACAAATATCATTCGTTGCGCTGTTTTGCGCGACGTATAACAACTTCGTTAAAAAAAACATTTCGGGACGACCCTAATGTCCGTCGCACAAATATTTGCGCGACGAAAGAGTGGTCGTCGCAAAAACAATGCGCGACGGACTCTTCCGTCGTGCGAGATACATGAACTTTGCGCGACGAAATAATATTCGTCACGCACGTAGTCCTTGCACGACAAAATAGTCGTCGCGCATACAAATTTCGCGCGACGAGATAATTCGTCGCGCATACAAATTTCGCGCGACGAAACAATTCGTCGCGCATACACATTTTGCGCAACGAAATTCTTCGTCGCGCATGATTAAAATATATTTGTCAACAGGTTATTTAAATGTTTTTGCGGGACGAATTACGTTTCGTCGCGCAAAAGCAATATATATTATTTAAAAAAAATTTATTATTATTTGATTTTTAATTTTGTAAAAAAATATATTTGGTTTTTTTTTAATAATTAAAATGAAATTACAATAAAAAGATTAATCGCAAAGAAAACATTTATTATATAAAATAAAAGAAATGTATACAAGAGAAATATTGTAAAAGTAATTATAAAAATAAAAAACTAATCAAATAATGTTCCAAAATCTACTTGGTCATCTGCCACATGCGGCTCGGAGGTATGGGCGTCTGCAGGGGCCGTGGTGTGCTGGGGATGCTTGGGGTGGACGGGCTCGGAGGTCGACGCACCAAAATTCGGGATTGGAATGCCGGACCGCGCGAGGGACTGCAGAATCACCGACATCTGACCCTCAAGCTCGGCAACCCGCGATGTCAAAACAATCACCTGACTGTTTGCCTGCGACGATGACCGCGGTCGAGGTTCCCTCTGTCGGGCATTCCCCATCCCCCTACAATACGTTCCCGGCCTCCTCCCGAGAGTCTGATCCAACGTCTGCGTCAAAATCTGAAATCCAGCATCATGCGGAGGATCCACAGACTCGATCGAGTCTCGGGAGGAAGTTGGGAGGCGGACTCTTGAAGAACCAACTGGCTCCTCTCCACCATCGTCGTCTGTTTAACATTACATAAAATATAAATTCAAAAATGCATATAAATTGAAAGCGTAACATAAGAATTAAAAATAAATAATACTTACATGAAGGGACTCGGCCAACTCATTCCCAGGTCGAACATAAACGTCACCAAAGACGTCGATCTCTGGGAATTTCGACCCCCCCTTAATTGAACAAGAGAAGGAAAATATTAGTATGAACAAAATAAATTAATAATAATGACGTATTAAAAATTAAATATAAATTATATTATTCTTACCCGACGCCGTGCATCCATCCTATATGAGAAGGGCCTGGAGCCGGAATGGTGGAGAAGAGTCTTCTTCTTCCTATTGCCCTTATTCACTTGGGCTTTATTCTGTTATACAAAAAATAAAACGTAATAGTTGAAATATAAATAAATTAAATAATAATGAGATATAAAAATAAAATAAACATTAATAAGAAATATGTAATAATTAAACAAATATTATTAAAAAATACCACATAATCGGGCGCCTGAAAATGAGCGCAGAGCCACGCCCAACTATCCTCCCGCCCCTCAAGCTCCTTCGGGCAACCCTCCTGAAGAGCGACTTGCGGATCATCAAACGCCTGAAAATGGTGGTGCAAGTCGCTCTTCCACTGCTTGTAC